TTTTTTTTCCATCATCAGCAGTGAGTAAGGTTCATTTAGGAGCATGGTGACTTACATTGTACTTCTGATAAGTTACACAACTTTTTTTGCAGGGAGGGATAGTCACTGGCTCCACCTGGAAAATGAAAAGTTTTATGTTTTGGAGAAGCTGGGCATGGTGGTGCACACCTGTAAACCCAGAGCTTTAACAGACTGAAGCAGAAGCGTCACAAATTTGAGCCCAGCCCAGGCAAGACTGAATCTTCAGAGGGGTGTTGGGGAGAATGTGGCTGAGTGCAAAGACCCTGAGTTCAATACCTAGTACTGCCAAAGTAGCTTTTTTTTTCAGAGAAGGAAGAAAAGTCATCTTTTTAAACTGTACTGACTAAAGGAAGCTGCTTTGCAAGTCAGTGTTTTCTTTTTTCTCTAGGGACCTTTTTATTCTACATTTTAATTTTCTTAGGCTACTTTAGGATTAAAATATTATAAAAGAGCAAAGTCCAGAATTGGGATAGGGTTGTTAAAAGTTTGTTCAATGATGGGAGAAGCCAGCCTAGAGTTTTTAAACCTAGTATTTAAACAAAGAAAGTCATTTAAAAATGTTGAGTTCCCTGTTTAGCAAAGGCTCGCATCCCTAGCCACCCTTTACAGCTAGTGTGACTCTCCCTAAAGTCTGGCATGTATTTAAGCGTGGAATTTCTTGGCTACAGGAAATATCTAGAATCACCTGTTTCTTACAGACAGAGGATTTAGCATCACTTGGGGAACCTTTAAAAAATATGAAGGCCCAAGCCTTATCCCCATCTAACTATATCAAAGATTTTATTAGTAGGGCCTAGGTATAGTACACTTCGTAAGCTCCACAGGTGAGCCTGGACTTGCCCACACTACCTTAGAGCTAGAGTCAGCATAATTCTCCGTTTAGTACTCATTGTAAGCTGCATGGGCCATATGCTCCTTGTTGCAAATACTTGAGTGCAACTTATACAATATTTAAAAGAACAATCGTGGCTGTGTTCCGGTAAAATTTATTTACAAAGACAGGCAGTGGGCCTTATTGAGGTCTTGGTTGCAGTTTACCAGTCTCTGTTCTTGAGGGGTAAAATGCGATAATTTCATATGGCTCGTGTATTTCCCCCCATCTGAAGACAGCATCTGGCAGAACTTGCCATGTGCTGCTCTGCCTTTGTTATAGTTTCTGTAAACAGAAGAGGGCCTGGGAGTCAGACTCTTCCTGGTTTCATCAGGACTCTTTTAGGGACCGCAGAGAAGCCCATGTGTGTTCTGCTTCCTGGCGGATACTTGAGTCCACATGAACATACTTCTCTAGCACATAGATCTGGGTAATAGGACCAGGCTTGTCGCGGCCCGAGGTGAGACCATTCTCTTGCCTTCCTTCCCAGCCTTACACATCTCCAAACCAAATCAGAGCACCTTTCTGAATTTAAACCTAGAATGGTGAAACCAGTTGTGTAGAGCTTTTTTTCTGCTTCTTTGGTACCTCTGTTGGAGTAGGGCACATCTGATTTTCTCAACTTTGCTTTCACAGTTACCTCGTTTCTCTTCACTGTGTATCTTTTCTTCACTTTTGTTTTAAGAAAAGTCAAGACTTCATTCATGTAATTATAATTCTACATGGTTCCACCGAATACTTCTGGCCATCAGAATTTGGGTACATAAAAAGTATGTTTTCCTTTACATATTCTGAGTTATAGTGCTTTAAACTTCTTTAGAAATTTTGAGGAATACCTCTTCTGAGAACCTACAGCAGGATCTCTTTGCCACTTAGCTACTGACTTGTGGTCTAAACCAATAGTAAGTTAAAGAGGAATTCACAAGTTTGGTGTCTTTAAACATTTTTTTAAGCTGTGTTTAGTGGCGCACACCTGTAATCCTAGTACTCAAGAGGCTGTGGCAGGAGAATTGTCACAAGTTTGAGGCCAGGCTGCACTACATAGTGAGTTCAAAGCTAGCCAGAAATACATAGTGAGACCCTGTCTCAGGAAAAAAAAAAGTTGTATTTGTCACTTCTCCCATTTACCACGCTCTCCTCCTAGATTTAAGAAATAGAACAAACCAAACAAAAAGTCAGACTAAAACATAGGGAGAAAATATTCCTGGTCCAAGCTCATCATTTGTAATTTGAATCTATGATTATTTTGTAGAATAAGGTGAGGTACACATAAAAATACAGAAATATTTTATATGTGCCATTCTTTGCTTTGTCATTTTTTTTTCTTTTTGTAGATAATGGCCCTTGTTTGGGCTCTCGGAAACCAGACCAGCCCTATGAGTGGCTTTCCTACAAACAGGTGAGTTTCCTGGCTCTGAACCGCTGCTTCTGCAACAGAGTGAAGGTGAGGGCTGCAAGGTTCCCACGAAGTGTATTGCGGGCCTAGTTGCAGCTTCTGGAGAAACATGGGCATCCATGGAAAAACCTGACACAAAAATTTGGGAAAAACAAGTTAGGTAACCACTTTATTTTAAAAGTGATGTGGGTGCACTGTAGAGTTCAATTTTGAAAATAAAATTCTAGAAACTGCTTGTGGCAGGTGACTCTTCCCGAGACACCCTGTGATTATTCTTCTGTGCCTGACCTACATGAGGAAATTTGGAAGCCCCACTCTGTAGTATCTTCTTACTCTACAGACAAGGAGTACCTGCCCCAAGAAGAGGCATAACTTGTCCAGGGGCATAGCAGGTCAGTGGCAAATCCAGACCCAGAAGCGACGGTTGTGTTGGGATTTCTTGTCTATCATACTGATCCCCAGGGTATCCCCTGCCAGCTCACTCTGGGTATGACATTTAACCTCAGCAGCAGCAACAGGAGAAAGCACAGGTGGTCCACAAACTGTGTGCTCCTGTATAAACACAAGGGAAGGTGGGATCTGGTTATTTTTACATTTATAACTCTCTAGTCCCCACTTATCAGTGGCTATAACTGGTTTTTATTAGTCACAATAATTATTTTTTAGGATTTTAAAGTGTCTAGTTTATTAGTACATGTATGCAGTGCACACTGTTTGCAGTCCTTGTGTGGGGTTGGTACGGGTATACAACACATCCTGCTTCCTGTCTTCACCCCTTTGCTTTCCCTCCCTCCCCTTCCACCCATCCCTTGATCCGCTTCCTTTTTTTTGGTACATGTTTGCAGTACGTAACATTTGCATTCTTTGTATGGAGTTAGTATGTGTGTGTAACAATCTTAGTTCCTTTTTTTATCCCTTACTCTTTCCTCTGCTCTCCCTCCATCTCTTGATCCCTTTCCCTTCTGAGAATGATCCATCTCCCTACTTCCTATTATTTGTTGTTAAAATCACAGTTTGTGAGTGGCAGGTCCCTGAGCAGGAAGACATTGCTTTTTATTTTTATTATGATTGTACCAAGGGCAGACATCATTGCGTTCCCAGATCCAGCCCCAAGGATAGGCAGGTGAAGCTGGAAGCATTCGCTTTGCTGCTCCCTTGTGTTGCCCGCACAGCTGTCCAGGAAGTGACTCTCTGTCCCTGAGCTCCCTCTGCTGCCTACTGTAGGACCAGGGAGTCCTGTGGTATTCCTGAATGCAAATCAGCTTCCTCCCCTTCTGTCTATATGAAAGGTGTTTCTGGGTCTGTTTGAGGGATATATGTGATGGGAGTTGCATTTGGAGGCACAAAGCATAGCCGTGCCACAGTGCTTGTAGATGCTTCTGGGACTTAAACACGTGGTTTCTTCCCTTCCTTTGTTTGCAGTAAGCTTTGCTTAGGTGGTATTTGTCTCTCAAGAGCAAGAAAAGGCAAAGCAGTTTATTGTATCATAACCATAGAAGGAGGCATGAGCTGTAGTCCAGGGGGTTAGAGGATTTCCCTGTTTTTATTTTCACCTTACCAGAACCAAGGAGTTCTCTATCCAAATTATAGTATTCGAGATCTCTCATTTTCACAAGCAGCATATAAAGCTTGTGTGTACTGTACACATTACATTGTGTGATGGTCCTAAGGTGTCACAAGATCCTCAGAAACTTTCTATATTGCTTTTAATGTGTTTATTGACTAGGAGAGAGAAGATATTTCTGTCACAGGTTGGATTTTTCAAGGCTGATTGAAAATCACAGGTTTCTAAAGTAAAGGTCTTAATCTATGATTTGCATATTTCTTTGGAGGCTGGTGAAGATATAAAACTGGACTTAACTGACATCAGCTTTGTATTTGTAGATTAGTTTTTTTTTAATTTGCCCAGTGAATCTGACAATTTGGAGACTCGTAGCCTCTTTGAGATTTTAAAAAAGAAAGTTACGATGTCTTTCTAGAAATACAAGTATATGTATATTCTCCCAGTTTGCTCCAGAAGCAGCTGCAGGCATTTTTCAGGTTCCAATCCCTTAAATGCAACCGAAAGTTGTGAACTAGTCCATGGAGTAGAAGGTACTATGCCTATTCATGTCGCCCCATTGTCACCTCATTGGTGTCAGCCTCTCATGGGCAGGGCTACAATGGCACCATCTACTAGAACCAACAGAATTCCTGGCAGGGATAGGTGTGGCCTTATTTCCTATGGGCATGAGGGTGCTTGAAAAGTACTCTTGAGAATTTGTCCGTAGAGAATTAAAAAAGAACTCCATGTATTAAAATTCAGTTAATTTGGCATAGGAGTGGGGCGAGGATAATCATGGACACAGCCCTGTGTAATTGTTGTGCATCTGCCTATTTTACTTGTTATAAAAGTATGTATTTTTATGTTTATCATTGCTAGTAATGCCACCCTAACTTTGATATGCTTTTCATCATTACAGTATTTGTATTGTATAGTATTTTCTTGAAGATTGATCATCATTTGCTTAATCATCTAGCCATAAGTCTTTTTTCACCTCTTTTCTTTTACATTAGATTGTTTTGGGGGTTTTTTGTTTGTTTTTAAATTAATTTTTATTAGTACATATTTGTCGTACATGTTGATCACATTAATCATAAGGAATTTGCACCTGTGCATAACTCACCTTGGTTCCCTTTCCCCCCATTCCCTTCCTTTCCCTTCAGCCTTCTCTCCTCCCCATTTTTGAAATACAGACTTTCTGTACAAAAGACTTTTTAAAACCTCTGAGACTGAGGTTTACTAAGAATTTACTAAGAATAAATTCTAAAAATAAATTACTAAGAATTTACTAAGAATAAATTCTCAAGAAGGGAACTGTAGAGTCCAATGACAAGAGCTTACTCGTATGTTTTTAAAGCTTTCTCGGAATACTTGGTGGTGTTTCTGTGTTAATATTAAATAACAGGTTTTGATTGCTTTGATGTTCTTTGTAAATGCAAAAAAAGTCCCTGACCTAATTTATAAAGCTAAACTAGAAAAAAAGAAATATATAAGAATCCCTAACATAGTCATCTGTCACCTGCAGTTGTTGGGATTGAGATGAAATTAATTTATTTTGCAGAAATGACCCTACATTCTGTTCTCTTAACAGTGAGTTCTGGTAAATAAAACCTTACATTTTACAAAAATTTAAGTAAAGGAATTTTGCAACACTGCTTGCTGGTAGAGACACAAGTCTGTCACCTGTTCAGATCTGTTTCTTGAGCTTCGCCCTGATGTGTCTTCTGTTTTCTTCCCATTCCTTGCAGGTGGAGGAACTGTCGGAGTGCATAGGCTCAGCACTGCTGCAGAAGGGCTTCAAGGCCTCGCCAGACCAGTTCATTGGCATCTTTGCTCAAAACAGACCTGAGGTATTAATGCAGCACTTACTGCATAGGGTTTTGTGAGTTCTAAACTGCAATTGTAAGAGCTGGAGTCTACACCTACTTTTGCTTGAGGTCATCTTTTGTGGTCTGCTGTCTGCTGAGAATATGGCTTTGTGTTACACATTTGAAGGTTACACATAAGAAAACCCTATCAAAAGCATTCTTAGTCTTTAAGAGAAAAAAAATCAGGGTTTTTCTCTTTTAGTAATTTGTGTTTTGGTATTTTTAAAATGGGGTTCCCAAACAAAATGCTTAGAGAAAATAATCTAACAAAGGCATCTGCTCACTTTAAGGGCTACCTCTACTCTATGATTAGAAAAACAGGATGAATAAATTATAGAGAAGTTTAGATATATTTTTCTCAATAGCAAACTCTCTTTTTTCCTAAAGGTTTAAAATTTCCCTTTGGTCAGATTTCAAAGTTTAAGATCCCATGGGCAATGCGGAAAGTACCCCCCATGGGCTGGGCTTCAGGTAGACAGTCTGTTATTTGGCTCTTTGATCTGTGCATGGTGCTTTGGGAAACCATTATTTGAAAGTTAATTTAAATGAGAGATGAAAATTCTCTCAAAGTGTTAATCAATAGGTTAATGGCATATTTGGCTTGGAAAAATTCAAGTATCTGACTTAAAGAAGTTGAACTTATTCTTATATCTACTTGTGTCCAAAGGAGTCTACACCTACACTTCACTCCCTGGGCTGTGTCCTGTTTTATAAATTAGAATGGCTTCTTGGAGTTCCTTCTGCTAAAAGGAAAGCAGCATTTTCCAGTCAGACTATGACTTGCCTCCTGGAATTGGTTCCTTCCTTTCCCTATGAACAGATCCACTAAGTTTTATTTTGCACCTGCACATATGACTTGAAGGAAGTAGAGGTAGGGAGGCCAGCAGAGTAACAGGAACGGTGCACATACACATCAGGCAGCTTGTCTGTATTGAGGGATGAAGCATTTCACAGTGGTAGTGACAGGGTAAGAGGCAGGAAAGGGAGAGCCATGTAAGTGATATATACCCTGCTGAGAAAAGTAAAATTAAAAGAAAAGTAAATAAAAAGAAAAAATCCCGTGAGATCCCCCTTCCAGACCTAGTGAGTACAAAAGGTTGTACTACCCTTTCCCAACAGCTATGCCTTTGTCTGTGCCATGTATCAGACTGCTGCAGACAGTTTCATTTGAAATGTCCACCATAGGGTGCCTTGAAGGTTTTTACTGAAGTGCGATCGTGTCACATTTGCTTGGTAGGAAGATCAGTTGCTGTGTGGTTGACGAGTTAGCTGCAAAATAACCAGTTATTTTATTGCTTTCCGGGGAAGATTTTGTCAAAATAATTTTCCTGTTAGATGAGTGTGTACCCTCCTTCCCCTATTCCCAGGCCATACCATACACTCCTGCCAGATTGATCTTCCTCACACTGCCCCAGCCTCTGAACGTGGTGCTAGCTCCGCGTGGCCCATAGAGTAAAGCCCCACAGCAAAGGCCTGTTCCAGCCTCCCCTGTAGCCAAACCTGCCTGCCAGGTTGGTCTCTGATCTCTCTGCTTTGGATCCTGCAGTTCCTTTATTGTATTCTCTTGCCCTTCTCTCTCCCTTTCCCTATTTCCTCCCTAGATTGTGTTTTTTTCCCAAAGGGCGAATTCAGGTATCTCCCCACAAAGGCATCTGGAACCACCCAGGGCCTGTGGTGAGCTCTCCCATCTCTGAGTAGTCACTGTCCTGTTGGAAGGATCTTTTCATGTATTCCTTTACATTCTTGAGGCAAGTTGCAGTTTCTTTCTAAGAAGAGTGCAAATGATTTGTTCCCATTATGAATCCCTAATGACTTCTGATACAAAGTAGTTGATACATCAATGTTAATTTTGCTACATCAGATGTTTTTGCTTGGAACTTCAGAGTATTGTCCCTTGGACTGATCTCATTTTCTCTCCCTAACCTTTACTGTTTAGTGGGTGATTATTGAACAAGCATGCTTTGCTTATTCAATGGTGATTGTTCCACTTTATGATACCCTTGGAGCCGATGCCATCACGTACATAGTCAACAAAGGTACGCCTGTGATTGGGGTGGACATTGATCTAGTTATTGATTAGATTCAGTGACATTATACTTGCGTATCACATTGAATGGGAGTTTTACATTTAAATATGCATCTATTTTCTTATCAAAGAATGTAATATCCTGTGTCAGATATTATAGTCAGGCTTTTAACACCCCAGAGCTTATTCTTCGTCATCTCTCTTAATTTACAGCTGAGCTCTCCGTGATTTTTGCTGACAAACCAGAGAAGGCCAGAATCTTACTAGAGGGTGTAGAAAATAAGTTGACACCAGGCCTTAAAATCATAGTTGTCATGGACACCTATGGCAGCGATCTGGTGGAGCAAGGCAAGAAGTGTGGAGTGGAAATCATCAGCCTGAAGGCGATGGAGGTGAGTCATCGCTCCTGCAACACTTCTCCGGAAGATCAGACATGATGTCCAGGGCCCCCATGTAATCCCAGCATAGGCCAGTTATCTCAGCACCCCAGTAAAGGTCAAGAGCAGAAATTTCTGTCATGACCAGGAAGAATAATTTTACATACATGCCCAGTGTTAATACATCACCTCTTGCAGAAGTTCTTGCTGCTAAAGAAATTTGAAAAGTTCATAATTTTTCCAGAGCACTGACAAGCCATTCTTAAGTGCTGGAACTATGAATTTCAGCTTCAGACAGGGACGTTTTAAGTTTACATGTGTCCTCTTTAGGCTTTAATGTCTTTTATTTACTGGCTCCCTTCTGAAACCAAACCAGATACCGAAATCTGTCTCATCATTCTTTCTCCCAGGTGGCTTTTGTATTTGAATTTCCAGCAGAAATGTTTGATTTGGTTCCTTTTCACTTTCAATTTAAAATCCACAGTAAGCACCACTTACAGGTAACAGTTCTAGGAGAATAAGAGTGGCTCAAATAAACTGAACCCCTCATTTGGATTTGGGGATACAGAAGGATATTTTTATATACACATCGTAAGAAATAGTAGGCTAAATAGAATCAGTCATGCTGTTTCCAAAGACGTTAGAAATATTTTTATGTGACTCTTATAAATAGGGTTTTTAAATTGTGTTTATAGCTTTCTGTCTTCACAAAGAAATTGAAGCGACAAGTAGGGTTCTCTAAAACCTTTCCTGAAGACTGTAGTAGTCACAAGGAAATTCATTCTTCCAACAGAACCTTCTGCCTCCTGTGTGTGTTCAGGGCACACATGCATACACACAAAGTGATTGAAAATATGGTGAATATTTAAAATTTAAAAATGTATTACAGTAAAAGACATTGCTGTTAACCTCCCTCAGAATACCCCCTTTGCTTTGAACACACTTATGCCATCATTGTTGCTGCTTTCTGAAGCAATTCTGGAAGTGTTCTTTTGTGAGTTTACAAGGTGTGATCAAAAATATGGTGAATGCTGCTGCCAAGTGATATCTAACAGAAAGGCAAAATATAAAAGCATTTTGATGTCCTCATTTACTAGCCCTGCCACTGTGCAACTTCTGGTTCTTACCCAGAGTCAAAATGACTATGAAAGGTAAACATTTTGAACCAGCTCAGAACACAGCCAGGTGTTGAGGCAGCCATGACAGCACACCTAAAGACATTCATGAGAAAGGACTGCTTCAGAAAGAGGCAAAAAGGATGGGATAAATGTGTTCAAAGCAAGGGGAATTATTTTGAGGGGGACAAATGACAATGTGTCTTTCACTGTAATAATTTTTTTAAAAAACTAAACATACTATATAATTTTCAGTCATACCTCTCACGCACATACACGCATGCACACACACAGTAGCATAGCACTTGAATCCATACTCACTAATGGCTACGCCTCCTTGTTAAATTGGGGTTTTAGCTAACTTTCCATTAGCATTTCCCCAGTTACCTTTCTTTTTGTTCAAATAGTACATTAATTTGGGCAATATTTATTCCCCAAAATTAAAAGCCAAATTGTAGCTATTGTTTTTCTTAACATCAATTTTTAAAGAATTAAAAATCTCCAGAAGTTAGGTAAGGATTTTAAAGAGATGAGTAGAAATTTAAAACTAATAAAGATTATTTTAGAAAAAAAAGTACAGAACTATCATAGCTTTCGCTCCTAGTTGACTTCTAATTGGACAGTAGTATTTGGTTTTTAGTCTGTCAGGTATGTAAAGTGTGATTAAAATTCAAAACTGTTCAAAATTGTATGCTGGGGAAAGCTCACTGAACCCTGAGCACCCATCGAATCTCCATCTTCTAATAGACATATTCACTCCATGTGCTTACTCAGGCTCTTCAGTTTTAATAGGAAAAGAATGTAAATAGCTCATTTTTTAAAAATTCAATGGACGTGAAAGTGGCTTAATGCAGTAAACTGAACCACGTCGTTGGTGATCACTGGAAGCCTGTGTTGGGAACTGCCTCGGAAATGAACCTGTCATTCTTAACCTTATGTCCATTCAAGAAAGCGGTTTTAGGTCTGCTGTTGTGGCCTGTTTTATAATTGGAGGCTCCCAATCTTGTCCCCACTGTGTATGGGGAGTACAGATATTTGAGCCTCACTAAAATGATTAGCATGTAAATCTGTTCTTTCTGACCGCACGGTCAGGTACAGCAGTGACCCCACTCAGTACCGACTTGTCTTGTTATTTTTCTCATTGCTGAGACAAAATACCAAAAATACCTGACACCCAGAGTTAAAGAGGGCAAACTTTATTTAGCTCACAGTTTGTAGGGTTTTTAGTCCATAATCAGCTGGCTCCAAGGGCGTGGTGGCACATGGCAGAGGGGTAATAGTTCATAGTGGTGGAAGACAGAAAAAGCAACAGGACAGTGGCAGGACTCTTTCTGTCCCTATATTATGTGCAGGCTGCCTGCCCTGGGGTAGCCTCTGCCTTAAACCCAGTTCATGGTAGCAGAAGACAGTAAAAGCAATGAGAGTAAGAAGGGCAGAGAGACATGCCTCTATCTGTCCCTTATATTGTATATAGGCTACCCTCCCTAGGGTGGGTGTAGCACTCACACCCATAATCCCATCATCGGACTATGAATCAATCACAAATTCTAGAAGGCCTCCATGAGGCTTTGAGGGGACATCTAGACCCAAACCATAACAACAGGTAAATATTTTGCTTGTAGTTAATTAAAATTACCATAGTTCATTTAATTTGAAAACTTCTGTCTTTGAGCCAGCTGTGAGTAAACCTTATAGTCAAAATAGTTTTAAGTGACTTAATGTGACCTTACCCTTTATAGTTAGAAAATGTTTTCACTTAAGATTTTTTTCCTCTTTTCTAATTAAGGGCATTGGAAGAGCCAACAGAAGAAAACCCAAGGTAAGTATGCTGTATTAGATCCTGTCCTAACCCTCTATGTAGTTTTTACTATCTACTTATGTTGGAGGCTGTTAGACATTTTGGGTGATACCTTAGGGGAGTCATGGCTAACCTTTTAGAGCTTTCAGCGATGACAGCTGGCTGAGGTGCACATGTTTCAGGTTTGCCACCACTGCAGGGCTTATAGTCTTCCATTCTGATTTATAACCGATCTTTTTTTTTAAATCTTCTTCAGCCTCCAGCAACTGAAGATCTTGCAATAATTTGTTTCACAAGTGGAACTACAGGTAAATTTTGAGATGAAATTGTTTCTGAGTAATATCTGAAAGACTACAGATTGCACCTGATTTTTTTTTTAGGAGACTTATAATTATAATGGAAGGAAAGAAAGCAGGAGAGACAGAAGTGGTGTAGTGCTGTCTTCCTGTTGCTCTGTGTGGTGTCCTCAGAATCTGAGAGTACCCTGCATTCGCTGAAACATTTACCCAAAGTAGCCTTAGATTCACCCACTTTCTTAGGGCAAACTATCTCAGACATGAAATCTTAGTTTTTTTTTTCTCTTGTTGCTCCACACTGTAGCAGTAGGTGTGAAATTTGTCCATATTAATGGAGACTGTTTAATGTTTCATGGGAAGGATTGCTGGCTGCTCCGGAATGTTACTCAGCATCTGGCTCTCCAAGGGTGTATCTAACAGTAGAGGCATTTAAGCCCCTAATTCCTGGACAGGGTGCCTTTACTTAACCCACTCTGCTTCCTTTGTGCCCTGCAGGCAACCCCAAAGGAGCAATGATCACCCACCGAAATGTAGTGAGTGATTGTTCAGCTTTTGTGAAAGCAACAGAGGTAAGTATCATCATCTTTCTTGTACTAATTGGCATTAGGCCTCAAGAGTGAAAGTGGTAAAATTAGGTTCACTTTGTGTATAAAGCACTATCAGAAATGTGGACAAGATCTGAACTTTAGTGCAGCTCAGCTGAAGGTCAGGTTTTCTTAGTGGACCTAGTCTCCACATTTTGTTTGTGACCTTTAAGATGAATTGGCAGATGTCATTTACTGCAGCTTTTATATAGTGAATCTATTTGGGTGATGCTTGTGAACATAACCAGGACAGAACAAAGAGGTGACTCTCTGTGCTTTTATTCACCATTCTAGTTTTGGGAAATGTTTCTTCAAGTTGGCGATTAAGAGTTAAAGGCTGATTAAGGTTTTTGAGTTACTATTTATAACAAGTAATTTGACTCCCATTGTAGGAGAAAGGTTAAAACCTCAAACTTAATTAATTTCCTATAAAGTTTACCATCCAAAGGTCTTAGTCTAGCAAGTTGCCATAGTAAAATACTGCAGACTGGGTGGTGTAAATAGCAGACATTTGTGTCCTCACAGTTCTGGAGGCTGTAAGTCCAGAGTCAGCTGCCAGCAAATTTGGTTCCTGGTGAGCATTCTCTTCCTGGTTTGCAGGTAGCAGCTTTCTCACAGAGTTCTCACATTACCTCCTCTCTGTGCCTGCTTGGAGAAGGCGAGCTCTGGTGTCTCTTCCCCAGAGACACTGAGATACCAGCCGTATGGGAGTCAGGCCTATCCACAAATGCAGTCCCACCTCCAGATATATGGAGGCGAGGACTTCAGTATAGGAATTGAAACGGGGACCCAATGCAGTGCTTAACACCAAGGAGGTATTTCAAACCTGTCTTTATAAAGGTACTTACAATACAGTGCCATTCCCTCATACTATTTTAACATTTAACAGTTTGCTTTTGCAATCTCTTGGGAAGGGGTAATCTGTAGCCCTGGTTTTTGTGGCAGGAGATTACTGTTAATGATTTTGGGGAATGGATATCTTTGGTGGCTGCAGAAGGTTGATCTTTGAGTAATCTTGCCCCTTAATTTTACTCCATACTCACTTTCTTTGTCCCAAATACCTTTCTTGCTTACGTTTTCTAAACATAGTACCATGTTTAGTACCTTACAAAAGTAAAATTTTGATATCTAACAGGTCTTGAAAGACAGCTTTAAATGCATTGATGCTTGGTGAAGAACCTGATTACAGAACTATTTAAAATCAATTATAGTATCAAGGGATATTCTTAACTTTGTAAAATAACCATGGCAATGGTCATTATTTTTGTATTAAATCAGAAATGAAAAAGTATGGGAGCTGGGAACATAACTCGGTGGTGGACAGTAGGCTTTGCATGCCTGAGGCTCTGGGTTCAATCCCCAGAGTTGCAAAAGAAAGAAAGAAAAGTATGGCTATGACTGATTCTGAGTTCTCACTATGTTATAATTTCATAAGAAATACTAGTTGCCATGAGGTCATACTTGAATGAAATTAACCTAAGGTTATATAGCCTGCTCAACTTATATCCAGGGCTTCTGCAGCAGCAGAAGTTTGCCCAGGACTGGAGTTTTCACCTGTTGTCATTTTATTACTAAGTATGACCCAACTTTGGGAAGGAGAAGACCATGGCTTGAAAGAGGGTTCATCACCCTCTCGGTAACTTGTCAACACCTTCATTTCTTAGTGTGGCACCAGCTGCTATTGGCAAGAATTCTGTGTTAACATGAACATTTCATGCAAACCCTCACTGTGTCTGCCCCTAAGTAAATCTGTTCTGAGGGAAAACAGATGCCCACACTTAATCTGCCTAATCAGAATTTTACAGCACAGCAAATCCCTTGGCGCTGGATCTGAGGTTGCCTTAAACCAATTGGGATATTTTCATGGGAGAAAGTGGAACTTTAAAGTAAAATATGTTGATCAAACTCAAATACTGTAGGTACGTTTATACAGTAAACAAATGACCTTGGAAATCTTATCTTTTCTCCCCTCCCTTCCCTTTGCAACACGGTTTGCTCTCTTATGTTGGAGTGGATCTTGAGTTTCTCAAGGTGCAGATGAATTTGCTGGGCAGCAGGGTACCGTAATTCTGAAATAATAAATAAACAGAGCACATAATCTCTTAACATTCCAATTTGGGCCAAATTTCCCTCACAGAAAAAAAAAAGTCCTGAAGTGGATGTACTCTGTCATTGAGAATGACCAGTGGCCTCCACTCTATTTCCATAAAATAGTAGTTCTCATTTTATTCTTTGGTGGGAAAAAGAATCATAAGCAAAGACGGTTTCTTGCTGGGCCTGGTGGGTACACTCCCTGGTTGAGAGGCTTGAGCAGGAGGATCACAAATTTGAGGCCAGGCTCACAACTTAGACCCTATCTCAAAATTTAAAAGGGGGTGACAAGTGGGAAAGGGCTAGGGATATAGCTCAGGATTAGAGCATTTGCCTAGCATGCTCAGGCCCTGGGTTCAATCTCTAGTGCCTCAAAAAATAAATTAATGAAATAAGAAGTGGTGTTGAGGTGCTATGTGCTCTGAAAGGAAGTGGGGAATTATTGGAAGTCATAATGCTTCTCTGCTTGCTGGTGTCTTTGCTTTCAGAATGCAGTGAACCCTTGCCCAGATGATACTTTGATATCTTTCTTGCCTCTCGCCCACATGTTTGAGACAGTTGTAGAGGTAGGCATTTGGTTGTGTTGTCTGTTTGTTTGCTTGTGTTCTGCTAAGCTGTTGTATTTTACAGAAAGCACTTGTCTTGAATGCCAGTGACACACACATTTCATTCTTACCACTTGCACACATGTATGAGCAACTACTGCGGGTAAGTGCGATGTGCAGACTCTCTTCCCCTCAGACAATTGTTTGTCCTGCCTCGTTTTAGAAATAGTGCAAATTATTGGAAAGGGTATAATTTTTTCTGGGTCTAAACTGGATACATGAACCTTAATCCTTCATTTAAAAATTAGAAGCTTTTTGAATGATACTAATAGGGACATGATTCCAGAACAATTAATGTAAAAGGAAGATTCTTATTCATTCAGTTTAATAAATCTGGTGAGGCTTCTGTTCTGTAAAAAAAAAAACCAATTTTGATTGTGCTTATTCCTAATGGATGAGTTAGTTTAAGACAAATTTTTCAGGCCAGTGATATAGCTCAGTGGCACAGCACCTGTCTGACAAGCACAAGGTCCTGAGTTTAATTCCAGGTACAAAAAAAAAAAGACTAATTTTTTCACCAATATTTTAAGTGCCCTTGGAAAAGCAAGGTGATGTTTGGCTGATCTTTGCTTGGGCTCCCTGTACACACCTGGGCAATAAATTTAAAAACTGACCCACAACCACCTTTTTTTCTTGGAGATAGTGTATTTTATACCATAGCAAAGACAGTGAGCACCATGTATTCATTTAGTGAGTAATTAGTGAGCACTACCTATCTGCCAGACGCTGTGAGCTGGAGGCAGTTCACTAATAGAGCTGACACTTTTGTTAACTGCTGCCCTGTAAGGTTTTCTTATCCCTGAAAGACTGAAGGTCAGTAGACTCCATCTTCCATCTGTGTTCTATTTGCTGCCCACCTCCAGATCTTGTGAGTTTATAAAGAGATCTCAGTAGAGTTGCCAGTGGACCACATGACCCCAACAGTAGCTCTAGAGATGTGCCTGGGAGGCAGATCACACCAAACAAAAACCTGGGATTTTTCAGCAGTGAACCTTTGTGTACCTGTCCGGTGGTTGCTGCTTTCAGGCTGGAGGCTGTTTGTACTTCTGGTGCACCAGCTTTTGAATCTCCTTTTCTAAGCTTAAAATTGGCAGACTACTTGGCAGGCGTCTTGCACACCGGATAGGGAGAGCAGTTGCTGTGTATGGTAGGTGAATGGCAAGCACTCTGTATTAGGTATGTTGGTACCTTGACTTCAGCTCATTCAACATCTGTTCAGAAAATTCTGTTTTAATTCAAATGAAAGGAAATGAGATTTTCATAAGGTGGACTGGAGGCAAATAGTGAAGTTTTATTTTGAGAACAAATTACCCCTGAGGTTTCTGGAAGATGAAAAATATTTGGAATATATAAAAATGTGTAATTCATTCAGCAGATGTTTATCATGAAGTTTTTATGAAAAAAGGAGGCTTTTTCATAAAAAAAGGAGGCTTTTCATAAAGCCTCTCGATTCATCATTAAAAATGATACCACCTGTGTACTCAGGCGGACTAAGAGAAATCCCATATCTTCATGTTACTTGTACAATGACCATAAATACAAAAACATTTTTTTAAAGAAGCTATCTGTGTGTAGAACCTTTTAAGATTTCAAGTCTGGGCCAGGGATAGAACTCAGTGGCACAAGTGCCTGCCTGGCAAGCACAAGGTCCTGAGTTCAATTCCCGGTACCAAAAAAGAGAAGAAAAAAGATTTCCAGACTGTGCATTGTCTCTTCATGCTGACAGCCCCTGCTGCAGTGATGAAATGTGTGCTGTTTCTGTCCACCTCTAGTGTGTGATGCTGTGTCATGGAGCTAAAATAGGATTTTTCCAAGGAGATATCAGGCTGCTCATGGACGACCTCAAAGTGCTTCAACCTACTATCTTTCCTGTGGTTCCAAGACTGCTGAACCGCATGTTTGACCGAGTAAGTTCCAGGTGGCTAAGTGCAGGGGAAGAATGTTGAGCTCTGAGTTAGAGGCTCAGGTCTGATTGGGCTCAACCCCGAACAATCTGTGTGACCACAGACAGACCTCCTACTCCCACAGAACTTCAGTTTGCTCCACTGTAAATTAGAACACATGTACTTCACCAGATAAGGGTTATTAGAGGAAACACATAAACGCACAAACCGTAAGGCACAATACAGGTAGAAAGTAGGGGGTCATTTTGTTTATTTTATTTGTACAGTAGTCTTTGATCCTCTGATTTCTCATCTATAAAACAGATTGTGAACTCCCTTCCACCATTGCCTGTCTCATAAAGTTACTAACTGGATCACATAAAAATAATTATTAAATGATTTTATTAATTATAAAGCTCTGTGCATATATAAAATATTACTTAGCCACATGGAGAGAAGGAACAAAGCTAAGGTAGGGACTAAGTGGATGCCAGCCCGCTGTGGTGGCAAGACCACTTTGGGTGGGGCAGCTTTGACGCTTTCTACTTTGAGGCATGGCTGCGGTCATCTCTGAGACCCTTATTTTTTAATCATTCTTTAAAAACAATTTTAAATATCTTTATTAAGATAATTCTAATACCATACAGCTCTCCTATTTAAAGTGTATAATTCAAATTTAGTGTTTTCACAAATTCTGCAAGCGTTACCACAGTGAATTTTGGAACATTTTCATCACCATCACCTCCAAAAAAACCTGCTCTGTAGTTATCATCTGCCATGCTCCTACCTTCCTCCACCCTTAAGCAACTACTGACTACCTTCATATTTAGAGATTTCTCTGTTCTGCACTTCTGTATGCATGGAGACACACTATATATGTTCCTTCGTGACTGACTTTCATTAGCTTGTTTTCCCCCAAGTAGGATAAATCAGTACTTCGTTCCTTTTAGTAGTCAAATTATATTCCATTATATCGAAGTAACACATTTAGCCCTTCATTCATTGGTCATTTGGGCCATTCCCAGCTGTTGGCAATTACAACAAATGTTTGTGTACAAGTTTCTATGTGGACACATGTTCTCATTTCTCCTGGGTATGTACCTAGGCATGGGATTGCTGGGTCATAAGGTTGCTGTGTGCTTAACTGTTAGAGCAAACGCCAGATTGTTTTTCCAGAGCAGCTATACCATTTTCCTCCCCCACCAGCACTGTACAGGGTTCTGGTTTCTCATGTCTTCACTAGCACTTGTTGTGCCTGACTTTTTGGGTCTGGCCATTTTGGGAGTATGAATACCTTCGTATGTCGTGCCTCATTAGATTTTTGGACAAGCAAACACCACGCTGAAGAGATGGCTGTTGGACTTTGCCTTCAAGAGGAAAGAAGCAGAGCTTCGCAGTGGCATCATTAGAAACAACAGTGTGTGGGATAAACTCATCTTCCACAAAATACAGGTAACAGACCCACAGTTAGTACTTCCCAGATGAGCTCCCTTGGGTCTCAAGATTTCCATGAGGGCTGTCTTTTAAAAGGAAAATGAGGGTAAGGGAAAGAATGGCATGATTTTATCAGTTCTGGCACATGTCTAAAAATTAAGGACAAAGCCATTCAGTAAACCTCCTTAGTCTCCAAGGTACATCTGCACAGTCTTTTAGCCATCTAGGGAAGAGGATTCAGGGTATTTTATTCTTTCTAATTCTTCACTTTGTTTAGCTTTTTTGGAACAAGTATGTCACTCCTGAGGTAAAATTGTAAACATGAGTGATAAAGAACGTGTAGTAACATTATGTCCCCTCAAATGCCAAAGTGGTGGTTGCCGCAACAGTTCCACCCTACTCTTACTCTGATTCCCTAAATACCTGTAGCAGAGGTGTTTCTTATTCCTGTACTTGTGGACAATGAATGAGCAGCTCTGGGTGGAAATAAACCCAAGCCCTGAGTTCCTGTTGTGAGCATCTGTGGGTCTTCTGTCCTAAGTATGAGTTCTGTCCCTTTCCACCCATAGAGGAGCTGGTAGATCATTAGACGGGGTTGATCACTAGATGCTGATGGATCAGCATGGGATCCCAAGCACATGTCTTTGACTGAGGAGCTGACTGCCTTGCCGATATGTAGCGCTCACTTTCTCCCTCTCTCTCCACCATGCAAGTCAAGCCTGGGTGGAAAAGTCCGGTTGATGGTCACAGGAGCTGCACCTGTGTCTGCCACTGTGCTGACGTTCCTAAGAGCAGCCCTTGGCTGTCAGGTGAGGTGCACTTCACATCGTGGGATTATTTCAGACTTTATGGTACTAAGATCTCTTCTTTACCAAATGTCGTTTTGATTCTGTTTCAGGTTTTTTAAATTGACAAATCAGAATTGTATATATTTGTGGTATACAAAATGGTGTCTTTAGTATGTGGAGACACTGTGTAATGGCTCAGTCAAACTAATGTGTGACTTTACATCCTTCTCACTTTGCGCATTCTGAGAATACTTAGAATCTATTCTCATAGTCGTTTTCAAATTTACAAGACATTGTTATTAAGTATAGTCACCATGTTGTACAGTATAGATCTCTTGAACTTACTCCTCTTAACTGAAATTTCATGTGCATTGGCCAATCCCCCCACCCACAATTTGTGTGCGTTTTATGGTAGTGCTTTTTAATTTTTTGGATGATACATCATTGCTAGGTTTCTTAGAGAAGTAAGCATTTATATATTTTACCTCAGGCATGGAAGATGTGTTTGTATCCATCATTTGTATAATTTCTCTAGGGTAAGGCACAAGCCATGCCTATGGAATCAGGCGTACAGGTGTGAATGGGTCGTAAGTGATAAACCTACCCACAAAGCATTTTGAGAGCATGTTTTAAAGGGCACAGGGTATGGTGACAGATAGGACATGTGGGGTATACCATGAACTGAGAAAGGGGCTACACTCCCATGTTAGTAGTCACCTGTCATATAGAAGTAGCCCTTGCTCATCCACAGAAAGTTGAAGAAAAAGTGAATATGGATGTGAGCTGGTGTTTGGGAGTGAAGATTTGGTTGTATTTTTTGCCATTGAGTAAATTTAATATACAGCAAAAGATTTCATAATCGGCAGTTATTCAGAAGGTAGTGAACCTTAATTGTACATTTCCTGCAAGAGCATGGCTGTCTTCCCTCAATAATGTCCCCCTTCCTGGTCACCCAGTTTTATGAAGGCTATGGACAGACGGAGTGCACTGCCGGCTGCTCCCTGAGTGTGCCTGGAGACTGGACGGCAGGTATGACTGGGGGGACATCCACTTCTGGAACTGTCTTATTGGAATTTGGTGACTGAAATGATTGAGACTGGGATAATAATCGATTGGCTCATTAGCCAGTTTAAGTGTTATGTCCCAAATAATTAGGACGTGGAGTAAACACTCTTATAGTCCAGAGAGCCAGGTGGAGATTTCCCCCTGTGGCCAACTATAATGCCATTTTGGAGCTCTGACTATAATGCCAGGTGACAGTAGGAACTTGCCTGTACCCTAAGGAGAACAGTGACAGAGGATGGCTTTTATAACCAGAATAAGACTGTCTGACCCAACAGAGCTTGTAATTGGTTAGGGTCCTACCATTTGCTGGCAAGTTAGTGCAAAAATTGTTATTAAATTCATACTGTGTGCTGTGCTAGGTGGTAGGATTACGGAAGGCAAGAAGAGAGAAATAACACAAACAACTATGCACCCATCACATACAAGGCTCTGTGATGGGTGCTAAAGGTGGACATTACATGGGAGTGAGCTCAGAATCTTCCTGTGAAAAAGAGCAAGAGAAAATGATAGATTGTTGCTTAAATAGCATGTGAGCACAGAGAAGAATTATACAGCGTTATGGCTTTGAAGCCAGGATCCCAACTTGAGTCTGACTGCAAAACTTTTGTGCTTTCCCCTCTGCTCTATTGGTAGCATATTTGACACTACAATAAGTAAACATCCGTGACTTATCTGGAATATATTACTGGTCCCATTCAGTAACATAGATTTTACTAGCTAGTACTACCTACTAATTCTCCTAGGATTAATGCTGATAGTCTGTGAGTCTTCATGGTGTTTATTTTTAACCTCAGGTTTCTTAGAACTCCAGAGAATTTGGAATAGTAATCTTTATATGTTAAAATTATTAAAATATCGGAATAATTATTTGTGATTCTTCTAAAATATATTTAATATTAGTTATTTTTGTTTTTGGAAAAGACAACCCAATCCTAACACCCTTTTGACAAGAGAGTTACGTTGACTCTGGAAATAAGCACTGTTCTACCTTAATAAACTTAAATGTCAAACATCTGTACTTTAGGAAAGAAAGGCTGTATTGATCAGAACCAGGTGGTATGAGAGAGAATAATCAAGGTTTGCCAGAGCTGTCTGTGTATGTTCTCTCAGAGAGAGTGGGGACCCCAGGAAGTCTATCTGTATGTGGGGGGAGGAGAGTAATAAGTGCGCTCACTGTGACCCTAAAAACCATGTAACAGTTTTAGAAAGCATGCTTCCACGGGTTTGTACTATCCTTTAAACTCAGTGGCTAAATTACTTATACTTCGAAAAATAGCCTCAAACTTAGGAAAGGTCTGGAAAAGACTTTTGAATATTTTCATTTTGCTTCTAGGAAGAAACTGTCTTAGACTATTTTATCAGAGAGAGAATGGTTATAACTGCAGAGGCCAGAAGTTGATAGCAGCTGTTTTTATAAGGAGGCTTATTTGTTACAAAAATACTGTGGCCTGAGAATATTAGCCATCCCCTTAGGAATGATGATTCTCTTATTTAATATACAGGCCACGTTGGTGCCCCAATGCCTTGCAATTTCATAAAACTTGTTGATGTGGAAGAAATGAATTACATGGCTGCCAAGGGTGAGGGCGAGGTGAGTGAAACCCCATTAGTCACTGACTCAAGTGGCATTTCCTAGAACAGCGGCCAGTAAGAGTGGTTCCAACACTGCTCGGAGCTCGACTATACCAGTGATTATGGAGTCAGACAGGCTTTGTTTGTGTTTAACTCTCCAGAGGCCTCATGGAGGACACTAGTTCCTGCTTTCAGCGAGACATGTTAGAGAATTGAACCCCAGCACATGATGCAAAGGCTGCAGTGGCCTAGGTCCTTGGGGCCCATTTCCTGCCAGCTAATTGCCCTGGATGCCTATTAGTGAACCTCTGTCTCCTGGATAGGAGGCCTAATTACTTAAAAGTGATTTCATGCCCTCTGGAGCTTTCTGGTAGCTTTGAGCTAGAACCGAGGGCAAAGCATTAACCCTACAATTTGATTGCAGCTGAGGCAAATAAGAAAGGGAAGTGGAGCATTAGAGGTGCCTCTTAAGATCTGATGGGGGCTCTGGTTACTCCCTTGGGATCATGGAACTGAGGGCTTTTAGCTAAAGAGTGGCATGTACAGACAGACATCAATACCCCAGTCTTGTTTGGAGGGTCTCCAGTAAACGCTGCTAACAGATCCATTTTTATTTTCTTTTTTTTAAAGATATGTGTGAAAGGGCCAAATGTATTTAAGGGCTACTTGAAGGACCCAGCAAAAACAGCAGAAGCTTTGGATAAAGATGGCTGGTTACACACAGGGGACATTGGAAAATGGCTGCCAGTAAGTCGTTGATAGTTTTGTTCCACTGCAGGGGAGAATATGTCCTACTTACTGCTCAGCTCCTATGTGGCAAGGGTACCCGAAATTTTCTCTTTCCCTTTCTCCTTTTTGAATGGACAGTTGACTATTCTATTTCCAGGTTGATACTTCGCATACTTGTGTTGACTTGAACTGTGGCAAATTTGTTTTGATGCTTAACATCAACTCTAGCTGCTGCTTCTCATTTGAAATCCAACACATTGTGGCTCTTTACAGTATTGATGCTGTTCTTTGATGTTGGGGCTGGCTGGGATTCCCACAGTTACCAAGTGAGATGACTGACCTTCCCAAAGAGCCTGGCGCACTCTCCCTCCTCAGCACTGATAAAGGAGTCTGAAGTTCCACCTCTGTGTAGTTTTTGAAACCTTCCTCCGTGCAGGCCCCGTGGGGGGTCTGAGCCATGTTCTCACAGACCCTCACTGACCTGGTAAACCAGATATGTATGGACCTCGTTCACTAGGAGGCTGGATAAGGCATGCTAAAATAGAGGAGGCAGACATTGCTAGTGGGCTGATAGGTCACTGGTGGCAAGTGGTGAAGCAAGAGTGGGAGCGGGCCTGGAGTCCTTTTTCTGTCTCTGTGCACAGCTTTGAGCAAGTCACTCAATCTCTGTAAGCCTTAGTTTCCTTCTCTGTAAAGGGATGATGCCAGATCCTGCAAGATGTCATAAAGGATGATGTGTAGCAAATACCTTGTACTGTGTCGTGATTGATACTATGCTGCTCACGGCCCCTTCCTTTCTGATCAACAGAATGGCACACTGAAGATTATTGACAGGAAAAAGCACATATTTAAACTGGCGCAAGGAGAATACATAGCGCCTGAGAAGATTGAAAATATCTACCTGCGGAGTGAACCTGTGGCCCAAGTGTTTGTCCACGGAGAAAGCTTACAGGTGCGTCAGCGATTTGCAGGTTGAGAATGTGATGCTCAGCATCGCCCGTGCCTTGTCCTCCAGGGGCTTAGGTGTAATTGGCAGTTCCAGACGAATAAGCATTGACTTTCGTGTCTGACCTGTCATTAATTCACTATTGGTTTTTGCCGCTTGGCATTTTCTACTCAGAAATTGATTTTTCTTTTTGATTTCTATATTTTAATTTTAATTAAAGTGGTCTGGTTATACCAGTGGTGGTCAGATAAAGATAGTGGAAGGTGGGTAATGCAGTATATACTAATTTAATGATGTAAGAAAACTATATATGAATTATGAGAAAGTTTAAAAAATTTAAACATATTAAACCTAGCTTATTTATGATCTGCTCCTAAATAATTTTTGAGTAAATTGTAGCTGTGAGCTAAGCATATTCAAAGTTGAAAATCAAAACCAATTTTGCAATGAAATATAAATTTGCCAAGATGTAGGCTGGGTGGTAGCAAGGAAGAGAAGAGGTCTTGGTTCCCTGAAAGTTAATATTTTGACAAATGTTTCAATTTGAAAATTATTTCAGGAGAATATTTTCTTAGGAGAAAATAAACCTGTTTTTTAAGGTTACACTTATTTGGTCTAGAACCTTACCATGCTTTTTATTTTTGTTTAACTTTATTGTTACTGAGTTATAAAGAATGAGGTACTAGAGAGATTTTTAAAATGACCATATAAATTTTCTTTCTGCTTTTTCTAAAGCAAATAGGTAACACTTATACTTTGCTTACTTGACCTTATTTTAGTTTTATACAGTGCCTTTAAAAAGTATACACGGAAGTAAATAAAAATTAGGGTTTTGTTAGATTTTTATTTCCCCACTGGTTTTTAGAAACTTTAACTGCAACATTCCTGGTGTCATCTGTATTCCAGAGCCAGGAATTCTGCACCTACGCTCTGGGAGCTCCTGTGGGGTGGAGGGGTGGAGGAGTGGAGGGGTGGAGGAGTGGAGGGGTGGAGGCTGGAGTATGTTCTCAGGAGAGGACCTGGAACTTGCATCAGACCCTGCAAGGGTCTGTGATGCAGAAAAATGAAGGACCTTTACGTGCGAGCACTTGGAATAATTCACTGTGATAACTCACTGTCTGTGGTAAAGGCATTTCTCATAGCAATTGTGGTACCAGATGCTGAGGTCTTAGCTTCCTGGGCCAAGAAGAGAGGCTTTGAAGGATCCTTTGAGGAGTTGTGCAGAAACAAGGTAAGGCTCTGGAGTGTCCAGCCCCTCCTCTGTCAGCTTCACGTTGAGTGTGCTTATGGCTGAGCAGGCACCTTCAACAGAAGACCCTTGTATTTTTCCTACCTTATTAGGATGTCAAAAAAGCTATCCTAGAAGATATGGTGAGAATTGGGAAGGAGTCTGGTCTGAAAACATTTGAACAGGTATGATTTTTATTAAAGTGCATGAATTTCTGTAAAACTTTGGTTTGAAGACTTTTTACAAGTTGATCACAGAAGTGGATGAGGAGGAATGAGTAATGGAGTGGTTCAGTAGCGGGGGGCTTTTGGTTTAAGTGTGTGATCAGTCTTTTCTGAAGTCTAAGATACAACCTGAATTCTGCCCTAATGGGATGGATACCTGTCCTTTGTTGAGAAAGCACAGCCTGGCTGAAGGGAGAGGATGTCTTGGATTCCTGCGGGGTCTCCATCCCCTCCGAAGGCTTACGTGCTGCTTGGACATTTTAGGTTGCACTGCATCTGTTCTGTCCTCTCTCCTCCTCTAACAGCCTGTTGTTTGCAGGTCAAAGGCATTGCTCTGCACCCTGAATTATTTTCTATTGACAATGGCCTTCTGACCCCAACGATGAAGGCAAAAAGGCCAGAGCTACGGAACTATTTCAGGTCACAGATTGATGAACTGTATTCCACCATCAAGGTGTAAGGCGAGGAAGAAAGCGCAGAAGAGATGGCACACCTCCACGTCCCTTCTTCTACTGAGGGCCTTCATGTTGGGAATTTTGACTGCAGCAAGCATAGGGAAGGAAACGTCCGTGTTTGACTTGTCCATTCAGGGTCTTGTCATAGGATTATTAGAGGAAATGGAACACTGCCTTACCATCACCTCGTATTGCAGACCATATTCATGGTGATATACAATTTCCAAAATGAGCCTTAAAATTGTAAAGGGGAAACTATAAAAGTGCTAAGTTATTTGAGACTTCCTCAGTAATAAGGTGGGTGTTAAAACTTCTATCTCCCTGTTTTTCTAACCAAGGGGTTAGGACTCTGCTGTTGCTGAAATGTCTGCTGTGTGCTGCGAATTCTGCAGCTGTCTGCTGCTCTGAGGAGTGCAATGCACTGGAGGGAAGTTGTTCCTTGAGAAACAGGAACAACTGTCCTCGCTGGAGAATATCACAAGTGGACCAGAGATTTTTTTTTAAATCCCTGCCACCTCCCTTTACCATCTCACATGCACTCACTGAACCCTTCTGATGTAAGGGTTCAAAACAATCCCCTCCTGTTGTTCCTGCTGGGGCATAAGGTTCCCCATAAACCAAAGGACTGGTCTACCTTGGAACAATGCGAGTGCTGAGTCTCAGAAGAATGGCGGCCCGTCGGGGCGAGTGGCTTCTCATCGTGCAGCAGGCTGCTGTCATACTCTCCTCCATACCTGGTTCCTCCCTCCATCCTTCCCAGGGGTTATGAAAAACCTGCCTTAGACTCTGCAGTGAAGACAGCATTTCAAGAAAGAATTACCTGGATCAACTACGCTCACCTGTGATGCCCGAAGAGCTGTCCACTTGATCTTCACTGAACCACTCACTGTTTGTAATGGCCAATGGACTTTTAATGTGGTTTTCATATCAATTGATAATGTGGTGATTAACTTGCCTTTTTGCCCCCCCAAATGAACTCTCAGGCAAAGCATGTCTTCATATATATTAAGGGAATAGTTATACTTGGGTAATTATTGAAATGGAGGGTAATAAGCAAATGTTCTTATATCATGATACTACCTGATCTCTGTGAACTATATTTGACAAGCCAAAATTCTGAGATGGAAAATCATTTTTTTTCCAGAAATCTGGAAAAATCATTTCCTGGGATTAACTTCATAAGGGATATTTTTAAAGATAATTTGGGAAATTAATAGCATTTCACTTTAGTGCAAGTGTTTGCCACATTTGACTGAATTTAGCTGTCATTTTTACATTTAAAGCCACTGTTGGATATGTGAGAGTATGTGTGTTATACAAGCACAACAGGGTTTGCACTAAGAATTGTCATTGTAATAACACTATTTGGTAGCCTAACTTCATACATGTATTCTTAATTGCACAAAACGTCAGTAATTTGTCACATTGGGGTTTTGAATGTTTGCTTTAAGTGTTGCTATTTCTATGTTTTATAAACCAAAACAGAATTTCCAAAAACAATGAAGGAAACCAAAATAAATATTTCTGCATTTGGAGTGAGTGAAGTGTCTCTTTGAAGTTTTAACGTTTAATAGCTCATGATGCACACAAGCAAAAAGTGAGAATGAGCCCTTGGTCTCCAGTCCCTCCTGCTTGCTTACTTCCCTCTCCCATTGTTCTCTGACACTTCCAGGCACTGCCCTGAGCCTCTCACTGGGTTGTCTGTGGCAAAAGACTTAATGTGTTGCAGAGAAGAAATTTGTTGTGTGAGTAATATGGGGTATTCCTGGAAATGGAACTTACTTGTTCAAAATCTGCATTCCAGGAGACACTGCAATAGCGGTTCTGGGCTGGGTTTAATTCTACCATATTTTAATAAGTCTCTTGCTGTGGAACTCTTAATTTTTGATGGTTTTATTTATTTTTACTGCATATTTGTCATACATACTGATCAGATTCATCATAGGGAATTTGTCCCTGTACATAATGTATCTTAATTCTTTCTTCTTTTTTCCCCATTCTCCTCTCTCTCCAACTTGTCTTCTCCTCCCCATGTATACAACCTTTATTTCTCCTTTTTCCTTCCATTCCCTTTTCCCCTTTTCCTTTCCTCCCTTTTCCCCTCCCTTGTTCCCCTTTCCACTTGAACATGTTCTTCCTATTTCCCAGTACCCTCTGTTATGCTCCTTATTTATCCTTTGGGTTTCTCACACAAGAGAAACAATGTGATATTTAAACTTGTGTGTCCTGATTTATTTCACTTAAGATTGTGGTCTCAAGGCGCATCCATTTTCCTACCAGTGATTCAAGTTTATGTTCGTTTATGACAAAGTAGTACTCAACTATATGTAAATACTTAATTTTCTTTATCTGCTCATTTTTTGATGGACATATGGGCTGTTTCCAAGATTTACCTATTATAAATTGAGCTGCTGTAAACATGAATATGCTGGGTCATATTTGCTTTAAGTGTTGCTATTTCTATGTTTTATAAACCAAAACAATTTCCAAAAACTTTAGCTTTTTGAGAAATCTCTGTACCAATTTCCATAGTGGTTGTACCAGTCTACGTGCCCACCCGCAATGGAGAAGGGTTCTTTTTTCCCCACAACCTCACCAGTATTTGTTATTGGTTGATTTTTTGATGGTAGCCATTCTTTCTAGAGTGTGGTGGAATCTCAGTGTTGTTTTAATTTGCATTCCTCTATGGAAGTATTTGATGTCTCATTTATAGAGATCATCTTTTCCCTTTTTCTTTCCCTCTATCTCTACTCTACTGTGTACCATTTTAACGAATATCTTTTCCATAGGTATTAGTTAACTTAATTTTTTCCAAGCCCATTGTGTTCATATCCATCTCCTCTGTCCCTTAAATTTTATGTTCTGTGTGTTTTATGTTTGTTTGCTTCTTCTAAGGCAGTAGCCCTGTGCATACCTCTGATAAAGCTTGTCTTACTCCATTTTTTTGTTTCATAACAAAATACTAAAGAATAAGTAATTAGAAAAAACAAAGGTTATTTTAGCTCATGGTTGTGGAAGCTGGGAAGTCCAAGGGCATGGCACTGGCATCTGGTGAAGGTCTTCATGTTGGTGAGGACTCTCTGCAGAGTCCCAAGGGGTACAGAGCATTACATGGCAGGAGGGCTCATGCTGGCTTTTATAACACACCACTCTTGTTATAACTGACCCACCACCATGAGTATGTAGGGAGTTAGCCTGTTTGTGATAGCAGAGCACCCCCCCCATCCCGTTACCTCTCGAAGTTCCCATCTCCAGTGTCATTAACATGGGACCTTGGGGATTAGATTTCAACGCATGAATCCTGGAGGGCAAACATTCATACCACAGCAAAGCTTTTGGTTAATTCTGTCTTCTTTAGTTTTTAAAATCCATACTTTATCTTACTTTCTCTTCCTCTTGCTTGCCCTGGCTGAAGTGTGAAGTCCTGGAGAATAGAGATTCCCCTCCTTTTTCCTCCATTAGCACTGAACACGGGGCATAAAAGCACAGATGTTCACTGAATGTGTCTTTTGAATAAATACCCGAAATACTGAATCGAGGTCTTCTTGCAACGAGGCCGACAGTGAACCCTGGATAATAGTTTTATGATGGTGAAAGACACATACAGTTACCACCCTTGGAGTGTGTGGCTCAGTGGGAGTGAATATTCATATTCTTGTGCTCTGGTCACCATTAAACATCCACAAAACTCCTTTTCTTGTAAAATAGGAAAGCAGTGATTACATTACGCTACTCCTCCATCTTCCCTCACCTCAGCCCGACAACCATTATTCTATGACTCTATCGTGTGAGAGTGTGTGTGTGTGTGTGTGTGTGTGTGTGTGTGTGTTTGCATACGGTACTGTGCAGTGAACCCAAGGCCTTTGCACCGTTACATCCCCAGCCCTCTTATATTGTTTAAAACCGGATCTTGCTAAATTGCACAGAATGGGTTTGAATTTGTGATCCTTCTGCCTGTGTCTTGCAGAATGCAGGGATTACACTGTACACCACCACTCCTGGCTGTCTCTGAGAGTCTGATTACATTCCAGGTAGAGCCCGAGGCAGGAAGCCCACGTGGCATGGGCAAATCCAGCAGTGGCTAGCGCTCCACTTGGCTCCTCCCCCCATGCCCAGTTAGGACACACCCTGGTTTTATATCTAAGCTCAACAAAGCAGTGTGTTTTTAAATATATTTGGCAGTTTGTAAATATTTTCGCCTTTCTCCCTATCTTTAGGTTTACTTAGAATAACAACTAAAAAGACCTAAGTGTTGATACATGCCAGGAACATTTTATATTTATAACATTTTGTGCCACTTTTCTGCCTTCATCCCCAGTTTCCAGGTGAGGAAATTGAAGCACACATGTGACTGGGTCTGTGGCACACTCTCACAGACAGAACAGAGCTGGATCTGGCCTCCAAACACTGAACTCTGAGCCCCAGGCTGTGGATCACCGCTCCTTCTTGTCTGCCTTTAGCTGTGAACTTCTTGATCGAATATGGACTGCTCCATGCAGCAGTTCTACCTTCAGTACAAATGCTTTTCACTTTTATCTGGCTTGTGTCATACCAGAGGTTAATAGCAGGTGGAGGTTGCTGTTATATCTGAAGACACTGGAGCGTAATGGCATGCTGATAAAGGGAGTGATAGGGCAGGCGAGGGACCAGCTGTCATCAGGGAAGGCGGAAGGACAGAACCATAGCTAAAGGAGGAATTGACCTGCAATGAAACTCTTCCGTTGCAGTGGAAGAGAAGATGGGAAATGTGGGCCAGATGCAGGCAGAGCCGAGGTATTTGGATGGGGAGATTAGGAAGCTTCTGTCTGAGTGCTTCTAGTTTTTCACTTGTAAGTTCCTTTTTATGAATGAGAGTATGAGACTGGGAGAGAACAGCTAACTTCTAGGCCAGACATCCAGTAAGAGGCTGAGCTGAGTCTTCTGACTCCACAGCCCCTCCACGTGTGGATCACCTGTTTTGTTGTCCCCTCCCACATGTGACACCTAGGAGCCTGAGCATCCCAGTGCCCTGTCACTGTTGTTTTCGTAACTAGTGAGTGCTTACTCGTTCCTCAGTGCAGCTACACTTTTGTAAACACACCTGCTTGCAGTTTTAATTTTAGTTTGCCGTAAGGTGAAGGAAGATAAATGCTACGAACTTGTTCCCTTTTCGTATTTCCCTCATTTCCAGCAGTGTTTTTCTCAGCAGCATAAGCAAACAGAAGACGACCAGCCTGCCCAAGGTGCTAGCGCAGGTGGACAGAGGACCTGGGAGCTGGCAGCACCTTCGTGGTGAGGGCTGCAGCCAGTTAGACTGGGCAGGCCGGGAGCATCCCTCCCATTCTTTGTCCTCATTCAAAGCAGCTGAGTCCGACTGGAGAGAACTGACTCACCTCAGGTTCCCAGCTCAGAAATAACTTTTCCCAGCAAAGCAAAGCTGAGAAACCTCCGCTCTAGCTTGGCCTGGAGCACGCAGACTGAGATCCCGAAAGGTCACTCCTTAGCCCCTTTGCCCACCCCAAACCAGACTTCCTTTCACCACTGTATCCCTGATGAGATACATCAATGTTAAACTGACTTCTTCACTCAGCAGGGACAGTTGGGAAACGGGCTTACCTTATTTCTTAGCCATATTTTTGTGCTAAAAAAAAAAAGCAATTCAGTATTTTCTTTGAATTCTTGACCCCTTCCCATCATTGAGTCACTTAAAAAGAAGCCTTGCTAGATGAATTTTACTTCTAATCAGTCTTCTTAAAGTGCTATTCTCAGATTCTGTTCTTGGCCTGAGGCAGGATTATTCTTTTTCCACACAGGTATTTTGCACAGAAGTTTTTACCCACTCTTTTTGGTTGAGATTTTTAACAGAGGAAGGGGGATGGTTTTGACTGCCAAATCTCTCTGACCAAAGCTGTGGATACACAGTAATATTGAAGTCCCCCGCAAAACCCTAGCAGGCTTCCTGCCTTGCATGTGGCTTGTGAAACCCCACAGGTGAGTGCTGGCAGTAACCACAGCACCAGAGCCCTGCGGCAGGGCTGGGTAAGCGCTGGTACCAATAGCACATGTGTCACGTGTGTGAAAACCAGTTTGCTCACATTCTGCACCAGGCAACCTGTGCCAACACAGAGGGACTCCGCTGTGTGAGTCTCTGGGGTTCCCACACCCACAGATACTGCCTTCTCCGCCCCATGGCACTCCCTGTGGGCTCCTCAGCCCCACCCACTCTCAGTTGTCAGAGGGCCACGCATTTGGGTGAAATTTCAGGGCTGGGCCAGGCAGCCCCAGCTCCCAGGTCCTGTTGATGCCTTCTCTGTGGTCTGTGAAGTCTGGCCACTTCCCTTCACCCCTTGTGCCCAATGCCCAGCCCAGACAGAGGCCATTTCTTCCCAGGACAATTGTACTAGGCTCTGCGTTGGCCACCCTGTCTCTTGTATGGGTCTCTGCTGACTCACTTTGCAGCAGGAATGATTTCCCTCACGCACAGATCTAGCCATGTGCCTCCCCTGCTGAATCTGTCAGAGGCTTCCTTTTTCTCTCGTCTCAACAGCTTGATGTAGTCAGAGTTTCTCCAACTTTATATTGAAAGAGGAGCTGAAAATGGCCCAAGGAGTTTAAAATGCGGGTTCTGGTTCAGTAAATCTGGAATGGGGCCTGCAGTTCTGCCTTTCTAACAAGCTCCAGGAGATGCCAGGCTGCTGGCAGTGGTATGACACACAAGTGGTCTCTTGGGCTAAGTGGTAAGGTCCAAGGAGCCCGAGTGCTGTCTATGCCTTACATGACTGCAGGCGAAGGGTGGGAGAGCTGTGTCCTCCTAGAGGAAGTTCTGTGAAGAAGAATTCTGCGTCACCTGCGAATCTGTCTATGACGATGCTGCCCTTGGCTATTCCACTATGCCATTCTTGGCTGAAGACAAAGTTACTGAGGAAAGGACACTGGCTTCCCAGGACCCTCAGAACAGGACTGGCCTTAGAACTGAGTCTATTCCCTGACCCAAAAAAGTTGTGTTAGAGTGAGCAAGGTCATTAAGAAAGTGAAAATTTTTTTCAGGAAGTTCTTTTCTCACTGCAGGTTGGGGGAGCCTTATGGAGACATTTTTCTAATGTAGAAATGTTCCATTTCTTCCCTTATGTTCCCCCTTCTTGCATTTTTCCCTAAGACATTCTTTTCCTCTGGGTGTCCTTTCATTTCCTTTTCTCTCTCAGCTTATGTGCTCATTTGGCCCTTTTACATCAGTTTGAGTCATAATAAAATTATTTTCGAAACAGGTTGGAAGCCTGCTGTTCCTTAGCTAGAGACATCTTGGTTTTGGCTAGAATCCTCCTGCCAGGATTCCGGTAGCAGCCGTGCCTCGCCCTTCAGGGAGCTGGGACTGGAATCTGAGGCATGTGACTTTGTGTTGTCATGATGTAGTGGTCAGACCCAGTTAGCCATGTGATCTCCGCTTGGGTAGGAACAATGCCAGTGAAGTCTGGGAAAAGTAGGACAGCGTTAGTTACAGAGCAAATAAGTTTAGTCGCCTGATAAAAAAGCCATGACTACTGAAGAGTATATGACATACGAAAGAATCTAGTGGCACTATAGTTTGCTACAGTGGAGAAACCTTTCTGCCCCAAAACTTTTGCCAAATAGTACTTTCATTGTGGTTCTTATTTCCCCTTAAAGGGAACATCCAAGAGAATATCCCCGCTTTTCCTCTTCCCCCACCCTCCTGGGACACTTCCATTTGTTTCTCAGTGTCACAGTCACAGAGGTTTGAGCAGTTGGTCTGTTTAAAACAGATAACAACCTTAGTTTATTAGGCTGTGAGTTCAGCGAGACATTCTTGTTTACTCAGTTTACTGTTGTTTACTCATTTAGAAGTGGTGCTGGAAAGTAAATAACAAAGTAGGAAAACTTAAGCAGTAAATTATTTTCCTCTCTTCAATACAAAATCATACTGTTTGCTTTAAGGGAAATTTATAGGAAAGGTCTCGATAAATTATGGATGAACAGTGAATTGATGAACAATTCATGTGAAGGGGAAACAAGCTAAGGAAGACAGTTAAAACACCTATTACTAATCTTAAACTGACTTTGAATCAATATTTACAAGGTCTGAAAATGAGCAGCTCAGTTCTAAAATTACAGATCACCTCCAACCTCTTTCTTTACCTGCCCTCTGGTGGACAGGGTGGTGAACAGGAAATGTATCCCAAGTATCCAAGTAGTTTTCTAGTTCATTATTTTCTATAATTTGTGTTATAAGAACAATAGAAGTTTCCTCTCATTTCCTAAACATAAAAACACTTTACATAACTTCAGGACCCACTACCCAGGTGTCCTCCAGTGTCCCACACTGACCTCTTCTCAGGTACCTCTGAGGTTCCTCAGCAGGTGCTTGCCTTGCTCCAGGACACCCTCTGTCCTCAGCACCCCCCATGCTACCTCCCCTCCTGAACACTCTCCTTCCTCCTTCGACACCCTCCCCGACACTCACACAAGTCTGGTGGATTCAGCAAACATTTGCAAAAGGCTGACATTGTTGGAAAAAGCACCTTGCAGCACACTTGCCATAGGAAACCCCGACCGCCAGCTTCAGCTTCCCAGCAAAGTATCTGCCATTCTCCTTGTGCCGAGATTCTCATTGGCTGGATCCTCCCGGGGCTGGAACTTCTGTCTGCTGGGCTTCACCTCCTCCCTCCAGGGCCCTTTTTGGCCCCTTGGCCAGCCTCCAGCCCCCAAATTACATTCAGACTTTCTAATGAGCCTTTTTGTTGTCCTCTTCCCACCCCAAACTAAGCTCTACACCTGGCTTTACCTACCCTGAAGCTCATGAAGGTGGTCTGGTCTCCATCCTCAGCAATACAGAAAACCTATAGAAACCTTGACATTACTATTCTACATCAAATTCTTGGGAATGGGGTCTCACAGGACCTCAGGTAGAGTAAGCTGGGAGTTTTTACGTTCAGCACTGACTTGCTTCGCCATGCTGTATCACCTTGGAGATTGTGGAATACTCTTTCCCTGAGCTCTCCCTTTGCCAACTTCTGTCTCCCCCTTGCCATATACACTGGTTCTGTTTCTCTGGACAATGCTCATGCAGATAGGTGCGTCAGGCCTTGCTGTGGGACATAAGTAGGCACGTAACTAGGCTTTCTTGCTGAGTGTTAGAATTCGGATATGAGACTTGGAATAGCTGCCTGGTGCCAGCTCCGGCCCTGAGTCCTGGGAAGTAGGGCAAGGCCACCACATGCTAAGGGTGGGCCTGTTCTTTAGTATCTTCATATGGAAAGTGGAATCCTAGTACCTGCTAAACAGGGTTACTGAGAGTATTAAATGAACTAATAGACACTAAATGCTCAGAACAATGCCTGATCATACTACATGCTCAGTAAATCCAGTAGATGATGATAACCAGAGAACCTGCCTGAGAGGAAAAAATAACATATAAAGAAGGCAAGAAAATGGGCTGTGAGCCTTGCTGGCTTCTCCAACTGACCTTGACACTCATCCTACCTCTGGGCTTTTTAGTAACATGTGCTTATAAATTCCTTCTATTACGTCAACCTGTTAGGGTTGAGTTTTTGTTACTTCCCCCAGAGTGCTAAATTCCTTCCTTTTTTGGTGGGGCGGAACTGGGAATCAAACTCGGGACCTTGTACTTGGCAGGTAGGCACTTGTGCCACTGAGCTATATCCCTAGCCCATTTCTTCCTTTCTTAACAGTAGAGGCATTTGTTTTTTTAGAGTTGAAAAATTCTAAATATCGACAGTATGTGGAACCAAGGGAACTTCTAGTGGGGTATAAATTGAACGGTCAGTCTATAAAATAAAATGTAAAAATTGGCATTGTTATGCAAAAGTTGAAAATGTTTATATCCCACATAGCAATAATATCACTACTGACTGTATCCCAAGAGCAACTTGTAGACATGTGCCCTGTAGGATATGTGCAAGCATGTTTACTGCTGTGTTGCTGGTAACAGTAAAAAAAAAACAAAAATAATCCATATGGCCATGCAAAAGACAATAAAAAACAAAAGGTGATATACAGTACTTACTTAATGCATCCCAAGGGCAATGAAAGTGAATGAATATAGGTGCTTGCAGATGCTAATACACTATGGATACTTAGAAAAATCCTAACTTTGAGTAAAGATGGGTACTTGCTGAATACTTACCACATATTATAAAACCTTTAGAAATATGTGATAATTATTCAGGAATTCTTTAGGGATATGTCAAGGTAGAAAAGCATAGAAATGATAAACCTAAAATCAGAAGAGTAGGAGGAAAAGGCACCATTCAGAGGGGTGCCCAAGAGTTATGTATAATGATTATGTCCCAAATCAGTGGTGGTTTCATGTGTTTGTTTTAATCTTTACATTATATGCTAATTCTTCTGTATGCATGAAACATGTTAAATTGTTTTTACCATGGCAAAGTATATGTGACATAAAATTTAGCATTTTAACCACTTTCAAGTGTATGATTTTATGGCATTAAACACATTCATCTCATCATCCACAGCTACCTATGGCCAGAACTTTTTCATCATCCCAAACTATGCGTTTGATTTCAAAGTCAAGAAATCACTGCCAAGTCCAATGTCATGAAGCTTTTGTCCTGTTTTCTCTTTGAGTTTTATAATTTCAGCTCTTACATTTAGGTCTTTGATCTATTTTGAGTTAATTTTCTTATAGGGTGTAAAGTAAGGGTTCAATTTAATTTTTTGAAGTGGAATACTTTTGTTTTTGTTTTCTTTCCCATACCAGGAATCAAACTCACGACCTTCCGCTTGCCAGGCAGGCGCTGTGCCGCTGAGCTAAATCCCCAGTGCCCCCCCGCTTTTTTTTTTTTTTTTTTTTTTTTTTTTTTTAAGAGTCTCTTGCTAAGTCGCCCAGCTGGGCTTGACCTTGTGACCCTTCTCCTGCCTCAGCCTCCCAGAGTGCTTACATGTTTAACCAGAAAGAAAAGAAAAAATAGAGAAGAGACGTTCCTTTTTACAAATGAAAATATTGTAACAGAGGTAAAATAACATACCTAGCTCACACAATTTAAAAGAACCAACGAGAGTGCTCGCTTTGGCTGCATGTACTCTAAGACTGAAAAGATAAAAGAACCCCCACAGCTAAATGGAAAATCCAGTCTCCAAGAGTTCTTCCCCTTTCTCCGCCCTCGCGGCCTCGGGCCTTTGGCGCTCTGAAACCCTGGCACGGAAATCCAGCGGGAGGGAAAGCCCTGCCCGCGACTGATTACGAGGTGTGCACTCCCGCTCCGCTGTCGTTCTCATTCCCATCCGGGTTTTCCTTCACGCTCCCGGCGGGGAGGAGCCCAGGGCTCTCCCAGAAAAGGGGCGGGCGGAGAGCGTTGCGTACTGGGCTCTGATTGGCTGATCGGAGCAGCGCGGGGCTTGGCGGGAGTTTCGTGGCCGGCTGGGCGCGGAGAGCGGAGAGATGGCTCTACGCTGGCGGGTGCGGTCCCCGGGGCGTGCGGGGTAAGTGCTGCCCACACTCGGAACCGGGTCAGGACCAACTTTATTTTCTTCCTCTCCTCCGCAGTCTGTGCCTCTCTGAGCTGCTGTACCGGGGTTAGTAAGTTAAGGCCCAGCGTCAGGCGAGGACGTCAGCTAGTGTTACAGTCGCGCTGTGGGTGCGTCTCAGGGCAGCTAGAAACAAAGTATTGTGCAGATTCTGAGCGGGCGCCTTCTCAGTGCCAGGCGTCACATCCTAGAGAAGGTTACACTGGCTGGTTGTCAGTGCTCTCACTTTCAAGAGCGTGCTTTTTTTTTTTTTTTTTTTTTTTTTTGGTACTAGAAACCACTGAGCAGAACGCTGAACCCGATCTCTCTCTGGGGGTGTCCTGGCGGTTGACCTTCAGCTCGTAGGGCCTTCTTAAAGGGCATTCCAGGGTGGGCCAGGTATCTTACTGCGATGGACAAGAGCCATGCATTTAAATATAGTTTGCAGACTGCGCTCTGGAGGTCTTTGTGTATCCGCTGGCCAGTGCCCGACTGGCAGGGTCTGAAGAGCACCAGGGCCAGGGCCACGACCTGCCAGGGAAGGTGTCTGGGTACGACTGGCGTCAAGACCACACCCCTGGGGTTAGGAAGAGACAGTTTCTTCCAGCCCTGGGAACCCTGCCTGGAGAAGACAGTGTACATAGAGGTGGGGTGAAGGTGGAGCACTGCAGCAGGACACAGCTGGGGGGCAGTAGGTGGGGACACCAGACTAGACCTGTGGCCTGTGACTAGACCAGTGGGTAAGAGGATGGGAAAAGAATGTAACGGCCTTGCAGGGCAGCTGAAGAGAGTTAAACTTTATCTGATAGACCAGTGGTTTTTTGTTGTCTTCTTTTGAACTTTTTAAAAATGTTTTTGGGTTTGAGACTTATGAAATGTTTTCATCCTTTTCCCCTAAAATGCACTGGTGCACATGCAACAGGATTTTATGTATGTTTATCGCGGAGGTTTCCATCTTTTGGGAACCTCACCTGGACTCTATCCTAAAGCAGGAAAGATTGTTGACCACTTGTGAGCACAGACAGCTGAAAAGAGTTTAGATTAAGTTTATATGATCTAATTTGTAGTCCTGCTTGTTATTTGACCTTGTGACCATTGACCACTGTCTTGGTTACTTTTCTCTAGTTGCTGAGACAAAATACTTGACACCCAGAATTAAAGGGAGAAAAGGTTTATTTAGCTCATAGTTTGTGGAGGTTTCGGTCTGTACTCCGCTGGCTCCAAGGTAGAATGGCACATGGCAGAGGGCAACAGTTCATGGCCTTGGAAAACAGCAAAGCAGCAAGAGCAAAAGGGAGGAGCAGCAAAGGGAAGAGCAAGCCTCTTTCCCTCCTTTACATTGTATGCAAACTACCCACCTGGTGGGTGTAGCACTCACACCCATAATCCCAGCATTGGACCGTGGATCAATCATAAACTCTAAAAGCCCATTTCATGACTACATGAGGCTTTCAGGGGACATCCAGACACAAACCATAACAACCGCCTACCATATCTGAACTTCACAATTGTCACACAGCAAATATTTATTCTACCTTCTTAGAGAGAATCAAAACCTGGGCACTTGTTAGAAGCACAGAACCTCAGATCTCATTCCAGACTTGCTGAATTGGGCTTGAGGTGCATTAGGGGTTGGCTACAAGCAATTTCTTTTAAGAAGCAAGCCCTCAAGATGATTCTCATGCCTGTTCAAGTTTGAGAATCAGTGCTATAAACAATTTCCCATTTTTTTTAGTATGGTTCACAGAAACATTTTATTTCATGGTACACGTGTTTACTCCAATAAAAGGTTTATGAAAATATCATATCCTGTAGAATCTTACATTGATGTTCTGTTATAGTTCCTTTTTTGTTTTAAATGCTAGTACCACAATATTAAAAGATATTATAGCGTAATTGATAAAATTTGAGTATGGACTCTAGATTAGGTAATTATGTCAGTGTTACATTTCTAGATTGTAGAAACTGAACTGTGACTATCAAGGTAATTCCCTCCTAGGAAAGACATACTGACAAACCTACAAGTAAGGGATGCAGTGTCTCTAGTTTACCATGCACATACAGCAAGCAAATGAGACAAAACAAAAACTGTGGGTGGATCTGGGTAGAGGTACACAGAAACTCCTTGCACTTTTTAAAAATAACTTTTCTGTAAGTTTGAAATAATGTCAAATGAGTTACTCAACCAAATATTGGTTCAGACACACTAAACTGATTTTGATATTTACACATGAGTATCTGAAAAATACTGGTGTAATGTACATGGCATATTTTAAAGTCAAAGTTTATGTATTGTATTCTGCCAGAGTATCCCTAGTACTTTTGTACAATGCCTGGTATTTGAAGGATAGTCAGGACCTGTCCACTGCTTACTGCCATTATTACTATTAATATATTATTATGTATTTTTCCTGACACTGTTACTTCCAATTTTTATTCTAGTCATTATTATATTTGTTTATTTTAAGCATGTTGAAGATATGCAGCTCTATCTTTTTTATACTAATGCTCACTGGAGGGAGTTTTTAAATGGTGGAAAGAGGGCAGCACTGGATTTGAAGTAACGTGGATTTTAATGTATGTTCTTGCCTTTTCTGTTTAATAGTGCAGGATATTCAAAGAACACTTTAGGAGGAATACATTCCATGAAAGCCGTAAGTTGCCTTTTTATATTTTACTGTAATTTTCTCACTGTTGACAAAGCAAAATAATATTTTGTGGGAATCTCAGAGTTTTGGAGACTTAGTAAGCTTAATGTTTTATTGTAGTGTAGAAATATATTCTTCCCACCTTTTCCAATATAATGGAGAAAATGACCTTTGTTAACATTTTAGATCTTTTTTTCTGACCCTAGGTTTATTTTATTTTCATTTAGGTAATTGATATCATGTAAAAATTGTGTAACATTCTAAAGTTTACCATTTTTACTCAAAGCAATTTATCTGTGTTATAGTTTTAAAAATTGTTTATGATTTCATGATATTCCACTTAGTCCATATTCTAGTTTTGTTTTTCTTTTGGAGGAAGTCTTTAAGTAAATGTAGATTAAATACTTTTTTTTGGTAGTGGTGCTGGGGATTGAATCCAGAGCCTCATGCATGTGAGGCAAGTGCTGTATTGTTATACTACATTTCTTTTTTTAAACACTCTTTACAGCTAATTGCAGATTTTTGTCCAGTGGCTTGTCCTGTTGCCATTGGCTTTTCACACTAACCCTGAGAGTGCCTGCTTATTAGGTTTAAGGGCAGTTGAGACCCAGCCTCCCTTTCCGCCCCCACTGGCTTTCGCTGTCCTAGATGGTCTCTCTGTGCCTTGCCGCTCTAACCCCAGCTTCAGAGGATGGCTCCTTTGCTGTCCATGAAACCTGTGGATATATCTGGGATTGTGCCCCCTGCCCAGCTGGCTTGTTCTCTTTGTGGATTTCTCTCAGCTGTCCTGTCCTTCCCCCTCTGCTCCTGTTACACTTACAGCACAGTGTGCCTGGGAGTGGGAGGTCCTCTATGCTCTTTAGCCTTGCCCCCAGCCTCCCTTAGTTGAAAGTCAGAATGTCTGGCCTGGATTTCTTCACTTTCCTGTCCTCTTCCTTCTGCAGGGCAGCACAAATGATGGAGGCCCCCTTTGCCTCCGAGCATCAGCTGTTTTTGGCACTGTGCCACCATGCGCTGGCTCTACGAGTGATGCTTTCACTGAAGGCCTGAGAGGAGTAGTATGTTTGTTTTGTTTACTAACTTTAATGCATCTTTTTTTATACCTTCCAGAATTTTCTTATTTTCTTCTCTGTTAATAGTATCCTTCCAGGTTTTCCAAGGTCTTGTGAAAGTTTTTTTTTTTTCCTGTTTTCATTAGAATTCAGGGTAGCAAACTTCATGGACTTGGGAGTATATTCAACTGTAAACCCTCACTCTCTTTTGCAGGACCTCTCACCCTGTCTAACCTTGAAACTTGATGAACTTTTGTGTATATGACATATTTCTAGGGAGAGAGCCTATAACCTTCCCAGATCAGGGACTTAGGCAACCTATAGCCTGGGCCAAATGTAGCCCGCAACTTGTTTTTGTACAGCCCTCCCAACTAAGAATGATTTTTATATTTTTCAGTAGTTGAAATAAAATAAAAATATTTCATGGTGTGTAAAAATGACGTGAATTTAAGTTTCAGTGCCCTTGAATAAAGTTTTATTGGAACACAGCCATGTTCCTGTTTGCTGCATCAACATTAGCTGCTTTCACACCAATAGCTGAGTTAAGTATTCCCATCTGAAACCTAGATATTTAGCCTTAGATATTTTTTCTCTCGTCTTTTATAGGTTTGCCAACCCCTGCCTTAGATGAATAAAGGAGTGTTTCTCTCAAACATGTAAAACAGCTTCTTTGGGCAGCAGTAATAGCAGGAGCATCCTTGCTAAATAAATCAGCTTTGTGATGTTCTTTGTTAGTGCCAATTCACTGACTCTGATTTTATTCGCTTTTAGAAAGCTGATCAAAAGCACAAGCCTCATGATGTGTTTGACTTTGTTGATAATTCTGTGAACTCGAGTAGGTTGAGTGAAAATGAGAAAGATGAAGAGCCTTATGAAGCTTTTGGTTAGTATTTTAAATCTTTACCCTAAAATGACTTGAAACCAATAATATTTAAGCTCGATATAATAAAAATATAGGAGTATCTTCAAATACAAAAATTAGTTGTCTGCATGTAAATATAATGTTCTGGGGAGTACTTGATAATTTGAATTCCACTTTCTGTCCATGAATTTGACTATTCTAGGTACTTCATGAGAGAGGAATTATACAATATTTTTCTTTTCATAACTGATTTATTTCATATAATATACTCTCTTCACGGTTCACTCATGTTGTACCATGTGTCAGAACTGCTTTTCAGAAGCTAATATTTCATTACACACACACACATACAGACACACACAACCACACAGCCACACAACCACTCTGTTTATGTATTCATCTGCCAGTGGACATTTGAATTGCCTCTGCCTTTTGACAGTTGTGGATAATGCTGCTATTAACACGTATGTATACAAGGGTGTACAGATATATCTTTCAGCCCCTGCTTTTTCATCTCTTTTGGGTATATATGCAGAAGTGGAATTACTGCATTATGTGATAATTCTAGGTTCAGTTTTTGGAGGAATTACCGTGCTGTTTTCCACAGTGACTGCACCATTTTATATTCTACCAACACTGCATAGGGTTCCAGTTTCTCTGCATCCTCACCTATACTTGTTATTATTTTTTTCCTGAGAACAGCCATCCCAAAAGCTGTGAGTGTATCTCAGTGTTTTGTTTTGCATTTTGCCAATGACTAAAGGGGTAAAGCATCTTTTCAATGTGCTTATTGGCCAGTTGTTTATCTGCACTGAAGAACTGTCTATTTAATCCGTTTGCCCATTTTAAAATTGTATTACTTTGTCATTTTATTTTTAAGTTGAAAGATCCAGCTTTATGACTGCTTACAAATGGGAAGTCAGGATTAGTCTATTTTTCTTTCCTGTTATTCACAGCTAAAGAGAAAACAAATCCCTTTGCTTAGTTGAAGACAATACAGAGTATATGACTCATTTTAAAATTATGAGGTTGGTATGCTCAATGTTTAACTAGCTGTCTGGAAAAAGTGTTTAAACGTGCATCACATGCTGAAATTTGAAGTGCTTGAAGAAATAGCTGCGTGGCTTTTACTGGCCACCTCCTCTGCCCCTGCTCCTCCCGGCTCTTCACCCCTGCCCAGCCCTGCCATGAGTGCCCCCTGCATGCTGTGTTCCATTACTTCTCCTTCCAGGGTGGGTAGAAGCACCCTTTTCTTAGCATTTCTTTTCCATGCCTTCCCACCATGGCCATTTGGGCTCCTTCTCTTACCTTTTGCCTCATTAAAGTTAGGTTTTTATACTATTTAAAGGCTCTAGCAATTGAGTAAATAAGAAAAGCTAGAATCTTTCCCCACAAAGGGTGCATTTGGTTACAAGTATGAGTGCTCAGTACTTTGTAAGACAAGAATGGGCCATCCACTGCAAACCTGTTGAATTGGTCTTTGAAGCAATGGTCTCCCACAAACAACGTATGTTACTCCATAGGAGCGTGGAAAGAAAATGTTAAACTTCCTATTTAGTTATATCTATATGTTTTTATCTCATGAAAATATTCCTGTTAATATATAAGTGTAGTAATATAAGTTATGTAAGTACAGGAATATAAGTTTATAATTTTAGAATATCCATGCATTTATTGATGATGTGGTTTAAATTTTTATTACTCATTTGTGAAATCAAAAACATTTTGGAAGTGGCTTGTGTAGCTGATTTGTTTTTTATTGGCCATTTTAACAAAGATTGCTTTGAATTCCACTGTAAAGGAATAAATATAGTGCCCAAACAATCAGATTTTTAAAGGTTGTACATTCTGTATCTTTTGTAGACCCTCCGTTACATAGCACTGCTCTATATGCTGATGAAGAAGAATTTTCCAAACACTGTGGATTATCTGTCCCCTCAACTCCTCAGAGAAAAGGAAAAAAGAAAAAGTATGATATTTCAACCAACTGTTTATTTATGCTTGATGGGATTTCTGAGCAACTCTTTAAAATAGAAGCTAATAAAACTAAAGTATTTTTTAAGATCTTTTGAGCTTGGTGTTGTGGTGCATGCATGTGGTGTAATCCCAGCACTTGAGAGGCAGAAGCAGAAGGATTGTCATGAGTTCTAGGCCAGCCTGGAATACAGTGACACCCTGTCTTAGAAAACGAAACAAAAAAATCTTTTGAACCAACTTGTTATATTTTCCCTCAAGAGACCTGGGACATAAAAACTTAATTTTTCAGTAATTGACTTTACTTACAATATTATAATCATTGACATAATAGACACCCAATTATCTGTCTTTATGGGGTTGAGTTAAGTTTATAAATCAGACTAAAGGAAATGGATATATGTATGATGATGCACAAATATCTGTATCTATTTGTCTAAGGTCTTTGTATCCTTTAGTGCTGTTGTTTGTTTTGTTCATATAAACTTGGTACATTTCTTAAGTTTATTCCAAGGTAATTTATCTTTTCCGTTGATATTAGGCAGTTATAAGTGAGGTCTTCTATTTTATCTTCTCTGTTGTAATTGTCTGTGTGAAAGCTAAGAGTTTCTTACATTAAGTCTTTACTATTTTTTAATTCAAATTTATAAGTTATTAATCATTACCTCTTTGCCAAATACTAGATATTGGAAAATAAAGATGAACGCTTTGTGCTTAAGAATATCCTCTTACGATGTTGTTTGTCCATTGTGGAATGATGCAGTAACCCCGCTTGCTTTGGCCTCTCTGCTGATCTTCCCATTCCTTCCTCTGCTCTACCTCGGGCTCTGCCTGGACCATTTGCTGCACTTGGGTTGCTGTTCCTCCTGTGTCTGCATGGCTTGGTGCCATGCTTCCTTCTGAATTTCAAATGTCACTTTATCACAGAGTCTACTCGGATACTTCCCAGAAAAAGTACTCTTCTTTATCAGTATATTTTCTCTACTCAGTCCTTTTTCTCAGAGCATTTATATCTTGATATTTATGTTACCTAAAGACAGAGTTTACTGCTGCTCAGCAGGTTCCTGGAACACAGTCTGGCACACAGTAGACAGTGAATATTCAAATTCATTCTTCGCGTGTGCAGTTTGTGACGTGGCTGAGAGGTGACTAACTGTGGACCACCTGTGCTGGGAAAGATTTGACCTCAGATGGCAGGTTCAGAGTAACCCACCAGGCAGCTCTGGGAGAAGGACTGCCTCCTGAAAGAGTCCTGTGTTGGACAGAAATGCCCAGGCCCTAATTTCGCCACCGTTCTGTTACTGTCTGGAGACTACTCACAAATGCTGCGCTGGATCCTGAGGGCTCTGCAGCCGGAGCCCATCACTTCACTCCAGCGGGTCTGAGCAGCATGCCCTTGTGGCTGTCTCCCAGCTGCTTCTGGCTGTACCCTTTGATTTCCTTCCTAGCATTTTCTTCTCTTGAACACTGCATTCTATCTATACTCTGTTTTACTTTTTGAACATGCCAGGCTGTTTTGTATCACCATGCTTTTACATTTCCATTTCTTTCTGCCTCAGAGGCCTTTCCCTGTACTTCTTTGCCTGGAAAAGTATTTTCAAAAGTCAGCCGAGTATCATAGCCATGGTACTTTGTTAATTCTCCAGCCATATATCCACATCTTCTCTGTGAGATACTTGCTAAGTTATTCAGTATTATCTTTGGTCTTAGGCATTGAACCCTTTAAAGGGGGGGCCTTTTCCCTCATTTTTAAAATAATGATATTCCTCACATTTGTGTTCTGAGGTTGATGTTAAATATATATTTATCAAATTGAATTAAAAGATGAATTCTCTTCCATCAGAAGTTAGAGTTATTTTGTCCTTTTATAGGATAAAAGAAGTATTCCCTTCTGTGTTACATAATGATGAGGCTAAAATCAACTTTTTTTGGAGCCAGAGTCTCACTGCATACCTCAGGCTGGCCTTGAACTCACATTTCGTCCAGGCTGGCCTTGAACTTGAAGCAGTCCTCTTGCCTCAGCTTCCAAGTGCTGGGATTGCAGGCATTTGTTATCACACCTGGCTTGGATTAGCTTTTAATATTGTTGATGGCTCACATTTCTGGGACTAGTAAAGAAAGATGCAATTCGCAGGACCACAAAGTGCTGCAGGAACGGATTGTTATTACTTGTCAAGACGAACTGATGTGACCTACAGGTAGGAAGATACAGGAGAAGACCAGTCAATCTAGGAAGGTGACTGGGCCGCCCATGACAAGGAGGGTATCTCTTCATTATATTGAGCTTGTTTTCATGTTAGGCAAACAACCTGTAGAAGATTGAATAAAAGTGGATGTATGTAAAATATTGGTGGCTTGTTCTTTGGTGCAGTTCGAATACTTCTGAAAATGAAGCAAGTGAAGATGACTCTGTAAAAATTAGTGCAAAAAAGGTATGTAGAAGCATTCTTTTCTACCTTAATTTATAAGATAGTTCATATTTTATTTAGATTGGGTGCAAATAGAGAAAAATAAACTGTTTCATCTCCTGTTTAGTACAAATAGAGAAAATGTTCGGTAGCTACACTTTTCATGGAGAAAACATGTTTTAGGCAATGCTTTTATAATAGTGAAATATTTTTATCTGAAGTGTTTTTACTAAAGAGATCTCAGATCTCTTATGTACCTAGTCAGTTTTCATATTGCTTGTATTCGTGATGTGCAAAGGTAGAGAGATTTGTGGGGGAGATTTACTTGGAGCTCTTTAATCTAGGTTTCATGTCCTGTCCACTAACCATGTTGCCATCCATGTAGTATGTTCAGTTTTCAAGTTAGAAATGAGAACTGTGAATTCTACAGTTTTCTACCACTACAGTAAAATCATAAGGATTTGTTCTTTCTAAGCTTGTGATGCTGTTTCCTTCATAGCTAAAAAGAAAAATCAAGCCCCTTAGTTTTGAATCTGAAAGTGGTGACGAAGGTGACATAAGAAGAAAAGTTAAATCAGCAGAGAAAATCAGCACACAGAGGCATGAAGCTGCTCCTGCGCTGGCATCTTCAGACCCTTCAGAGAAACCAGCTGGACCAGTGACTCCTAAAAGGACAGAACCCCTCAGGGCCCAGTCCTCTGCTGACAAAGAGACGATGCAAAGTCTACCGGTAAGAGTGTCTGCCATTTCTTTGGAGAGACAGAACAGCCTGCTGAAAAATGCTTCCGGGGAGCCAGGCGTGGTAGCGCACACCTGTAATCCCAGCACTCGGGAGGCTGAGGCAGGAGGACTGTTGCAAGTTTGAGACCAGCCTGGGCTACAAAGTGAGCTCAAGGCCGGCCTGAACTGCATAGCGAGACCCTGTCTCAAAAAGACAAAAACAAACAAACAAACAAAAAAATATGCTTGAGGGGAAAAGAAAGCATTTCTTTTTTTCCTTCATTTCTTCTCAAAGGTAAACTTTAAATTTTTTTATTATAAAAATGTTTGAGAAAATCTAGGCAACATGGAAAGGAAGATAAATTCACCTGGAAGCCCATAACCCAGAGATGTCCAGCGTGGTTTTCTGTGTGTCCTCTTCAGTCCTCTCACTGGGCTGTGTGACAGTAAATGTGATCATCTGTAATGTAATCGCTAGGTATTCTACAGTGTCATTTTAGTGGATGCAGATAGCGCTCCTTTCATGGATGCTCCATAGTTCAGTTCATCTCTTACTGGTAACGACTGCCATTTAGCAACTTGAAGTGCTTTGTTTAATTTCTTTACAGCTAAACCTTTGCACACACTTGTGATCGTTTCCTTAGAAAACTACTGCTCTGATAAGATTTCTGGGTCATATTTGATCTACAGTTCTTGATGTACAATGTCTTTTGGTCAAACTCTCAATATGTCCTTGTATTAATTCAGTTACTTTCATGTTTTGGGTAAATAATTTATTCTCAAATTTGAAAAAAATTTAATTATAATGAAGTCCCTGTTCCCCAGTCTTCCACTTCCCACCTTACACCCCCTAAACACAGACAGGCAACCTTGTAATTGGTTTCTTCCAGAGTTTCCTTCTGCACAGAGGAATGTGTTTGTTTATTTTGATTTCCTTTTTTTTTTTTATCATAAACAAGTATATACCTGTTGTCTGGCTCTTTTTGGTCTGTCTTAGTGAACACCCATGTGCACTTGAACTTGGGGCTGCAGGGTGTAGTTGTGAGTGACCTCACGTTGGTAAGGTCAGGTTGACTGATAGTGTAGCTCAGATGTTATGTTTGGTTGTGATTGTGTTGGTAAGGTAGCTGATGGTCTGATCTATCAGTTGCATGGAGGAGGTATTTTTTAACATCACACTTTTATGGATTTTCTTTAGTTCTTTGACTTGTCTTGCCCTGTCTAGTTTTGTTTGAGGTTGGTTGTTCTTGTTTTTGTTCTTGTTCTTGTTTTTTTTGAGATGAGGCCTTGCTGTGATGCTCAGGTTGGCCTTAAATTTGTGGGCTCAGCTGGGCATGCCAGCACAGATATGTAATCCCAACACTTGGGAGGCTGAGGCAGGAGGATCACTGCAAGTTTGAGGTCAGCCTAGGCTACATAGTGAGCTGAAGGCTAACCCAGACTGCATAGTAAGACCCTGTCTCAAAAGGGATAAAAAAACAAGAAACAAACTTGTGGGCCTGACTGATCCTTCCACCTCAGCGTCTTCAGTAGCTGACTATACAAGTGTGTGTCACATACCCAGCTGCTTTGAAGTTTTGAGATATTTTCCCCAAAAACTCTTTATTATTTTAATTATTATTTTTAATTTAAAAATTGTGGATACATTTGTGGGATACAGTGTTGCCTTTTTTTTGTTTTTGTTTTTCCGGTACGGGGAATCGAACTCTTGACCTTGCGCTTGCCAGGTAGGCGCTTATGCTGCTGAGCTAGATCCCCAGCCCCCCAGTGTTGCCTTGATATATGCACACAGTATGGAATAATAAAATCAAGTTAATTAGAGTGTCTACCACCTCACCCCTTTTTGTGGTGAGACATTTGAAGTTTGCCCTTGTAGGTATTTTTTGAAATTCCTTATTTACTGTACTCTACTAAGCTGTGCAGCAGATCTGAAATCAGTGTGCTTCCTGTCTAACTGAAACAAACCTTTTAATTAACCTGTCGCCGCTCTCTTGCATTCGTACTCTTATAGTCAGCATGTTCTTATTCAGTTTCACAGTGTCTGTCTTTTAATTGAATTGTTTGGTTCATTTACTTTTTATGCAGTTATTGATACAGTCAGGTTGATGTCTACCATCTTGCTATTTTTCATCTGACTCTTCTGTTTTTGTACTTGTATTATTCCTCTTATAAAAGTCCATTTTAAAAACATAACTTTAGAGCCAGGTGGTGGCACACACCCATAATCCCAGCACTCAGGAGGATTGCCATGAGTTCAAGGCCAGCCTGGACTACATAATGTCTCAACCCCTCCCCCTAGGTATAGATGTATGTATGTATAAAACTTAAACTATAGTAGGTTCAAGTAGGTTCAGTTCTTACACTGTTTTCCGTTTACCCCCTTTTATGTTGTTTTCTTGTTAATTCTGGATTAATTTAGTATTTTTTAGTATTTTGTTTTCTCTATGGCTTCTTAGCTATGCCACTATTTCTTTTAGTTGTTACCCCTGGGTTAAAAATGTACACCTTTAACATGTCCTCGACGCGGCCACAATTCATATGTCTCCATGCTGGGTGGCTCTGAGTCACCGGTGGGCATGCATGACAGTCCCATTGGGTGGCATGGGACAGGCCCATAGGGTGGTGGAAGCTGCTGGATGGGACAGTCATGCATGTTTCACCGGCGGCCCAAGCCAGCAGGAATATGTTAAATTAGCAAAGCCTATTTAGAATCTGTGTGTTACAACTTCATCTATCCCTACTTCCTGCTTTCTACCTGGAAATTTCATACATGTAATTACATAACAATGTCAAAATTCCATTTTTCCATCCCACATCTTCTGTTCTTCCACTTCATCTGCTTTGCTTGTATATATATTATAAATCTTATCTTACAATATTATGATTTTTGTTTGCAGTGGTTGTCTTGTATGAAATTATAAAAAGTCTTTCATTTCGTACCCATTTATTTTTCTTTTCCAGTTCTTTTATTGCCTTCCTTTAGATGTATGCTTCCATCTGATACCTTTTCCTTCAGCCTGTAGAACATCTTCTAGCATTGCTAGATTCTCTCAGGTTTTATCTGAAAGTGTCTTTATTTCACCACTAATTTTAAAGGATATTTCACTGGATATAGATCTTCAAATTGACAGTTTTTTCTCCAGCTCTTTAAATATGTTACTCTGCTGTTTTCTGGTCTCCCTTGTTTCTGACAAGTCAGTAAGTCTTGTCCGGTTCTTATGTACATTTTCAGCGTCCTTCATCTGTAGATTCTTTTGAGATTTTTTCTTCGGTTTTCAGCATATTAACTATGACATATGCCTAGATGTATCATATTTATCTCCCGCGGGGTTTGCTGAGCTGCTCAGTGAAGCCAGGAGAAGTTTAATCATTATTTTTTCCAATAGTATTTCTGCCAAATTATCAGTATTTCTGCCAAATTTGAATTTTTATTAGACAAACTTTAGATCACTAGGTACCATATTTTCCTCCGGTCCTGAGATTCTGATCCCTTGTGAAATCTCTACTTTCTCTTAAGCTAAACATTGGATACATTTTTGTTGCTGTGTCTTCAAGTTCACTGACTATTCTATAGCCATTTATAATACGTAGTTAAATCCATATGGAGTGGCTGAACAGTGCCTCCTAAAGATACACCCGCATCCTGATTCCAGACTATCCTGATTTACATGGCTGGGCCACAGATGTAATCATAAGTCTGCTCATACGAGAGGTAAAAGACTAAACCATACAGAGGAGAGGATGATGTGAAGACAGAGGCAGGGACTGGGTGATGCAGCCCTAACCCTAGGAAGGCCACAGCCACCAGAAGCTAGAAGCGATAAGGAATGAATTTTACCCCTAGGCCCTTGAAGCAAGTGCTGTCCTGCTGATACCTTGGCTTTAGCTCCATGAAGACTGATTTCAGACCTTCGAACTGTGAGAGGATAAGGGCTAGAGTGTGGCTTAGTGGTGTAGCACCTGCCTAGAGTGAGCAAGGCCCTGCATTCCATCCACTGCAAAAACCAAAAAGCCCCACACAACTGTCTGCTGTCGTTGTATCCCTTGCTGTTAATTTAGGCCAAGTTTGTGGTAGGTTGTTATAGTAGCCATAGAAAACTGATACACCACCTAATACGTTTTTTCTTTTTAGTTATATGCTTTTTGGTTCTAGAATTTATGTTTGGTTCTTTTTATAGTTTCTGTTTCACTGATGCTGTATTAGTCAGCTTTCCTGGTGCTAGATTGAATACCCGACACCTGCAACTTAAAAGAGGCCAGGCCATTAGCTCACAGGGTAGTCCTCAGAGGCCAGGAAGCAGAGAGAGAAGCAGTGCGGGAAGGAGGGGCCGTGGGCCATATGCAGTCCCTAAGGCCACGCCTCCATGACCCCCAGACACATCCAGAGGTGTGTTTCACTAATCTGTGCATTTCTTCATCCCCTCAAATGGGCACATCATGGTTAATGGTCACAGATGAGATTGTCTAGTGAGGCCACCATTTCAGTTACTTCCTTAGACATAATTATGATGGTGTCTATAAAGTATTTTCTAAATGCATTATCTGCCATTGTCGGGGTCTTGTTTGGGTTAGTTTCTGTTGTATTTTTTTTTCTGTCATTTCTATGGATCACATTTGCCTGTGTGAAATTTTAAATCTCGTACTTTTTAATTGTGTAATAGACATTGTCAGTGATAGGTTGTTGATTGAACTTTGTATCTTGTGAATAGTGTTACCTCTTGTTCTAGCAGGTGTAGCTGATTACTTGCTGATCATCTCGATGTTCTGTAGGCTGAATTTTTATCTATTGTTTGGGTCAGCTTGTGGAATGCCTAAGGCACAGGTGGTGAATTTATGGCACCTGTGCCACAGGGGGCTGTCTGTATCATTGAAAGCTCTAAAAGATTCCCTGTGACTGGCCTAAGGTGTTTCCTAAGTGTCTGTAACGTAGCGAGACTCAGCGCTGTATTAGTTTTCTAATACAGTGTTACATAACAAGTTACCACCATCTTAGTGGCTTAAAACAGCTTACATTTTTATCTCACAGTTTCTATAAGTCAAAGTCTAGGCTCGACTTAGCTGGCTTCTCTGCTTAGGGTCTTGAAAAGCAGAAATCAAGATCTACCCAGGACTGAAATCCCATTAGACTCCTCATCTACAATTTTTCAGATTGTTGGGAGAATTCAATTTCTTGAGTTGGAAGACTAAGGTCCCTGTCTTCTCATTAGCAGCAGGCAGGGGTCGTCTCCACGCCTTCATGGTGCCCTCAGGTGCTGGTGGCCCTCTCCCAGGATGGCAGCCAAAGACTCTCTTCAGGCTACTACAGGGTTTCCCTAATCCTGAGAGCGGTGGTCCTGTCATGCTCACAGGTACCGTCCGTACTGAGCGGGGGTCGCCTTAGACTTCTGCTGAGCACAGCCTCCACTCTGTCTCCCTGCTGAGTCTCATCAGAGGTTGGTTTTGGGCTTTATTTGGGTGGTCTAGAGTAGGCCTAACTCTAGGGCAGTGATTCTCAGCCTGTTTTTGTGATTGTCCTCCCTAAGAAGCCTTTTAGATAGTCATGTTTCCTCCAAGTCACTCTCACTCCCAAATATAAAATTAAACTAATGCCACAATGACACTGTGTATTACTTTGTGGTCTGCGACCCTTTGACCTAAGATTTTCTTATATCTTCCCCCTCAGAACCAGGTTTGCCCTGGTCAGAGCAGCTGGCCCTGTGTAAGAATGCATGCTTGAGTTTATGACTCTTACCCTAAGTATGATCTTCCTGCCTGACAGACAGGGGTGGGCGTCCAGACATGGACACCTTCTGAGTGTACCTTTTGTCAGGGAACCCAGTCGTACATTGCTTATTGTCTGATGCCTGAGTAAAGTTGTACCTCTTCCCCCATTTCATGGTTGTTTATGAGAAGAGTGTTGACTTAGGACAACTCCTCAAAAGCTATGATTGCAGGAGCCAGAATGTGCCACCCCAAAATATATTTCTTTTGCATATTTCAAGCTGATTTTTCTGAGAAATTGGAGACACAGAAGTAGCTCTGAAAAGGTATGGGTTTTTTTAGTTTTGTTTTTGAGACAGGGTCTTGCTATATAGTTCAGGCTGGCCTTAAAGTCACTATGTAGTCCAGGCTGCCTTGGAACTCGTGGCAGTCCTCCTGTCTCAGCTTCCCAGTGCTGGGATTATATGCGTGCGCCACCATGACTGGCAATCTATGGTTTTGCAAAAGCAATTTGTATCTATAAAAGGAATCTACATATCAGGAAGTAGGAGGCAACTTATGTGAGAGACTTTTACCAAAGGACCACTGTTACTAACTCCACATTTCCTTCTCAGAGTGTCTGTGGCCTCCCCCTCTCAGAAGCTCAGGATCCTGTTCCTTTCTTAGCTCAGGTCCCATGTTTTGTGGGCTTCCTGTGGGTGGGCCCTTATGCGTGTATTGGTAATTAAATACGGTTTTTCTCCTGTTGATCTGTCAATTTTTTTGGTAGCCCTCACAAAGAACCTAGAATGGTGGAGGGGAGCCATTTTCTCCCTCCTGTGTGGGCTTTAAGAATTGGTTCTTGGGTCAGGGATGTAGCTCAGTGGCACAGCGCCCTCCTGGCAAGTGCGAGGCCCTGAGTTGGATTCCTGGTACTAAAAAAAAAAAAAAAAAAAAAAAAGAAGTGGTTCTTAAAGAGTCTGTGAGCAGAAATTTGAGCTGATACTTAAATATTAAAAGTTCAACTTCCTCCATTGCAATAATTGTTAAAAGTCAACAGGAAGTTTCACTGTTTTATTTTCTACAGTGTTCTGTTATATATTTGTACCACTAATATTAATTTAGAACTGAGAATTTTAGCTTAAATATTGACTGATGGTTTGATAATACTGTCTTCCTTTCCTTTCTTTGATCTTTTTGCTTTCCATTGGGGGTGGTGGTTCAGTCAGGGTCTCACCATGTAGTCTAGGCTGGCCTTGAAGTTGCAGTCCTCTTGGAAAGCCTCCTAAAGGTTGGGATTACAGGCCACTGAACCTGGCTTGATAATAATGTGTTAGTTCTTATGTTTTAAGTACAAGCTTTTCTTAAATAAAAATCTATGGTTTTAATTTTTTCGGTAGAAAATTCAGAAAAAAGGGAAGATATCTCCTGGCAAAAGGAAGAAAGCAAGAAGTGAAGCCATAGACTCAGGTACAAGATGGTATTTTACACTTTGACACTTACTCAAGGATTTCATGAGGAAAGGTTTATTATTTGTTAAAGTAGCAAATTGTAAGTTCATACAGTTGCCACTTCTGAAAAGTAACATATGACTTTGGAGCAACCTTGTTTTCTAATGTCATGAAAAATTTCTACAAGCCGTAAAGAAGATCAGCAGGAGAAAAAGTTCTGAGAGAACTGTACAGTATATATTTATATACCCATCACTTAGATTTTACACTTAACACTTTATTACACTTGCTTTATCACTTTCTGTTCATTAAGCACTTTATAGTTTACCTGAGGGTTACTAGGGGAGCTCGCTTCTTTCTGTAGTGACTTTACTGAGCGTCCCTTGGTCAGCTGTCATTTCAACCACTTGATTCTTAACCCTGAATAAACTTGATAAAATTGCTGTTTTTATATTTGTTACATTATCTAGTAAAAATTAACAAAAAATGTGCACTTTTTGGTCATCCTGTATTTATGTAGCTAGACTAGTAAGTGGTTAATACACTCCGTTTTTTAAAATGTCTTAAAAATAAACAACAGAGGTCAGTAAACTTCTCCTGAAAATACTTAGCTCACACATCATTAACTCAGTAGAGTTCAGTGTTTACAATTTTTTCGGTTAATATAAAATATTCATACAATGAAATGCCTCGATCTCAAGTGTGTAATCACTTGAGTTTTGAAAGTGCAGTTATATGTGAAACTCAAAGCACTATCAAAGTCTAAACGTTTCCCATTACTCTAGAAAGTTTCCCTTGACCTCAGTCAATCCTCACTTCCACATCCCAGGAGGCAATTTCTTTGGGAATTCCACAGATTAATTTTGCACATTCTGTAGTGTCATGTAGATGGCACTGCCTCGTATGTACCCTGGAGATTCATCCGTACTGTTCTGAGTCACTTTTATTGCTGAGTGGTGTTCCAGTGCGTGACTACTGCATTTTCTCCAGTCTTTTATCGATGGATAAGTGAGTTGTTTCAGGTTTTGGCTATTAATAAACCCATTGTGAACATTTTCATACATATGTTTTGTAAACATGTTTTTATTTCTTTTAGGTAAATACAAAGGATATAATGGTTGAGTTATACGATGGGTGTATGTTTAATTTTACAAGAAACTGTCAAACTTTAGAGACTGTTTTTCCCAAAGTAGTTGTATAATTCCACACTCTCATCAGAAGCTATATGTTTGAAATGTTACTAAGAATATAAAAAACAACTTCATATAAATTTAAAGTAGATGAAAAAGAGACCCTCTACCTTGTAACACATTAATACCTAGAAAAATACAAGGTTAATAGAACTTTTAAAGAAAAAATCTAGAATAATCCTATAACTATTAAAGAAATTGATTAGTAGTTAAAGCTTTTCTATGAAAATAGGCTACTCAGAATCCTCAGTTATAGTATAGGTGTGTCTAACAGACATTTAAGAAACAGCTACTTCTAGCCTGTGAACAATGACACAAAAGATAGACCAGAAGAAACCTATGTGTGTGTGGAAATTTGATAAATGTATGACAGAGATAGTATTTACTGATCACTGGGGCTAGGTCTCCCCTATAGAAAAAGGAAACAACTTCTCTGACACAGCACACACATAAAAAGTAGTTCTACATGAATTCAAGACTTAAACATGAAAGTTAAAACTTCACAGTTTTTAGAGGAGATATGAGTTTATTACTGTGAATTGAGAAGGATTTCTTAAGTAAGACACAAAAATCTTAGTAGGTTTGACTTCATTAAAATTAAGGATTTCTACTTACCAAGAGACCATAAGGGAAGGCACAGGATGAAAAATAGGCTGAAAAGAAGATACTGCAACACATTCAACACATCACTCTTAAAAAGTGAATGAAAAGATAGCCTAGTAGAAAAATGAGCAGAAAACACCAATAGATTTTCACAGAAGAATAAACAGAATAAAGCAAACATCTGAAGAGTCCATTTGTAGCTTTCTATTATCATAACAAAGTACCTAAAGTAATCAATTTACAATATAAAAGAAAAGGTTTTATTTTGGCTCGCAGTTTTGGAAGTTTCAGTTCATGGTCAGTTGGCTCCTTGAGGAGTGGTAAGTCCACACATCATAGTGGAAGCGCATGGCAGAGCAAAACTGCTCGGCTTATGGCCAGGCAGCAGAAGAGAAGAGGAAGAAGGGAGCAGGATACTACCGTCCTTTCCGGGCATCCTCGCAGTGACCTAAAGACCTTCTGTGAGGCCCCACTTCTTAAGAGTTCTACCGCCTCTGAATAGTGCTGTGAACACCTGGGCCTTTTAATTGAGAAGTCTAAACTACAGCTATAGTGAAGCACCCTTTTGTACCTACTAGACTGGTAAATATTTTAGTTTTTCTGTTCCATACTATTTAACGAGATAGTCCTCAGTGGAAATCCTTAACCAATATAGCTAGAAGGAGATATAATTACTTTGAAAATCATTTTGGCAACCCTCTGGTAATGTTGAAAATGAGCAAACTTTAAAAATCCAGCATTCACTGGTGAGTGTGTTCACTAGAAATTCTTGTACCTCTCCATGAAGCATGTATATAAGTGCTCCTAGCATTATTTTTATGCTAGCAAAACCTATCACAGTAAAATTGATAATTGTAGTATATTTATGCACTGGAATAGAATACAAAAGTAGAATTTTCACTTTCATATAAATATAATATGGTCAAAAACATGCAAAACTCAACTATACATTGTTTAGGATTATGTAGTAAAATTTAATAATATGATAGCCACATGCAGTAAAATTTAATAATATGATAGCCACAAACTTCAGAATAATGGTTACCTTCATGGTTGCCGGGGGGTGTATTTGCCGAGGAGGGATTCAAGGTACTTCAGTGTCTGTTAGTGTCTCTTCATCAAGCTGTGTTGTAGGCCCATGGGCATCCTTTTTATTATTCATTCATCTTTATATCTCACACACACATAAATGGTATTGTGTATGTAAAATAAAGCATAATAAAAATGTTGATGCCAAAATAAAAAGTTTAAGTTAAAAAAGAATAAACAAGTTGTAGATATTGGCTCTTAAACTTTTTAGAAAGATCTTTATTAGCCTTGAGAATTTAAGGAAGAATTTATGTGGAAGTATTATTTTCTAAAAGCCAGACCATTTTTCACAGATTATTTGTTTTTCTAAGATCCCTGGTAAGCTGAGTAAGGTGAGTAGGCAGGGATTTGCGTCCAAGGGGATGTGGCTGAATTGAGGTTAGCAGCATGTGGGTCTTCCTACAAGCACTGTCAGAGTAGCACTGGCTAATTTCTGCTCCTACTTTTATCTATTTTTATAAATCAATAGCAACAAAACAGTGGAATGTTTACTATGTGCAGTCCTCACAATGAGGGTTTAATATCATTCTCACTTCAGTCCTCAGCTATGAAGTATAGGTACTATTGTTCTTCCCACTTTTACAGTGGAAAAAATTGAGACTTAGGCCAGAAAAGTTGTCTGATCTTGCACAGTCTTAAGTGTGCTCAGCTAGTATGTTGAGTATCCATTAGCGCATAAGAAACTACCACAAGATTTAGTGGTTTAACATAATAGTCAGAAAAATATGCTGTATAGATATTTGGGCTCTGGTCTGTTGTTGAAAATAAACTTGTACTGGTATACAGCTAGATTCTCTTTAGGTGTGACTCTAAATCCTTTTGTATTACATTTCAACGGTACTTGAATAGTTGGGCCACAAGGCCAACGGTATTTACTGTCTGGTAAGCATAGAAATTTGCCGCCTGCTAATTTGCAACCATCACCGTCTTATTTCCTTGCACTCCTGGTTGGGCAGTTTTGCTCATTTGGTGGCTGCACCAGGGCAGAAGTTCTGAAAAGGCTCCATTCATGTGTCTGGTGCCTGGGAGCTCCTGCGCATGATCTTTCGTTCTTTTCATGTGGTGAGCTTGGGCTCTCTTGTTGTTTGGTACGGAGTATCGCTATACATTACTACAGCTTTTTAAATTATTACACTGAGTAATTTGGTGTATTTATGCATGGCCTATCGTTTAGAGAATAATTTAGAAAATATAGTGATGGGGAAGAGCTTCATCAGCAGTTGTGTTGGATAACAGCAGATAAATAAGTGAGGCACAGCAAGGTACTTAGAGGTCATGATGCTTTTGTGGCAGTTAGTGACAGGAGAAGTAGAAGTTTGGGGACTGAACACAGCTCGCATGGGATTTTTCAGCAGTAGTTTTCTTAAGCAACTTTTGTTTTCGGCTTCCAGAACTGTCAATTTAGAGCCAAATTATGAATGGTCAGCATATTAAACTAATCTTTCTTACTATTCTAGATATTTCTGATAGTATGCATATTTGGTGTCTAGAAGGAAAGAAAACCAGTGACATTATGGAGTTGGATATTATTTTGTCTGCAGTTGAGAAAACTCTCCAAGAGTATAAGTAAGTCCTCTGATGTTGTCATACCTGGATCTGATAAATTTCCCTGAGACAGTGCTTTTGCTTGTCCCACAGTATTTAATATATAGTATTTTCATTATCATTGTTTTAGATAATTTTACATTTCCATAATATTCCAGGATACTTATATTTATTAGGTTAATTTCAAATTATTGGATCATCTACTCTAAACTGTGTTTCTGATAGACAGATCTTACTTGCATTTTCCTTTTGAAATAGTCATTTTCCTGCAGTGTTATTGGTTCTGCCATTGTGCTTATTTCCCCCAGGGCTTCTTGGTCCGTGTGTAGGAGGAAGCCACATCCCAGTCCCTGTCAGTTCCCCTGAGAGGGACGGAGGTGGATAAGCCCTAGGCTGGGAGTCTCAGTCACTCATGACACAGGAGGCTGTCAGGCCAGGACTTTGACACCCTCCAGAGAGGCAGCATAGGGCAGAGATGGACAGGAGGTCATTCTGTGGCTGGGGATTTGTCAGAGAATAGTGAGGAAGGAGACAGCTGCCCCCAGTGAGTCTCCACCTGTTCTTCTCCAGGCCTGTAATCACAGCCTGGTTTTATTCTTTCCTTCCTCTCCTCACCACTCTCCTCCCCTCCCTCCCCATAATAAATCCTAAAGTACAAAACAACAACACAGAGCTGTTACCAGAGGGGTGGGCTGGCCGAGTGAGCTGAGGGAGGTGGACCAGCCGGCCACGCCTTGAAAGCTGCTGGCCTCCCTGAGAGCAGCGCCCCAGGGCTGGCGGCCAGCAAGGGCGTCAAACGGGAGCCCCATGGGCATGGAGTCAGAGGAGTAAGGAACTAGCAGCTCTGGAGATAAACAGCACAAAGCCGGAGGACAGAGGCTACAACACAGTGCCTGGGAGACCACAGGGGTAGAAGAAAAGCAGGAAACAAGGACAAAGGAAGAACTCCTCTGAGCCACTCTGCATTTAAATCAGGGTATTTTTCACTTCTGCTCTAAGACTAAGTCTGGACCTCTCACAGTGCTCTGGGGATTTGTCCACCACCTGCCTCCACAAACAAGGCTGCCATCCTCAGCAAGGGGACTATGAAAATCCTGAAAGGCTGGACTTGCCTTTAAGCAGGAACGCCACATAACCCACTTGAGGCCTCACCGCCAATATCATGGTCCTGGACTTTATTTAGTAGAGCTTGTGTTCAGGGGGTTCTAAGGCAGTGTGGGGAAGAGCCAGTAAGGCCTGGCACAGTGCTCTGTGCAGAATCTGTGGGAGAAACCCTCTGTGCAGAATCCGTGGGAGAAATCCAGTGCTCTAGAATACGCTGGCAGGTGCTGGGCATCTGTGTCCCGCTAATCTTGGTCGCCCCATTCCTTGTCATTAGTCTAATCCCCTTGCTCTCAGATCCGTGCTGTGGTCTGCCCTGAAGACGTTTGGGCCAGAGTGCTGTCATCAGTGAAATCACATTTGCTCTCATTTGGAAAACCATTGTGTATTTTAGCCATTCCAGTAGGTGTGAAATATAAACGTATTCTCTTATTGTGGTAAAAACAAAGTGTACCATCAAGCATTTTTAAACGTTCAGTTTTGCATTTTGCATAACACAGCTCTAAAACTAACTCATTTTGCACAGCTGAAACTCCGCATGCATTAAACAATTCACCGTTTCCTCTTCCCCCCAGCGATCACTGTCCTACTTTCTGACTGTAAGTCTGATCATTCTAGGTGCCTCATATAAGTGGAATCAGGTAGTGTTTGTTCTGTGCCTGGCTTATTTCACTTAGCATAGTCTCCTGAGGGCTCATCCTTGTAGTTTGTGTCAGAATTACTCCTTGTTTTAGGCTGAGTAACATTGTATCATGTGTATCCTACATTTTCTTTGTTCATTTGTCAGTGAACACTTGAATTATTCTCACTTTTTGGCTACTGTGGACATTATGATGGACAGTGGTGTGCAAATGGTGTGAGTCCCTGCTTTTCATTCTTGTGGTTATATACCCAGTAATGGGGTTGTTGGGCCATATGATAATACTGTATTTAACACATGCACAATGGGGCTATAATTTGTATGTCTCCCTGCTAAGCAGCTTGAATCACCAGTGGTACATTCATGATTGTCCTATCAGGCAGCTTTTTATTAATTTTAAAAAGACCAATAAAAGTGATTAGGTGGTACAGACTGCCCCCTGGGACAGTCATGGATGTACCATCAGTGGTTCAAGCCAGAGGGAACATATTAATATTTTCCACTTTACCTTTCTACTATCAATACACAAGGACTCCCAATTTTTCTATATTCTTGCTAATTTATTTTCTAAATTTAAATTTTTTTTTAATTTTTTGATTTCTATATATAATTGTCATCTTAGTAGGTATAAAGTTGTTTTGTGGTTTTCATTTTCATTTCCCTTGTAATTAGTGTGATTCCCATATTCATGATGGACATTTGTGTATTTTATTTGAAGAAATGTCTGTTCATCTTCTTTGTCCACTTTCTAATTGGATTATTTTGTGTGATGGGGGGAGCTGAATTGTAGGACATTTTAAATACATTCTGGATATTATCCCTTTGTTAGGTATACAGTTTGCAAATATTTTCTCCCCTTCAGTGAGTTCCCTTTTCATTGTCTTGATTGTTTCCTTTGTGCAGTTTTTAATTTTAGTGTAATCCCATTTGTCTATCCATGCTTTTGTTCCCTTTGCTCTTGATATATTATACAAGAAATTATTACCAAGTCTGTCTTGGTTACTTTTCTCTCGTTGCTGAGACAAAATACCCAACACCCCAATTTAAGGAAGGAAAGGTTTATTTAGCTTACACTTTATAAAGATTTCAGTCCATGCTTGGCTAGCTCCAAGGCAGAGTGGCACATGGCAGAGGGCAATAGTTCTTGGCAGCAGAAAACAGCAAAAGCAACAAGAGCAAAAGGGAGAAATGGCAGCAGCAAGCAGCCTTTTTCCCTCCCTTACATTGTATGCAAACTACCCGCCCCAGGGCAGGTGTAGAACTCACATCCATAATTCCAACATTGGACTTTGAATCAGTCCTAAACTCTAGAAGCCCATCTCAGGACAGCATGAGGCTTTGGGGGGACGTCCAGACACAGACCATTACAAAGTCTCATGTCATGACGCTTTCCCCTAAGTTCTGTTTTAGGAGTTGTACAGTTGCAGATCTTCATGTCAGTATTTAATCTATGTTGAATTAGTTTTTGTATGTACATATAAAAGATAAAGGTCTAACTTCATTCTTCTGCATAGTTCACTTCTCCCAGCCTGCTGAAGAGACTGCCATTCTCCATTATGTACCCTTGGAACTCTTGCCAAAGATCATAAATACATATGTTTGTTAGGTTCTGGATTCTGTTTTGGTCCGACACGTCTGTCTTTCTGCCAGCACCGTCCTGTTTTGATAGTACGAGGCCTCCAGCTTTGTTTTTCTTTCCCAAGATTATTTTTGGTTATTCGGGGTCCTTAGATAGCTCATATGAGTTTTAGGATTTTTTTTCTATTAAAACTGCCACTGGAATTTTGATAGGGACTAGATTTAACCTGTGGATTGTTTGGGGGAGAATGGACATTTTAACAACATTAAATCTTCCAATCCACGAGCATGAACGTCATTTGTATCTTAGTTTTTCCACCAGCATTTGCTTTCTGCGTTTTTCTGTGAGTTTGCTATTTCTATAGTCGCTGGCCTACTGGGTGTAAAGTAGTATTTAGTCTTGGTTTACAGTTCCCTCGTGATTATTATTAAGGAACATCTTCTCATGTGCAGTGTAATCATGTATATATCTTCATGGAGAAGATGGGCAGTATGAGCAGAGAGATAATAAATTCTAAGGAAAAATCAAAAAGAAATGCTACAGATAAACAGAAAAACAGGGTACCGATTGGGTATCCCTTGTCAAAATGCTTGAATCCATAAGCATTTCAGATTTTAGCGACTTTTAGATTTTGGAATATTTACACAGATTTTACTGGTTGAGCTGCCGTAGTCCAAAACTATGACATCTGAAATGGAAGGAAACCTTCATGGGTATCTGTGAACTAAGAATACACAGTTTTCTCAAGATCTCATGTCACAGTTACTAAAGTAGACCACATTCTACAGAATACCCTTACCTAATGTAAAATGGAAATCATATGTCTGCTTTCAGGCCACTGTGGAAGTGAATTAGAAATCAGTAACAGATACCTGGAGGGTCTGAAAGTACTTGGAGATTATACAGCATACTTCCTAAGAACATATGGATCAAAGAAGAAATTATAAGAGAAATTTAAAAGTATTTTGCACAAGGTGAAAATGAAAACAGATTATCATAATTTGTGGGACACAATAATAAGAGTGCCCCAGTCATCTAATTTTTCACTTTAGCACTAGGAAGAGTAAATTAAGACTGGTGTAACCAGAAGTGGAAAATAAAAATTAGAGTCGGAATCAGTGAAATCAAAAACAGTTACTCAGTAGAGAAAAATCAACAGCATCAAAAGCTGGTTCTTTGAAAAAAAATCAATAAAAATAAGCCTCTAGCCAAGAGGCTTTTTTTCTGAAAGAAAAAAAAAAGACAATACAATTTATTAATGTCAGAAATGAAAGAGACATTATTATACATTTGGAAACTGTATGAATAGCAAAAGGTTACTAAAGAAATACTATAAATAACTTTATGCCTATAAGTTTGATAACTGCAATGAAATGGACTAATTCCTTGAAAGGCAGTTTGGTACAACTGAAAAAAAGTAAGTTGTTTGCATGAGACTGTATCTGTTTTTAAAAACTTAATAATATTCTCCCCAAACAGAAATCGTTAGACCCAGATATGTTCACTGGTGAATTCTACCAAATATTTAAGAAAGAAATTATACCAGTTCTCTGCAGTATTTCAGAAGAGAGACAGAAGGAATGCCTCAAAATTCATTCTTTAAGGCCAACATTACCGTATAACAAAATTAAAGACACAGGAATACAACAGGCCACTATCTCTCATGAAAATGAATGTGAAACTTCTTTTAAAATATTAGTAGATTGGACTGAACAATGTATAACAAAGAATTATGCACCACCACTAAGTGGAATTTATCCAAGCTATGCAAACCTATTTCACCTTTAGAAAATAATCACGTTAAAGAGGCCAATGAAGAAAAAAGTGATCATATTAATAGATGCAGGAAAAACATTTGACAAAATTTGATAACCATTTATGATAAAAACACTCAGTAAAATTAGGAACGGGGCAACTTCTCTAACTTGAGAAAAAAATGTGTATAAAATTAGCATGTTGCTGATGAGAAACTAGAAGCCTTCTCACCAAAATCAGGAAGAAGGCAAGGATGTCCTCTCATCAGTCTCCCCACCTTTCATTGTTAAACTTGGGGTTGAGCCCAGGGCCACTTTCTTTCGTTAGCTTTACAGTTCTGAACAAGCGGACAGCTGACTCGCAGCTGCTTACTCCTTGCTTAGTCCTCGTGTGCTGTACAGTCGGTCATTCCTTTGATTATTGTCAGGCAAGAGGGAATAAGATCTGCCGGTCATTATTAGCTCAGGAAAGCTTAGGGGAAAGACTAGGACTGGCAGTAAGCACATCCACATCACTTGGTGTCACTTGTGGACTTGGCCAACATCAGAGAAGTAAGGGCCCATACCAAAAGGCTCAGGAAAACAATTTTCAAGACAGGCCGGGCCTGGTGGTGCACACCTGTAATCCCAGCACTTAGGAGGCTGAGGCAGGACGATCATTGTGAGTTCGAGGCCAGCCTGGGCTACAAAGTGAGTTCAAGGCCAGTCTGAACTGCATAGTGAGACCCTGTCTAAAAAAGACAAAAAAGGACATGTTCTCAGTATTGTTTTAAGCCTAAGAAAGGGCTACAGACTAAACACTGCCATCTTAGATATTTAAAATGCTGCATGCTGCCGGGCACGGTGGCGCACACCTATAATCCCAGCACTTGGGAGGCTGAGGCAGGGGATTGTTGTGAGTTTGAGGCCAGCCTGGGCTACAAAGTGAGCTCAAAGCCAGCCTGAACTGCTGAGCGAGACACTGTCTCAAAAAGACAAAGAGAAAAGGTAAAATGCTGCATGCCAAACTCTGTGTTTATGTCCTAAGCAAATAAAAACATCTTTCAAAGTCTTTTATGATACCTAGTTTGAGTTTTTGTGTGTTTGCTTACTCCTTTACAGGCAAAAAATAGAATCTAAAGTTTGTACAGAAGCCACCAACAAATTTTATTTTAGTATTAAAGAAGAACTCATCAGAATGGTAAGCTCACTGAAATAAATTTGTTAATCTACCTTTTTACAATTAATCCTGGGCCAGCACACTGTTGTCCAACAAATGCTTGCATTTGCTGGCAGTATGGTAATTACATATATTGCACATGCTGCTTTAAAACTAAATGTGATGTGTGTGAAACTAATGTTTGATTTTGGAAAATACATGGATTTCTTTTTTTTGTGTAGCTCAAAGAAGTCCAGACGTTGAAAAATCTGAAAAGGAAGAATGCTAAGGTAAACACGTATGTGATTAGAGTCGTACAGTTATGCAGTGCTAACAGCTGTAAGATTTGACTTTGGGTTTTATGACCTTTAGGGTTTGTATGAGACATTTTATCTTTGTAGTCTGGCTTTTACTAGGTTGATCTTTTTGTTTTGTTTTGTTTTGTTTTTTTTCCAGTACCGGGAATTGAACTCACTACATTGCACTTGCCAGGCAGGTGCTGTGCCACTGAGCTAAATTCCCAGTCCCTTAGGTTGATCTTTTGATTAGATAATATTAATATAAGCTAAGCAATGAGGACCTATTTCAGTCAGCTTTCTATCACCGAAGAAATACCTGAGATAAACTTATAAGCGAAAAATGTATTTTGGCTCTAAGTTTTGAAGGTTCCTGTGCACGATTGTTTCACCTTGCTGCTTTTGGGCCTGTGGCATGGCAGCACGTGGTGGCAGGAGCGTTTGACCATTCTGAGCCACAGAGCAAAAGAGATCAAGGAGGGGACTGGGGTCCCAGTCTCCATGAAGGGCACACCTTCAGTGATTTAAAGACCAACAGCTAGGCTCTACTTCTACTGTCTTGTTTCTCTCTGCACTTCTAATACCAGGCACAATGTACATGGCAGTGCTCAAACATTCACACGAATTTAACGAGGAAATTATTGTATTACCTAGATGATTTCTGATACGGAAAAGAAAAGGCAGCATTTGATTGAAGCCCAGGATGAACTGCTTCGGTAAGATACTGTCACAATCCTGTTTGAGAACTTACCTAAAAGGACAGTACAGTGTGGCATTTGGGAGAGTGATACTGCTGCTGTGTCATGTTAAAACTCCCAGGTTATCTTTTTGTGTGAATGTTCAGTGGAGTCAGGTCATGCTGCCTAGTTGCCAAGCCTTTGGCCTCAGGCAGCCTCATTAGAGATGTAATGTGTACACTCTAGACTGAGACTGCCTGTGTTTGAGCCCAGGCTGTGCCACTTACTGGTGGTGCAGCCATGGACAAGTTACTTCCCAATACCTCAACTTCCTCTTTTATATATGGGTACCGTATATACACTTCATACACTTCAGAGGGGGGATTGGCAATTGAATAAATAAATAGAAAGTGCTTCACAGTGACGAGCATACAGAAAGAGCTCTTTATGTTATTGCTGTTGAATTGTACATCCTGGTTTGGCATTCATGTGTCAGTTCACCAGTGTTGGGCCGGAAGATAACCTGGGTGGTCCCGGAGGGCTGGTTAGGAAGACAGGGACACATGAACCCGGCATTGTATACAGAAACTTGTATTTTTTGACCCTCTTCGGAGGCCAGTGCTGCTGTGTGAGCCGGAGAAAAGCAGAATTAGCTGTGTTCTCTACTCTTTAGGAGCCTTAAATGGCTTGAGAGGGCTGGAGGTGTGGCTCAGTGGTAGTGCTTGCCTGGCATACACAAGACGTTAGATTCAGTCGCTAGCACCACAAACAAAAAACAGCTGCAGAAAGAACATGGTATTATTAGGAAAGACCCTGCATAATTAAAGAAAAGACAGGCATAGGACTTAGAGAGAAATTGGTTGGTTAGTCCACTTGTTTCTAGATTTAGTCTATGGACAGACGCTGGTCCCATCATAAAGTTTTCATTGGTCCAGACCAAAGTAAGAGGTAATATAGTAATGACAGGCAGGAACACTTAAAGGCTTTTCACATGGCAGGGCACTTTCCCAAGTGCTTTATTAACCCACTAGTCATCTCTCTAATGCTGAGGTATATTGTTATAACTGCTTATATGGCACTTTCACACTTGCCAGCAATGTGAGACCATGCTGATAGTTTTAAAAATTTTTGTGTCTTTTCTAGATATAATTTGAGAAATTAGAGAAGTATATTTTGAAAAAGCATAGTAGCAAGTAAGTAACTGTGGTAAATCCTGGTTTTGCCTCTGCATGTGAAAACCCCAGGGCCCAGGACAGTAATTGCAGTCATGCCCTGGGGAGCAGGGGAGCAGGGTAGGCTGGCAGCAGATGGCCTCCAGGCCAGCACCCCTGAGCACAGCCCTGCCCGCTCCATGGTGACATCTCCAAAATGCTCATCTGTTCAATGTGAAGAGCTGTAGTTACATTAGAAAATGGTGTATATCTTTACTTGGCAAAATAAACATGGGCAGCCTTTCCTCATTTGTTACTGGTCCATAAAACCTGTTATCCCCTTATTTTATAGGGAAGAAACTAAGCCACTGAGAGGTGAAACAGTTGGCCAACCCCCCGTGACAGTTTCTCCATTGATTTATTAGACCTTGGAAAGTGGACAGTTTTTTTTAACATAGAAGGAAAACTATTATATTTCATATAGAAGTTCATAAACTAGTCATTTCCAACACAAAATTTTTTGGCATATTTTTGTGTTTTGGGTGTTTTTACTTCCTGTTTTTCTCCTAGTTTCATGTTTTCCTTTTCAGATTTGAATTTTTATAATAAGAAACTCCTTGAAAGACTTTTATATAAGTATCAATTTTGTGTTATATAAAAAATATGAAGTGTTTGCTGTCACTAGTTACATTTGTTTCTTTTATTTTAAAAATTAAAAAAAACTAACAAAACAACAATGAAGACAAAATCAAAACAACACAAAAACAACAAAAATGATACATGACCTCAAAACAAAATGATAGGAATTTACAATGGTTGCTACACTGCATACTGTTATCTTCAACGAAGTTGCTCAGTGAAAGTGGACAGTTTTGATAGGAAAACTTTTTGTCCAGTTTGCTGTTCAATAGCACTGCCTGCAAGCTGTGAAGTGTAACCAAGTTTATCATTTAATTCAGTAGTTCCCAGGGTGTGCATGACTTGGTAGATTTAGCATAGACAAGGCATGTTCTTCTGTGGGTTTCACTGCTATTTTATTCATCGGGGCTTTTGAAACTTGGACTCTTGCACTGTTCATAATTTAATAGCCAAAGATAAATCATCTAGTGGACTTCCCTCCTGGTTTTCATACTTCTCTGAATATACTTACGTACTTAGTCTTATACGCTAGAGGCTATGGAACTTTAAAATGTCATTTATTTGGGGGGAAAATACTGATTTTTATTCTAGGTTAGAACCACAGCTGAAACAACTACAAACAAAATACAATGAACTTAAGGAGAGAAAATCTTCCCTTAGGAGTGCCATGTATTTCTTATCTAATTTAAAACAGCTTTACCAAGATTATTCAGATGTTCAAGAGAATGAACCAAATGTAAAGGAAACGGTAAGTTTGACTTTTATTTTTATTGTGCTTCATGCTAGAGTCCTGGAAGCTTTGGCAAAAGATAAAGGAACATCATCACTATTAAATCAGGGAAAACTTACCGTATAATCACCTTTTTTAGCTACTTACTGAAGGCTAGAGGAGTGGAAAAAATCCAGAATCACTGATTTTTTTAAAGGCATTTACACATCAGGAAACTGAATTTCATCTGTTCAGGGAACAGTATATACCCTTGTGTATGTAAGGGAAGTGCATACACTTGTGTACAAATCAGTAACAACCATGCTGTGCTTTATTATAATTTGCATCAACATGAATCACTCAGACATGTTTAAAAGACCAACCTCTTTTGCTCATTGTCTAGCCCATGTTCACAGTATCTTTTGTCTGAAAAATAAGATATCTCACATGAATGGTTTTCTGGGGTTAATACAAAAGAACATGGTAGGAAAATGTGATATATTATTGTTTTAATAAACTTTGTAGCAGTTTCTGGATTTTTACTATTATTATAACTCAGCCCAGATTAATAGAAATGTTTTCTAGAAAAAATTTATGTATTTGTGTAGCCTAATACATTTTATGTAAAATAATTATAATATCTATATATACCCTACTTAAAACTTGTAATCTTCACTTCAAAATTCAATTTTACATTTGAACACTTATGTAAGTAGATTTTCTTGAGCTGAAGATTTGTTCATATATTAGACATCTAGAAATAGAGTATTTTTTAAAAGTTTTTAATGTACCTGACTAAAGTTTATTCTAGATAGAATAGACAGTTTGCTACCAAATATGTTGAAATTAATAGTAGCTTGATTCAATTTGGTTGTAACCAGTACTTTTCTTATTGGTGTTGAGAACTGAACCCAGGGCATCCGGCATGCCAGGCAAGTACCCTACCACTGCCCAGCCTTAAACCCAAGGTTTAGAGACGACTGTGTTTGGAAGGTAGCACTCTCAAATGTCATTCTTTGTGTGCTCTCAGTGTCTTCTGTAGCAGCGCCTGTTAAACAGCACTGGTTGCGAGCTGTAAACTATAACCCAGTTTATCATTTAATTCAGTATTTTCCAAGACGTGCATGACTTGGTAGATTTAGCATATACAAAGCATGTTATATATGCAATATATATATTTTATAAGGTAATAAAAATTATATATAGATGGTAAGATACATCCAAATGTCTACATTTTATAAGGCAATAAACATCTACATTTTAGAAAGAGGTAAGATATATCCAAATGTATATAAATACATATGTATATGGTATCTTTATTGCCTTATAAAATGTAGAAGTATGGGTATATCCTGCCGCTTTGCTATGTGAAGCATTTAACACCAAATGGAATTCTTCCCCTCCACGGTGCCCATGGTTTCTTGAATACATTAGGCTCTCAAATATTCGCCGAATTCAATTCTCAGTATGTGGTAAGTTGTGTGCCAGGAAGAAATTCTGTTACCATGTGGGGGTAGTCATAGTCTGCTCAATTTTCATTACTTAGAAAATCACCTTGAAAACATGGTATTCAATAGCGAACTACCAAGTATGATAAAATTCTATACGGGGAATTTAATTGTACCCTCAGATACAATTTGGAACAGAAAAGTGTGATATTATTAATTATTTCAAAATCATGAGTTAGAGCTGTGTGGTAGTTTATATTGGGTTTGTGTTATTTTTAATCATTTAGAACATTTGGGTTGGCAACACTGATCCCCCAGTACTTTTTCTAGATGATGGAATTTGAAATTTTTATGATGAACTTCTATAGGCCGAGTGTTCTCATTCCATCAGTTCTTGGAGTAAAAGTAAACATGACTTGTAGCTTTTTATGTTTTAAAATAGACATGAGATCAAGCAGACCCCACACAGCACTAGCACACTTGCCCAAATCAAGTCTCAACCTGTCCCAAGCATGATCTTCTGCTTTAAATAATTCAGATGCCACTGTTCTTTGAACCAGCTGGCATTCTGGAATAAGGAAGTCAGTGCACGCTTTATATTATCAATTATGTCCTAAGGGTATTAACTCAGTTTTCTTAATGATCCTAATTCAAAACTGAAGAGTAGTAACAGAAAGTGCAATCAAAACTGGCACTGGTCATAAGGTATGAGGTATGCAGTGAGGGTGATAAAGTTTTCCTATTTGTGAATCTAAATAATTTTATTTCATCAACAGTATGATTCATCCAGCCTTCCAGCTCTGTTATTTAAAGCAAGAACTCTTTTGGGAGCTGAACACCATTTGCAAAATATCAACCATCAATTAGAGAAGCTCCTTGACCAGAAATAAGAAAACCTGTCTACTGAAATGTGCCCACATGACAGTGTCTCAGGCTACTGCCTATTGCCTTCTGAAACTGTACTTTTGTAAATAAAAAACCTTTTTGAAAAATAAGTATGGCCTAATCACCAGTTTAGTATGGCTTTGTCATTCAAATTAAATTGTACCAGTTTGATGGTCTTAATAGTTTTGGAGGTCACAATCATCTTTTTTAATGAATTCTAACATGTTGACATCTTAATCAGCCTCAGCTATAAGAGTTTTAACCTATAAATAAACTTGTAAACCTACAATAAGGAGGTTTCTATTGAATTTAAGTACACCAATGCTAACTTTCAATAAAACTGGTTTACTTAAGTGAAAAACAAAACTGGAAAACAAAGTGATAAACTTAGCTGATAAAGACTGGTTTAATAAGTTAATATAATTTTTTGTGTGGGTGTGGTGGTGCTGGGGATTGAACCAGGCTTTGTGCATACTAGGTAGGTTCTCTACCACTGAGCCATACTCCAGTCCTAATGTAGTTTCTATTGTCAGATCTCTTAGATTTGAGGCAAATTATAGCCAGATTCTGAAAGTGTAGTCTATAGTGAGCTACTCTTGCAGTACTTCAATAATGAGTTCATCAGGAATTTCATTCCCTGCACTGTTGTAACCGCGAAGACTATTCTCTGCAGCTTCAGCTAGTTCTGCATCTTCAGTAGCTTCCAAGAAGTATGCATCATCAGTGCTGTTACCCCAGTCAGCATCAGAAGAGGCACCTGGATTCTTGGCTTCACTGTTCCAAGTTGCATCTGCTGTAAACTCTTCTTCCTTTATTTCATTGGGAAAGGGTGTTGGAGGGAGTGGGATAGGAAGAAAGAGGTTATTTAGTCAGAAACTATGATCTCATGGTGCACTCCAAGTATGCTGAATTAAGGTATGAAGTAATGACCAGTTCTTCAACAGAGTTAAATGAATGTGCTATATGTAGTCTGCAAGATAGTCACCATGGGGATCTGTACAGTAGCTCCAAGGTTGCTGCTTTTGTAGCTTTACTCTTGAAACTCCAATATCTGGTCATCTGAACAACTACTTTGAAGACAACAATATGCAATATAACAACCATTGTTGAATTCCTATCTTGTTTTTTTTAAATTCTGTTATCATTTCTAATTTTTTTTACTATTTTTTATTCTTTTTAAAATAAAGTGATAGATAGCTAAATAAATAAATAAATAAACAAACAAACTGCCTGTGTTTCTTTGGCAGATGCTTTCAGTATCCTCAATGGGGTTAGAGAAAAAATAAATTTCACTTTTTGACAAGGAGTCTAACGAAAACTTTGGAAAATACATTTGCTATCCTGACAAACAGCCTTTCCCTCTAATGTATACAGTATTTTTAAAATTACAAACATGGATTAGAAATACTGTCCCCCACAACTTTTTTGGTACAACTTTCAAAATATGACTATGGGTTGTATATTAGTTTAAATGCCCTGAATTTAATAATTTAAATTTAATAATTTTACCATTTGTATGTAACAATGTCTTTATTCTTCAGCTACATGCTTAGTTATTAAAAGATAAACATTTATGTATGCTACAACTTACCCCCAAGAAATCAACCAAAGATACTACTGTATATGTGTGCATTAGAGGAAGCAAACAAATGTGGCCAGATGTTAACACATGACAAACCCAGGTAAGGGACAAACCAGAGTTCGTTAATTCTCGTGCAGTATTTCTGCATCTTTTCAAATCAAGGTTTTAGCCAAGATGATCAATGCAATAGAAAAAGCAATAAATAACAGTGACTGACAATTTAAAGTATTTTCAAAAGGTGAAGCAGAAATGATAAAATGTTCAGTTAAAATAAGTGATAAGTACACTTATTTACTGTTCATTATGTTGTTCATTTATAATTTTAAATAGAATACTGTACACTAAGCATACTTTCAAGTTGGAATTTTTGAGGTAATACTAGATATGCAGAGAATATACCTTTCAGAAATTCACTAACATCTGAGCAGGGTGCTAGCATAAGCCTGTAATCTCAGCTCTTGGGAGGCTGAGGCAGGAGAACTGCTGTGAGCTCAAGGCCAGCCTGAATTACATAGCAAATCTAGCCCCCAAAACAAAAGAAAACAAATCCACTAAAACCAAAATCATCAAAATAACACTAACCAAGGATGACACACTTCTCCTTTTAAGAGACAAAGGTGATTTTTAAAAATTTACTCAGTTCTTAGTTACCTCTAAACACTTTTTAACCTAGTAGCTTTCTGAGAATCTATTAGTCATTTTATGTTCTGCTCACTGAGATAAGGGATTGCCGCCATTTTAACGTTGGATGTATTTTTTTCAGGTGTTTTTAAACTTGGGCTGAATAGATAGTATGTTGAGTTTTCTAGAAGATAAACTCAAGCACTTACTCAGCTTGTAGCTGATAACTTATAATACTATAAAAGTAGTTGATGGATGTGACAAAAAATTAGTCTTAAAAACAGTATGACAAAGAGACAATATTCTTGCAAAATACTAATCAGATGTCATATAGAAATGGACAAAGGGCAGATATAGGCAATTCATAATAGAAATACTAGCTCAACTTTATTACTAAATTCAAATTAAAACAAGTGAAAACCCACCTACATACAAATTTGGTAGAGATCACAAAGTAAAAGTGCTGGCAAAAGTGTACAATAACAGTGCTACCAACAGTCTGGAAGTCTAATTTCCTATCATTTTTATGGAGAGGAATTTGGTAACAGTTACTACTGAAGATATTCGTGATACTTTAGGAAAAAAATCTAATGCGACTTCTAAAAAATACAATTGAACATGTAGATACAAATTCTGGAAGATCTTTGCTAAAACTTTCACATCAGTTTCACTGAATTGCGAGTAGGGAAGATTTTTTCCCCCTTTTTGCTTTATATGCATTTTCTGTTTTTTTCTAGTGCTTAGTTTAGATAAAGTTTCTCAAAGAAGAGTTAAATGTTAGTGTGGTAATATCTACCAAAATTAAACCACTGACCCAATGCTAGAAGTTCACCCTAGAGATACAGTTGTTTAAAGAAACACCAAGTTGGGCACTCTGGTTTACTTCGTAAATAATTCACAGCTTGCTTACACTGCTGTACGAAGAACGAACCCCGTAATGAGAAAGATGAAAAGCTGCACTGACCTCTTTGAAAAGAAACAGGAGACTGACTTCAGCAGGTAATGGAAAACCTGAAAGAGAAGATACAAAACTGTATTATGTAGATACCTAATTTTTAGTTTGTGGAAGTACAAAAACTTATAACTCACAGTCAGACTTGAAGTTTTCTGCTTTACAAATGGGATCGTGACATTTTTGATACCAAACTTCATTTTTCAGATCAACAAGAATCCTTCATGTTAAAAAAAAGAAAGTATTAAGTCCATATAGATTACAAAACAAAATTCAGTTATATGCTATTTGCAAGCCGTAAGGATGGAAAAAAATTAAAATATAAACGGACAAAAGTAGCCTGTAATCTCAGCACTCGGGAGGCTGAGGCAGGAGGATCATTGCGAGTTCGAGACCAGCCTGGGCTACAAAATGAGCTCAAGGCCACCCTGCACTGCATAGCGAGACCCTGTCTCAAAAAAGATAAAACAAACAAACAGATACACACTAATCAAAAGAAAACTACTTGCTAGGAACAGCACACACAATGGACTTCTGGGCAAAAAAGTAGATACTGACAAAAGTCTCCTTACTCCCCACACACCAGAAAGATACAGTTCTCAACTAGTACCACCAGATGATACAGTGTCAAGTCATGTAAGCAAAACTGATCGCTACAACAATAAACTAATCAACCTGTAAAGGTAATCTAGCATAAATTAAAATTTTAAGAAACGTTTTATTGGTAATTTATAAATCAAATAATCACAAAACAGTTCAAGAATGCAAGAAATATGAATGAAACAATATAAAAGCTATTAATGAAATTTGACCTATTCACATATGCTATTTGTAACTATATATAAGCCAGTAAGAAAAACTGACCACATAAAGTAAACTGTGTCAAATTTAAAAGTATTGATTCATGGGGGACATATTCTCTGACCACAAGGAAAACTTTACAAGTAAAAAATAGCTAATAGAAACCCATAATTTGGAAATTTAAAAATTTCTAAACAGTGGCTCAAGATTTATGGAAATCAAATTACTTGAATGTAACTAAAAATAATACCTATTACACTATGTGAAATGCAGCTCAAGTGATCTGTCAAATTCATGCTACAAAAGAATGGGCTAAAGATGAATAAATTAAATAGCCAACTTGGAAAATGAATAGAATAAACCTTAATTTTGAAAATGAGCAATAGAATAAACCTTAGTAAAAGGAAGGAACAAACAGCAAAAACGTAAAGCAAAAATTGAACACAAATTATCGCAAGACTAAACAAAAAAGGCAGATACAAATATTAGAAATCAAATACAGCATATAATAAAACCTTAATATTCCAGTATTTGCCAGTAACTGAAAATTTGATAAAACAGACTACTAAATAAAACTCAAGCAAACTAATTAAGTAACAACAACAAAAAAGACTAACAGAAAAAGAGCAGAAAAAAAACTAACCAAAAAACTAATAACCACCAATAATGAAATTCTTGAACCCCGGGTTTCCACATTGAACTATATCTCCAACTCTTTAAATTTTTAAAATTTAGAGATACCATCTCACTAAACTGTTAAGTTTCTCAGGCTAGGTCTGAATTTGTGATCCTCCTGCCTCAGCCTCCCAGAATGCTGGGATTACAGGCATGCACCTCTATACTCAGCTTTTTGGTTCTGTTTCTCAAGGTGGGTGACAGTTATGAGAGGTTGTCATTTTAGTCTTTAGAATGTACATATATGTTATATATATATTTTTTTCATATGTTCTACATTTCAAAGTTAAAAGGCAGAATATTATTATACAACAATGATTTTTTGGAAAGTGTATGCATTGAAAAAAAGCTAAAAACATACGCCAAAATGATAGTGTTAGTTGTCACTAGATTGTGGGGCTGTGAGTGACCTGTTCCTTCATAGTTTTTTTCTTGTTGCTGCTGTTATACTTCTATGTACTAGTTTCTAATCCTTTTTAAATGGAATTAATCTAAGTGTATCAAGGGCAACACTGAATATACTACCTAATATGCTTTCTAGCTTTCCAGAAAAATCCTTTCCTAATGTCTAGCATGTGTACTGCGTAGGCAGAGTTTCAGCTTTGACATTAAATATAACACAGTTTCTCATAACTGCTGACTACTAGACTTTACCCCTCTTCTAATCATATTCTCGTATCATTTAAAAATCTAATTTTAGTTTTACTTTGTACTCTACTTCCTCTTCTTTTACCAGATAGAAAAATTCCTAAAACAGGGTCTGTGTACAAAGCAGGCATTCAATAAATACCAGTTCTCTTCTGTACCATATTTTGTTTCCAGCAAGCTAACACCACCTTAACATTAATCTGTGAGTTCCCCTCTTGCTCAGATCTACCCAATTTCAACTGAGCTGTCAGGTTCTACGGCGTCAGCAGCCAACGGCAAGAGAAAAGGTGCAGCAGGCAGGCCGCCCATCACCGTTCACCTGTCTGCACTGGCTTTGTTTTAGGATGCTCCTCTTCTGCCTTAGTCTTCTCAAGATTATGCTAAGAGAGATAATTTCATCAAATGAAGTACAAATATAGCTGTTAACATGCTATAAGCCATGAAATATAAGATATTCAAATTAAATTGAAAACGTTTACTAAAACAACAAATATAAATTTAACTACAACTTAACTGATTCTAAAAACAAAATTTTTCTATTCTCAATTTTCTTAAAAAGTTTTAAACATTTAAAATGTAATAACGGGGCTGGGGATTTAGCTCAGCGGCAAAAGCGCCTGCCTGGCAAGCGCAAGGTCGTGAGTTTGGTTCCTGGTACCGGAGAAAAACCAAAAAACCAAAAAATAAAAAAATAAAAAAAAAATAAAATGTAATAACGGCTCAGTACAAACAACTTATCAATAAATGTTACTTACATGATATTATTACTCTTGTGAGCTCTCCCAATGTTTTGACACCAGCGATATTTACAAATATCATAAACCAGTAATTCTTCTGGGAAAAAGTAGTTCCAACGCCGAATTCCTAAAATGTACACATTGTTTCTAAGGGTACTATTCCTCTACCATATAAGAGCTAATAAAGAGTAGGATTAGATTTACCTCCTTTAATGTCATTTTTGGTCACCAAAGAAAGAACGAAACGATCAACTTCAGGGTAGGGTGAACACTGAAAGCCCTCAATGGTTTCTACTGCAATAAAGAGTTATTTATAGACAAAATTAGCTAAAAGACGAAAAGTTAAATTTTGATTAAATTGACAGTTGTACAGTGAGGGTTTCTGCAATTCCTTGGCTCCCCCTTTTTCCTCTCCTGTAAATTTGTCTTTCAGTCCGCTCCTGTGTTCCTGCAACCCAGCAGGGAAGCGGGTAAAATGCAGATCTCAATTAGGCCATACACTGACTCATTTTCATTAAACGCCTCTGTGATCATTTTAAGTGCTTTCTTACTCTGACAAAGAGAGAAGCAGCCACCCAGACCCTGCAGCTGCGCGCCTCCTTGTACCAGGGAGGTCCTGAACTGCCACGAGCTGGGCTGACTTGCATCCCAGCCTTAGTGTTCTGCTGCTTGACCTGCGAGCCTTGGCAGAACTTCAGTGTTAGATAAGGCCGCTCTGCGGTCATGAGGAGACCAGGAAAAACAAGACCCTCCGTACTCGTATCTGAATAGAGACAAAGCACGAACATTTGCCAAAGCACAACAATGGGCAAACACCACTCCCCATCCCGGCTAACAGAAGTACCTGTTACTGCTTTACCAACAATAAATTGCCTGAGTCTCCTAGTGTGCCTCCGTCTACAAGATTTATTAAGATAACCAATCACAGAACGGACCCTGGCAACACCCAATTCAGAACCAACCCGTGCTCCTTTGTACACTCCCGCAATCACCTCATCCAGGCCCGAACCCACCCTTTCTGAGGTGCCCCGAGGTACTGCACTGCTTACAGAGCAATAAACCCAACTTGTTCACCGTGGCCCCTTGTCCATAGCCTCTAACTGCAGGTCTCTGGCAACTCAATTTTACTTTGTATCTAACCATGTACTGTAACCATTTAGAATGATCTATTTATAATCTCATTTAATTTGTAAAGACAAAGTCTAGTTTTCTTAAAAGGAGGTCTGTATTTCACTTGTCAGGAAATGCTTGTTAAATAGCTAGAAGAAAATTAACACATAAGTGAATGTTATCATTATTTTTAGCTGGCTTATGAGATACCATACAGATAATTTTAGAGCCTACTTTTTCTCTTCCACATTACACAGGCCTTACAAATCTAAATGTAATAGGTATGGAGTGTTTTATAGGATGTAAGCGATATACCAAAGTATGTGAATAAAAAACATATACTGCAGAGTTTAGGTAAGAAATCTTAAAAATCCCTCCATATTCTTTAGTAGAGGAGTGAATAAATTCTGATAAAGTCATATCATAAAACTCTGCAACCATCAAAAGAATGAGCTCTCTCTACACTGGAAATGCAGGAAAAGCTTGGCTAGGTTAAATAAATTACTATAGTGGCTACCCATCTTTGTGGAAAGAACTGTAAAAAGAACATGTATTTTTTATTTTGAGATGTGTTTATTTTATACAAACAACACATATTACCTTTGCTTTAAATACTATAAAATGAAAAATAGTGAATAATATTTTCACAAATATCTTTTGTTTATATCTTGAGTAGAAACCTAGAATTAGTTTCAAATGAGCCATGATATAAATACTTAAAATTTAAGATTTTTAAGGAAAAATGGAGTTTATATTCTTAAACTTTGATGGAAAATTATTTTCTTAAAATTACCTGGACTGCTGGTTCTGTTAACATGTTCAGTTCGCTTTCGTTTATTCTGAGATGTGTCACATGTAAGAATCCGTAAAGAATCTGAGAATCTGAAGAGGTAAATATATAAAAATACAAGATAACATTAGAATTTGAATTTCAAATAATTCTATTTTTAGGCCACATTTCCCCACAAAAGCACCAATCCTACCATATTAAAAAAAAAAGAGAGACAAAACAGGCGTGATGATGGACACCTGTAACTCTAGAACTTACGAGCCAAGGCAGGAGGATTGGTAAGTTCACACTCAGTTTGGGCTACATAACAAGAATTTGTCTCAAAACACAAACAACAAAAAGTGTGACTTGCCAATTAAATAGTAGATTGATAAACCAGGTGGAGTGGCACAGGTCTGTAATCCCTCCCCTAGGGAGACGAAGACAGGAGGATCACTACGAATTTGAGGCCAGCCTGGGTTACACAGTGAGTTCAAGGCTAGCCTGCACTACATGACAAGATTCTAAAACCAAAAAAATTGGAATGAAAATAAAGTAGATTGATGATTGTTTAAAGTACTATTCTCAGTCATAGGAGGAATCCAAGGATTCTAGAACTGCAACATTAAAAATATAACTCTATTCCCCAAACACACAGACTTTGAAATTTTTGTTGTAATTCTTTTAAAAGTATGAATAGGAAGAAATGAAGAAGAAAAAAAGGATAAAAGCAAAGGGGAAATATGATTAAAATTAACAGAAAGAAGCTGGGCATGGTGAAACCTGCCTGTAATCCCAGTATTCTGGGAGGCTAAAGTAGGAGGATCTTGTTGAGACTGTCTCAAAATTTAAAAACATTCTTAAGGTCTGGGCATGCAGCTTGGTGCAAAGGCCCTGGGTTCAGTCCCAAGTACAGAAAAACAAATTAACTAAAAGGAAAAGTATATTAATAACTATAACCAATTTAGCCTTTATTCCTGGAAATAAAATACCTTGTACTATATTTACTCATATATACAAAACACAATGTTATTCAGAAGAAAAATGTTCCCTTTCTGTAAGATTAACAATAACAGCAAGATATTGAACTTTTATATTATTATACCATTTCCAGAACTGCACACACTGCCACTGCTACCAACTAATTACTTCTGAGCAGGTACTGGTGCTGGGCACTGTTTGAATGCTCTATAGTACATGTACAGTTTTAATTTCATTCTCTCAACAAATAAGGTAAGCGTTATTGTTATTTCCACTTTAAAAGAAGACTAAAGCTTTTCCCTTATTTCTGAGATTTGTTATTAAAGGAACACAAATAATATAGAGCCTAAAGATATATGAAAAAAAATCCAAAACTGTCTTTCCACTCTCCTGTACAACAGCTGCTAACTGGACATCCTGACACAGCCTTCTCCAGAACAGTGTATTTTAAATATTTATTCTTAAAATTAATTTCTATGGACTTTTCCCCTTAAAATAATATTTAAGAAAAACAAAGGGAAAAGAATCATAGCAAGTTAATGGTGATTTAGTTTGATTATTAACCATAGATTTATGCTGACAAAATTGCCGGCCTACAAAAAAGGAGAATGAATAAAGGTGACTTTCACACTTTTTAAAAAATGACCAAACATAGGCACCTAAATGTTCAACACTAGATCTCACAATGCTAAAGTATGTCATTATAATGGAAAGTTATATAGGCATTGTTAAGCTTTATTTACAATTGAGTGTTGGCACATTACTGACTTGGTAAACATGCATGATATAATATTGAAGAGGAACAAACGGGTGGCATATGAGTAATGATCTCAAGACATTCTGAAGAATGGGCAGTGCTAGGGTGGAAGCCAGGGCTTTGATCGTGCCAGGCATGCTCTGAATAAAGGAGCTATGTAAACTGTAAAAATATATGTGTATGTGTGAAGGAAAAATGAGATATTAACAGCAATTATATTTTCAAATGCAACACAAGTAGTATTATACTCTTCTTCATAAAAGTGAATCATTTTATAAAAATTGAATACATAAAATATAACCATAAAAAGATATAAAGAGAAAACTGAGTGATAAAAAACAACTCATTATTTTTCAATTAATAGCAAAAAGAATTTTAAGAAGCCTCTTTTTCTGTAGACTGAATTTACACAATTCACATTTTAGTAACATACAGTGCCATTCACTGTTTAATATTCATGAACATACAGTGGTTTAATTCTGATACTACATACCTGACGTTGGTGACCAAGGAAGAAAGGAAATATTGGTTTTCTTCAGAAATATTTTTTGACTTTTTAGGAAAAAATTTGTTATCTTCAGCAACCTCGAAAGCCACACACTTTCCTATTTTTGATGATTTATATAATCGGAAGTTTCTGTTTCTTGTATAAACTCCTACATTAAAAATTAATTTTAAAAAGTGTATGTTTTCTGTGAGTAGTTTAAATTAATTGAATTATTAAATTCATTAATTTAATTGAAATCATTTAAGTTTAATAATTAAATTATTTTCTATAGAATTATTAAAAAAGAACAATTTTCTACAGATAAACAAAATTATAGCAGTACATAAATTAGGATAAACTGGAGTTGACGTGGAAGAATGCCACATTCAGAAACAGCAAACTAGATTGCTTTAGAGCAGTTCTCTAATTGAAAATAAAAAAGGTGGACACAAGCGCCTGCCTCCCAAGTGCAAGGTCCTGAGTTCGATTCCTGGTACCAAAAACAACAGTGGACAAAAGTATCACAATAAAAAGGTTTGAGACTCTTGGAGAGCTACTAAGGCAGTGAGGATATGTGGTACAAAAATCCCAGAGAAAAGGGGAGCATCTAATAATAAAATATCCAGAATAAATCTATCAAAAGATGCACAGGATTTCTGCTCAGAAAATTATAAAACATGGAGAAAATTACAAAGCACCAAATAAATGGAGGGATATAGCGTGTGTAGAGATCAGAAGATACAATATTATAAAAATGTCATTTCTCTTGTTGATCTCCAGGATAAACACAATCCAAACTAGACTTCTAATAGTGCTTGCGTGTTTATATTATATATTTTAAACGGAAGCACGAAAGCTCAAGAGGAGCCAAGAAATGTCAAAGAAGTATGAGGCCTTATTTTACTGGAGGCCAGGACTTACAACAAGGGAACAGAACCGAGTCTAGAAACAACTGAAACGTGTGGGTGTTGACTGTTGAAAAGTGAGTGTCACTGCACAGTGGGAAAAGGACGCTCGTTTCAATTACTGGTGCTGAGACAACTTTCCACACATTAAAAACTTATTGTTCGCTTCTTTTCATCCAAAAAGCAAAAATCCATCCCAGTGGATTTTAAGTCTCAACATAAAAAGGTAAAATAAAAAGGCTTCTAGAAAGTAAGGTAAGCAGGAGAAGAACTTCATTACTTTGGGACAGGGAAAGACTTCCAAGACAGATGAAACCAACCACAGAGGGAATGATAAACCAGAGTATTACCACTAAAGTTAATAACGGCTAATTACAAGGAGAGGGAAAAGGCAAGCTATAGACACGTACTATATAACTCTAATTATTAAAAACATCAAAAGTAGGCAAAATTAATCCATAGTATTAGAGGACGGAATAGTGGTTACCTCCAGGGAGGAGGAGGGCCACTGCCCAGGAAGGGCGCAGAGCAGGTCACACTGTCCTTGCAAGCTCTTGTCTTGGGTGGCAAAGTGTGCTCATTTTATAGTAATTCATTGGCTTAAGTACTCAAAAACATGTCGTTTTCTCTATGAATGTTATACATCAAGTTAAAAATCCTTTAAAAAGTTTTGGCATTTACTATTAAATCTCTGAACTGCCAGCCACAGCACCCTCTCATGTTGCTCATAGCCGCCTGGCGCTTTCATTTCACAGGGACCATCCTAAGAACTCTAAACAGAAGCCTAGTCAATTCCTGCCATCTGAGGTCACTGACACACCCTGCTGGTGACTTGCAATGTCACTGTGGTACAGTGGTGGTAGCAAGATCCTAAGCATTGGGACAAGCACACACTGACTGACGCTTCCCAGAGTACACAGCATAGTCTAGTAGAGAGAGCTGTCAATGTTACTTACCTAGATCCACAAAAAGATGCTTTTCTCCCATGTTATTCTTCACAACTAAAAATGAAAGCTCAGGACTGCTTTGCTTAGCTGAGTCTAATCTCTCTGGTCTCTGTGAATTCAAAGCCCAGCTCTTTGCTATATCCTTATCTGGGGACATTTGGTTAAAGGCAGTTCCTTGTTTTACTGGTGTTTCAGGAAAAGGGGAAAGTTCATGACCCATTGGGTTTGGAATCCTATCATCATCCTCACTGGAAATTAAGTGAAGAGCAGGCTGCAAAATTTTTCTCACAAAATTACCTAAAGAAAAAAGGTATCATGATTAATTCTTTACAGCAAACTGTAACTTAAAATGGAGGCACAAATCTACACATGTAAGGCTTTTTTAAAAAAAAATTCTTACTTTACAACTTAATTGTTGCTAGAAACTAATGTTTCTGTCCTGCTACTTCTTTTTACTTTCTCAATCTTGGTGTCAGCTGTAAACAAATCATTCATATATAGCTAGTAGGGGCCTGAGCCTAACATGGTGCCATCAACAGACACTACTTTTACTAACACAGACTGAGCACAATTATCTCCACAACTGATGGGTCAATAATGAACGGTTTACGAGAAGAAGCGGCTGCCAAGATAATGACGGCATCTTTGCTATCCCTTCCCGGAGTTGTTGGCAAATTTCTCCTGACCTCATTCTGTCCTCTACCTGCCATAACAGGCCCTGGGAATGCTGACTTGCCCAGTTCCAAGGCTGCTTCTTATCTTGCCTCTTGAATTATGGTCTCAAAACTAAGGTCCGGAAAAAGGCAGCCAAACACATTTTATACTTCGACATTTAATGTCAGAGCTCTGAGCAGCAGTGGTGCTGTCTGCACCCTGAAAAGTTGGTGAGACAACCTGGAATTGCTTTAACTTCACACAGACTCTGTCACACATTTAAGTAATAATTTGGCTATTAAGTTGTTTCATGTATAAATAATACTGCAGAAATTCAATACTCTAGAACTGTAATAGTCTGAGTTTATATATCACTTTATTCACCAGAAAGGCTTCAGTCCTTAAATCATAACAAATGTGCTAAATTCAAAATTCTCCAAATTAGACTTATTTTTCTATTCAAAGAAACAAATTCAATTTCTTTAGAGATCAAAATGAAAGCAAGGGGCTGGGGATTTAGCTCAGTGGCAAAGCGCCTGCCTGGCAAGCGCAAGGTCATGAGTTCGGTTCCCGGTACCGGAGAAAAACCAAAAAAAAAAAAAAAACCAAACAAAATGAAAGCAAAAGCACTTGACCCTTGCCATGTGATTATTTCTGAAATGAGGCAGAGAAGATAGACACTAAGTGACAAGAAACCACAACATATCAAAGGATAACAAAGCGATAAATATAAACTGATAGAGTTAATTTTCCTGGAAATATCCAGTTGCATTTACTTGACCCTAAGTAGTAAGTGAGTGCATGGCTGTAGAAACTGCGGCAATGTCAGTATCAGGAAGACCAGCAGGCCTTCGGCCCTCGAAGGGAGCAAATGTTGCCAGCAGTGGTGACACTTGCCGGCACAGTGACACAGGCTTCAGCAAACTCCTTTGTTTTTACATCCCCGCTCTAATCTTGTCACTCCCACTCCCCCTCAGATAGGGGTTATTGGCTGGGAACAAAAGTAAAAGAACTAATCAAACATAGAAATTTCAGGTACTATAGCCGAAGTGCATTTTTATGGATCAGATTCTAAACTCTGCTACATTTAATCTAATTACTCTTTCTGAAATGCTGACAACAGCAACTTGAACTATCATTAAGAGATAACCAAGGGAGGGAAACTAAAGGGAAAATCCAGACTACTGAACTTCACAGTCTCTGCATCTGATTCTGGCAGGCCACAACTGCAGAGAGATGAGCCTCAAATGACATCCCATTTATTAGGTCAGACTGTCTCTCACTTTAGCTACATGCAGAGCAGACTCTACTGCTCCCCAAGCTAACCACACTCATATTTCTATACTTTTGCTTATGCTGTGTTCTCGGACAGTGTAGGCTTTCTTTGCTTTGTGTATATGGTGAAATTTTATTCAAAGCCAAGACTGCTTTCCTATAGAAAATACCTATAGGACAGACTGTTAGCTACTTGACAACTTTCTATTCTTACCTTCTTCTTGAGCAATAGAGTGAACTGCTAGCTATGTTTATATGCGCTAAACTCTGGACTTACAATAGTAAACAAGAAACAGTCCCTGAAGTAAAAAAATTAAAAAGTGAATAAAAAAAAGAGGAGAAAGAAAAACAGGAAACTGCTTCAGGAAGTGGTTGATATTGTGACACACTAAACACTGGACACTGCCTGAAACTCAGAAGAACACCACCCAAAATCTTAAGGTTTCTGGTGTAACACAAACAGCTTCTCATCTGTCTTGAGATCTGCACTCAGTCTTAACAGACCGGGTGGATTGGAAGTATGTCTGCTCACACAGTAGCAACAGAAAGTGCAAAAGCTCAAGGACTAGAGAAAATGTACCCACATTAGGAACTAAGCAAGGACAGGGTGGAGAGGTAAGACTGGAGCAGAGTGGGCCTCATTTAAGACACTAAGGCATCTGACCTTTTCCTGAAGGCAAGAGATAATCACTGAAGGGTCTGAGGCACAGGAGTGGCAGGATCAGCTCACTCTAACTAGCTGACTAAACGTGCAGGGGGAGAGATATGCAGAGGTCAAACATGGCACCAACACTTTCACTGGAGTAACTGGGTGGATGGTGACATCATCCACTAATATACACAACACGGAGGAGTAAATGTGGAAATGAGGAAAAGATGGGGAGCCTGGGGTGGGGCACACTGTGTTTGAATCATCTGTGTGGACATGGTTAGGGGGCAGTTGACTGTCTAAGTTTGACATCCAGAAGAACAATTTGGGTTGATTAAGAGTCATCAACACTCTGATGATTACTGAAGCCAAGACAGCAAATGATCATCAAGGATGAGGATAGAGTGGGAAGGGAGTTGGGGATAGATTCTACAATTGCTAACATCTAAGTGATTAGAAAAAGGGAGAAGGAATGTTCAGCTAAGGTAACAGAAAATGAGGAGATAGTAAGGAGCCCTCTGTACACAGCACACTGGGTCACAGAGTTTCCCTAGGACCCTAACCTTTAGGCCAGGCCACTAGTGACCATGTTCATAGCTTTTATTCTAGGTAACCATGAAACTGTAAGACACTTATACCTCTGAATTTGGTTGCCTGTTAGTGAACTTCAGTCAAATGTTTGCCATTTAAATATAGGAATATTTGTCTCATTCCAGCTTTGAAAACACAGTTTGGTTCTATTTAGACCTGGGTGTTCAGTATTCCCAGTCTGGCTATTTGTTTCCCCTTTGGTCTGACTTTATTTTATACCAGGACTTCTATCTCTAAATGCCCAGTGCTGGGACAGATACTCAGGTTACACTCTGAAGTTGAAGTTATGAAGCTAGACTCAATTCCAACCCTGAAGTTCTGCATGGAATGAAAAATAACCTTCCTTGATGACACGGGACCCAAGCTCTAAAAATAAGGCCAATACAAGGCTGAAGCAAAGGTCAAAAATCCAGATATGAGGATCACAGATAAGTCCTGAAATGAAAAGTCCTCTCATGAATTAACGATGTAACTGAAATGAATCATACTGGAGACAGTACCAAGACATGCATGGCGGCCCCAATACCTACGACGAGAGGCACCAATGCCAAAGATATCTTGAGTAGGTTATCCTGTCTACAGCTAAGAACAAATTCTAACAATAACAAAAAAATCACATCCCATTTTTTATAGATAGGTTAGCAACTATAAAAACTGATAACATAATAAAGATAAATAAAAATAGCTACAGAATTTTAAGAGAAATAGGAAAAAAGAGTTTTTAATATAACACCAGGGGTTTTTAAGAGGCAGTCTACTTACCAACATGAATGTTATCTTTAAATGCCACATCATGGAGCTGAAATATTAAATGGCGGCTAAATTTTTCATCAGTGCTAGAATCCAAGTTGAAAATATCTTCAGCTGAACAACTGACACTGTATAATTCTTGAAGTGCTTTACAAACATGCTAAAAACACAAGTACAGTGTAAATGACTCATGTTTTTTATTTTAAATTTTTTCTAAGAACAAAATTAAATATCTTGGTAAAAATGGGTTTAAAATAGAAAGGTAAAATTTTTCATTTACTACCAGAATATTCACAATAGTCCCATCGATTTATAAAGTGAAATATGTATCACTTTTAATTATACACCTCTGTTTAGAAAAATCTTACTCAGGATTAAGAAGCCTCTCAGAAGTCAAACAATTTTTATACAGCCTGCTCTCAACTCACAATAAAATATTTTAAACATTTCTTTAAATACTATGAGTTAAAAAGTCACTAATTCAATTTTTTATGATTTTTACTATAAGGAAGTATCTCATTCATATGAACTTGAATCCTTCTGTAAGCTGCTGGGGCTCGGTGACACTGACATTGACAGAAGTTGTGCATGGTTGAGAGGGAGCAAGCACACAGAGGACCCCAACATTTGGAATCAGATAAAGCTAAGTGTGAGTTCTCGTTCTTCCATTTACAAGCTTTGTGACTGGTCAAATCTAAACCTTACATTCCTAAACTGCAAAATAGTAAAAGCCCCTAACTTTTGGAGTTCTAAGCGATGGGGAAATGAATTAAGGAGTTAGCACAGTGACTGGCACAGGTGACTGCTTAAAAGTCCTGGAGGTGCAGCCTTAAAATATGCCATTTCTTCCTGAGCTGCAGTCCTTTCATTCACCAAAGTTATTAAGAGCTACCATGAATGGCTATCTTGAGATCAGCAAAACCATTTGTAAAAGTGTTTGCTGACCACTTAGATACCTACTAATTATTCAAGAAATTGCATTTATTAACATTATTTGGGTATTATAGAGTACTATACTCCCCTTCACAATCAGAGTTTATTCTTTTTCAATAAATTCTCATTTCCTCACTTCCCTCAATCTCCCCATCTATCCGGGTTTTCCCTATATACTCTGTAGTATCTGCAAAGCTACAATCTTACACTAGTTTATGTGACCATGTTGACATCTGTTTCTCCTACATTACAGAGGGCATTTCCCAGGACCTTTTTTCTCCTTCTACAGAGAAACCATCTCAATTTTTAGCTAAGTAAGAGGTCATTCAGGATAAACACTTCAGACTCCTTTGTGACTAAATCTGGCAACTGGGATGTGAAAAGAAGGAAAGGCTGCCATTTCCAAGTCATACTCCTAAAGGCAAGGGGCAAGCCCTCCCCTTCGTCATTTCCCATTAACTAGAATGTAGACACAGTGGTGGTGCCATGTTGGACAACGTGACTAAGGCAACAGCTTAAGTAGAGCAAAGCAAGACACCTAGTATCTAATACAGTGGAACCAGTTGGATATTACTGAAGCATAAATAACTTTCAATTTTATTCCAGCTACTTTAATTTGAAGTTTTTACTACATTGGCTATATATACCCTAATTTATTATTTTCCATTAGACTACAATTCTGACATCAGAAACTATGTTGCTTTGGGCTCACCATCATATTCTTAGTACTCAGGCACAGAACCTGACATTTACTAGAGGCTGAAAAATTTTTGAGAAAGTTTTAATTATGTACTCTGGAACGATAGAGAATAAACAGTGATTCCAGTAATATAAGCGCTCATATTCCCCTAAATTCTCTGGCCCAAGATAAACTTTACATAAAATTTATAGTTATATAAATAATTAAGTTGTAAAATTTAGAGGTTATAAATACACAAGTGCTTGAGCAATGTGGTCTGACAAAATGCATCAGAATCAGAATTTAGCCTAATTGGTAGAAATCAGTCATCAAAATATGTTTGTAAATTATTTATTAACTGTATATTAAATTAAAGATAAGAGCTAACCTGATTTATGCCTCCTCACACAAAGACTCAAACCAAAATGTACTTACTGGGTTCAACTGGTCACATACAAAGTAACCAATAAATAAAACTGACTTAATATCCTTATTTATAAAAGCAGTGTATTAAGTAAATCAATCCTAATACGAACTATTATATCAACATGGTAAACATGCTAAATCTCTGAATCTTAACTCCTTGTTGGTAGTCAGTAGGGAACCCACACCTGAAATTCTGCTTTACACTTTAGACTACAAAAGTCAGTATTTTACAATTACTAGAAACACAATTAAGGGTAAAAATTAAACACAATTTACCAACTATAGTGAAATAAAGCCTTTTTAAAGAACTCAATGGCTAGTTTAAGAAAAATATAACTTGTTTTTGTTTTGTGGATCAAAAGGGACTTTACATAAACTGTATTTCTTTTTTTTTCAAAGCCAAGAGAAAAGTAACATTCTATATATTTTTAAAAGTACACACATTTTTCAAATAAATTTGAAATAAATCATGAAAAGGTGCAACATAATTAGCAAGTGTCCTTACCAAAAACATTTTAATTTGAATATATTTTTAAGGTTATTACATTATTTTTTAGTTAATATGTCAAAGGAAAATAGTTAATAAATGTTAATACCTACTCTAAAGCCAAATAATAGTCAATATAATTTTAATACAACTTTATGCAATATAATCATAAAAGGTTTCTGAAAATAATTCTAACAGAATAGTTGCACAGGTCTGTAGTATTTCTCTCTTTTTTTTTTTACTTGCAAGAATAAACATATTTTTTTAGTACATGTTGATAGTACATAATGTTTCCATTCTCTGTGGAGAACTGGTACATATACATAAAACATCTTAATTCCTTTTTCTCATTCATTTCCCTTTTCTCCCCTCCCCCTCCATCCATCTCTTGATCTATTTTCTTTTTGATTTTTTGTACATGTGTGGTCGACAAAGCTAAATTAAAAGTAAATACCAAAACTACACTCTTTTTGCTTAGAAAAAACAGGTATAGCTGTGTTTCTAGATTAGGTTTTACCAATAACTAGCTTTAGCACATGAGTGCACTGGTCTCTTCTAGGTCTTGATTTCCTCATTTATGAAAGTACAAGACAAAATGAATTCCATGAAAATTCTGTCAGTTTTAAACTTATGATGCTATTTTTAGTCGAAGTTTCCTTGTAGTTCATCTGAGTCCCCAATTTTTACAGTAAAAATTACTTTAAGTGGCTTTTACTTGATCCAGCTTATTTATCATCAAAATCAGAGAATTAATATGAAGTTTAAGAACACAGGAAGTTTCCACACAGCCATGTTTCTCAGTGCTGGCCTCTCACTCACAGCAATCATCCTACCTTAGCCTCCAGAGTGATGGGGTTACGTGCATGTAACAGGCATGTGCCACCAAGACTGGCTGAACTATTGTTTTTGTTCACAGTTCATTCACAGAAATAGTAAAAATGAAAGTCATTAAAACAGTAGCAAGAAAAAGGAGAAATATGGAACCTCCATATGACACAGGCTTCATCCACTGAATGAACAAATAGATGAATGAAAAGATGAATAGAAAGATACAAGAGAAAAACTTCAATTTGATTTACCTCTATGAGTAATGCAACCATTTTTTTACCATCAGCTTCAGGATTGGCATGTTTGCTGAATTCCAAATCAAAATAAAGTTTGCACACAGCATTTTCAGGAATAACTTCATAGCAGTGCAAGAGATTTTTCCTAAATTGAACAATTTAAGTTTGTTATATTTGTATCTTTAAACTCAAAGGAGTTGATCTTAGATCTCAAGTCACTGTTAACCGTGCTTTAACTACATATACCTATGATAAATAATACACTCACAGTAGGTTTATGGTAAGAATTTCCATCAAAGGATATGTAACAATCATATGCTACAATATTATTTAACTAGGGGCTGGGGATTTAGCTCAGCGGCAAAAGCGCCTGCCTGGCAAGCGCAAGGTCGTGAGTTCGGTTCCCGGTACCAGAGAAAAACCAAAAAAAAAAAAAAAAAAAAAAAAATTATTTAACTAGAAAATAAGGTTGATCCTATAGTATTATTACTCACAGATGATTCTGATATTGTATAATCTTCATTTGCTTTTAGTGTCATCATGAAAGAAATTTTGTTTGAGAAAAGAATGATTTTCCTTAAACTAAGATGCTGGGTTCCCATATTCTTGGGATTATATGAATTGTTCATGAGAATTTTAAAACTTTGCATTTTTATTAGGAAAAATGATTTTTTAAAATTAGTAAATAAAAATGAATGAATAAAAAAAATTAAAAATTCTGAATCACCTGACTTCAGTAAGCTTCCTATGCTCACATCTGCAGTTGGTACACATTCTTGCTGAAATAGGCAGAATGACTTTGATATGGGTTAAGAGTATGCACTAACTCAAAATGGAAAAGATAATTCTAAGTGAAGTTCAGATGGCAACCTGTCTAGATAAAAGTTTTGTAGTAATTTGAAGATGTGAAAGTGATGCGGATTGTATCATCATGTGGCACAGGTAGTACAGGAACTTCAAAACATGCCGGTGCACACACGCAGGTGCACAAATGTGCTCTGTAACAGTCAGTACCATATTTATACTGCAAGACAAAACTGAGTTTCAGATAAATATCATTTGTCACATTATCCTAAGAATTGTAATTCACCTCTAACCAGTGTTTCATGTACATAAATGTAAGTAACTCTAACTAAATATTTGAACCTTCATAAGTAACATTATAATGAAAGTATTTTAAGTTAACATAGTGCATCCATATTAATTTACTCCTTTTCTATACATTATTCTAGGCTGAGAAGTAAATGAATACACCACTCAGATAAAGCAGATATTTCCTTATTAGATAATTAGTGAGTATTCATTTGTAATTAATAGTACAAATTAATATTTGCTTGCCAAAGAGAAACAAAATTCCCTTTGGGTACACAAATTTGTGTGTCTGTGCGCACGTGTCTGTGTGCATGGCAAAGAGAATGAGTTTTATCCCTCCTCGCATCTGGTAAGATGAGTATTGCTACAAAAAGTCCACTGCAGAACTCAATTTTAATAGTGAATAAATTACTAGGTGGTCAAGAACTGTGAAGGACACTCAGCCTGAATTAATTTCATCAAAATAATTAGATAAAGTAATTGCAACTCCAGCTTAAAAACTACTTACCGGGACTTATAATAAAACCAAAGTTGAGCATAGGTTGTTACAAGGTAAATACGTTGTCCATCACCCACTTTGTATTCCAAAGCAAACACATGAACATTCTATGTAAGAAAAACATTATTCAAATATACATCTCAATTCAACTATAACCATTAAATGTTCGTAAAGAATTTTACCACTCAAGTTTTAGAAACCAGAATATGAATATTAAAAACAAAGTCACCATATCTGTCATTCAAAATCTGTACTTATTTTTAATCGCTCACATAATATATGTAGGAGACGGAAACTGTTCACATATTCAGATCAAAAGGAGAAAATATTCTATTACTCCAGTTAAACCTATGAGTTTTACTTCTTATTTTATGAAATTAAACTTATTTTTCAAAATGGCCTAAATATTGCTATAAATAATGAGCTAAAATCAATTAATAAATTCTCTAGTACACGTAAAAGTGTACATGGGAATGAACTTTCTGAAGGTGTCTATAGTAGTGAATTAAATAGAACTGGTCATGGCCTGGGGATTTAGCTCAGAGGCAAAAGCGCCTGCCTGGCAAGCGCAAGGTTGTGAGTTCGGTTCCCGGTACCGGAGAAAAACCAAAAAAAAAAAAAAAAATAGAACTGGTCATGGTTGCTGCCATAAGAGATTCCTTTAATAAAAGAATATTTAATAATATTTATACACACTCTTTTGTTTCCACATAGCTAAACTTTTCCTGAGTGAGAAATCACTCAAGGACTCAGCTGTTTAACTCTGTTAAAAATCTTTTTGAAATAAATGCTGTAGATTGGTGATTGGCAAGTTCAGCAAGCACATCTCTATATTTTTTTTAACACATTCCTGTCTGCTTGAATACATGCTCATTATTTATAGCAACATTTACGCCATTTTGAAAAATACGTTTAATTTCATAAAATAAGAAGTAAAACTCATAGGTTTAACTGGAGTGATAAAGTATTTTCTCCTTTTGATCTGAATATGCGTAACTGTCCCTTGCTGTCCATAGAACAATCATGCATGCACCACTGCTGGCTTAGAGCTGTCCAGCAGCAAGACATACAAGTTATGGCCTCATTGTGGACATGTTAAATTCAAGTTCAAATGAATTGGTAAGTATTTTAATTTCTGATACTGAATAGATTTACATAAAAGAAAGGTTTTTCTTGTTTATACTTATATAATCTATATAATCTATACTTATAGATTAAATGATTCTGATAAGTTTTGAGTGAGCATCTCTTTAACAGGGAAAGCAGGGCCCTCTCCCCAAACTTGAGCACTTTGAGCTCCTACATAGTATGAATGACCAAGAATCACAATATTTAAGTTAGATTTCCTGTGTGCATCTTATCTTTTTATTCCCACACCGCCCAAGAAACAAAAAGATGTGAACTATACATCTATTGCTAATTTGTTAATATTTTGAGCACCATACCCTTTGTAAGGCTGGCAGGTAACAAGCACTGCTTCCTCCCACTTGCTTCATGTATTAGCAATAAATATGCTCATCTTTTCTCTAAGCATAGCTTCACTTAAATGTCATTATATGTATTTTAAACTAACTTAAGCTAGAAATGCCATTCTTTTTTCATTACTGATATAAATTAAATGGTTAACAATTCCAAGGAATATTTTTCCTAAATCATGTGATATTAAGATAGTTATTAAATTTTCTTGGTAGAGTATGCGGTCTGAAATGAAAATAACATTTTTTTTTAAAGAAAGCTTGGGTGACAGTTGCTCTAAAAAAAAAAGAGGCAATTACCTCTTTACAGCTTTTAACAAAATTAAAAGCTTGATTTTGTCGATGAAATAGCTTCCATATGGAGGGTGGGTCTTCTGGTTTGGACAGTCTTGGTCTATACACAGACGACAATGGTTTCCTTTCATAGCAAGATGCTCGTTCTTCAATTTGCTTCAGTTTTGCTGCCCATTTTCCCGTCATTGGTTCAGAAGTAGGGGGAAAACCGATCCTGTCCTATGCACGTTTGTATTAAGTACTACTGAAACAAACAAACAGACCCCCAATTTACTTGTTTAGAATATTTTGTCTGATAAAATTTGAAAACTCATTTCCTGATATTTATGTCCTTATTTACTTTTTTTTTTGCACAATCTTTTACCACAAAACAAGAATAGAGATAGTTATCAGAAACCTTGTGTTAAGGTTGATACATTGTGTCTACTTGAGGAGTCTAGAAGCTTAACTAAGGAGCTCAGTTCTGCATCCTGGGGTCAAAAGGACATGCCCTTTCTGCTCTAGGATGTTGTTCATTATATCAACTTGAGAAGTTTAGAAGGTTAACTATATGACTCAGCAGGGAGGCAGGATCCTTACTCTGTATTCATCCTGAGCCTGTGGAAGAGGAGGGCATGGAGATGGTATGGCCATGGGCGGGGAGCTGGCATACAATATAAGGGAGGAAAAGAGGCTTGCTTCTCTTCTTGTGCTCTTGCTGCTTTTGCTGTCTTCTGCTGTCTTGAACTGTTTGCACAGGTGCCCTGACACCCTGCCTTGGAGCCAGCTGATTACAGATTGAAACCTCCCCAAACTGTAAGCTAAATAAACCTTTCCTTCCTTAATTTTGGGCGTCGGGTATTTTCTCTCAGCATTGAGAGAAAAGTAACCTAGACACCTTGGACACTGGCTCTTCCATTTAATAGTGTTATGACAGTGGAAAGATTAATGAAGCTCTCTGAACCTTTAATCAACTGCAAAATGGAAAGTAATATCATTCTGAATACTTTACCTTGGGAATAAATGTGATATGGCATATGAAAATCTTTCATAAATTATAAAGCCTAATGTAAATGTAAGTAAATTTTACATCACTGTGGCTTTTGTTACCGTCATTTTGTTATATGAAGTGCTACCTCTCTGATTCAGCTGAGGCTACCAGCTTGGCCACCCAAGTCTTTTTTGCTTTATATTGATATTTTTGTTTTGAGACAGGGTCAGTCTTGCTAAATTGCCCAAGCTGGGCTTAGAATTTGCAATCTTTGTCCCAGCCTCTCTGAATGTTGGGATTATAGGCCATTATTTCTTAGTATAGAGTTTACTTCTTGGCATCTGTGTACCGCTCTTAGTTCCCTTTTCCTCTTTTTTCTTTTTTTAAAATGTACTACATATGAGCACAGAGCCTCATACTTGCTAGCCAAATACTCTGAGCCATATACCTCCAGCCTTTTTAAAATTTTGAGTCAGGGTCTCACTCATTAAGTTGGCAGGCTGGCCTTAAACTTGCAATCCTCCCACCTCAGCCTCCCAAGTAGCTGGAATGCTGGTATGTACTACCACACCTGGCTTTTTCCCTCTGACATCCACTTCTCTTCTCTCCCAACATAACTTTTGATAGGGAAGACAATTCTCTTCTAAGCATAACTTCACTTAAGTGTCATCATAAAAAAAATTTTTTTTTTTTCATTTTACCAGGAGATGCCATCTAAGCTCAATTCCAACAATACCAACTTTGGGTTTAACCACGTGACTTGCTTAGGCCAAAATTACACTGACAAAGTGAAACAAGCAGAAGTTTACTAAATACTTTTGCATCTAATTTGACTATTCTAGAGTTCTGCCCTGAGAGTACCATGCTAGAACCCTAACTTCCTAGAGGATGAAAGGCCATAAGCACAAGAACCAAGGCATTCCAGCCAAAAGGCAGCTCCAGCTGTAGATATATGAGTCAGGGCCATGTCATTTTGGACTTAGTCATCATGTGAATTCAGTGCATGAGTAAGTCCAAGTGAGTCCAGGCCAGATCTACAGAACTGCCCAGCAAACCCAAAGAATTGTAAGAAAAAATAAGTTTGCTTTTTTTTTTTAAGCTGGTCAGTTTCGGGTTGGTTTTCACAAAAAAAATAGTTAATACAGTTTCCCTCTTCATTAATATCATCTATGCCATAATTTACCCATGTAGAAAAAAATATTACTTTGTAAATGAAACAGTAATGTATACTAAAACATTTGCGAGTAAGTGCCTAATTACCTATGGCAATGCCTTTCTCTTGAATTTTAGCAGAAAACTTTGCAGCAACTGAAAGTCATTGGCAAATGATATGCTCCCTGAAAAAAAGAAAAAGAGAATTAGCCTAAGAGATTAAGAGGTTGGGAATATCACGACCTTTTAGGAAAAAAAGGGGGACATATCATCATAGGTTTTTTTGTATTTGACATCAACCATAACAGACCTAAGAAAGATTCCCTCAGAGTTATACTTGATTTTTTGGTTTTTCTCCGGTTCCGGGAACCGAACTCACGACCTTGCGCTTGCCAGGCAGGTGCTTTTGCCGCTGAGCTAAATCCCCAGCCCCCAGAGTTATACTTGATACATATGAAAATTATAAACTACTAAATGAGAACAAAATGAATATGCCAGAGAAAAGAGTTTCATTCCATTGGATTGAGAAAATAGGGCAATTTAAAAAAAAAACAAAAAAAAACTGTTTTAACTTGTCAGTACAGTATTATGGCTCCTTAATATAGTTTGCACATTCAGTTTAATCTGCTTCACAGATAAAATTCCACTATACTTAGATAAACTTAATTCAGAAAGTGAATCTATGCTCTGAAATATATTAACTTTCAAGAAAGTTCACTGATTACTTAAAAACAGAATGCAGTCTTACCTGAGTCATAGTACCTAACAAATAAATGATTAGGAATGACCATGTGAATACTCACACTTAGTGAAACTAAATCTTAGGAAAATTTTTCTGATTTTATAAATACCTTGGTTTAACCATGGGAGTATGTCATACATAAAAGTTGTGGAGTCACAGCAGAAAAACTAGTTGAGGATTCACTGGGTCAAGGAAATCATCGATACGAACAAAGGAGAAAAAAAGAAACTTGCATATAGAGTAATGTGGCCCTGAGTTCTCTGCGTAGCTTAACCACTTTAACAGCGGGTGTGAGGGTCGGAAGACAACTGGGGCTTGGGGCTTGGTCAACTTGAACACGAGGGTAAAATGGCAAAAGCAAAAGAAACAGAACAAGAAGCGTCTGGCATTTTGGTTTGGGACTATCATATCTCTCATCCCTCCCTTCGAAGAGAATATGTCACCACAGTAGAAATGCTCCTGGTGGAGAAAAAACGTTGTCCTTTTATATCAAAGCTGGTTTTCACCAAGAGACTATAACTATTTCTGGTAAAGCTTCAAAATTCCAAAGGAAAATACTCGTTGTATTTTATTTTATTTTATTTATTTATTTATTTTTTTGGTTTTTTTCCGGTACCGGGAACCGAACTCACGACCTTGCACTTGCCAGGCAGGCGCTTTTGCCGCTGAGCTAAATCCCCAGCCCCTGGTTGTATTTTAAAAGAGTAAGTTTAAAGAGCCCTCTACTTTATTTCTTAACAGTGTACCCTAATTTTATTTAGTTATTCTCAATACCAATTTTATAACTAAAGATAGTTGAGTTACACACAAGGCTGGGTTAGTCTTGTCAGAGTAGTGAGGGAAGGGGAACTGAGGGTAGAAGTGAGAAATGACTCAGATTTAAGTAGCCTCTACTTCCTGGGTTTATGCCCAGACTTGCTCAGCTGCACCTCTTGATGGCCTGGTCCTCAGAAGCTGGTGGACTAGGGCGTACATGCTTCCTATTTACCGGCTTCTAGGGAAACCTGAAGCTGGCTTTGCTATGTTTCTTTCCAGGCCAGTTCTCCCAGTGTTCTCCCCTGCTCTCAGCAATTTTTATTTTCTTTCTCTCTCTGTCTCTCTCTGCCTGCCTGTCTCTTTTTTGTATGTCTCTCTCTCTCTCTCTCTCTCTCTCTCTAACCACTGGTCAACCCCTGTTATCCAATTCCAACTTCTCCTCCTACCTTTTACATTGAGATTAAATTCATCACTATTTTGTGTTTTCTGCCAGTATTCTAGTTCTACTACTTGGTTATGTCCTAGTTTTTGACAATGCTTTCCTAATATTATCCCCTTTCTCGCCTCTTGTAATTTATTTATACTCTTTTTCCCACTGCTTAAGTATTCATTCTAGAATATGTGATTAAAATTTACTTACAGAAATACTATTATATAAGCTTACTTCCTCAATGAATAACATGTTCAGAAATTAAACATAACTGACTGAACTCCCCACTTGTCACTTTCCCTCGTCTACGCTTGAACACAAGTTAACTTATATTTCTATTTCTGCAAAACTGACTGTAAAGGATAATAAAGTTTACGGTGAGAGACTGCTGTTTACCAGATACTCCTTTCCATCCTCTACACAGGATCTCTCATCCAGACGGCCTAAATTCTGCTAGAGGAATCAATCTTAAAGCACTATCCCTTTTTATAGCAATAGTCATTAACGATTCATAGCATTACTAAATTCACATGAGAGCTTCCCTCATTAAGGCGAGACTCCCCTCCAGACTCTGGCCATAAACCACACACCTACTGTATTTGAGTTTTCTCACTAAATGAGTGATAATGACCACTCCCAGTGCTTGGCCCTCTCTAGACGCCCTCTTGATCATGTTTCTCTCACCTAGGTCTCATTTTGTTCCTGAATTCTTCCTCTTCAGGGCTCACTCAGTTCAAGCTCTGCCTTCTCTGGAATATATCTGTAAAGGAAAATTATGGGTCTCCGTTAGAAGATGCTGTTTTGCTATAAATTTTCTCTAAACTAAGTTAATCAGTATAACTTACAAAAACAAAACAAAACAAAACAACCCAGCTGCTGCTTTATCTCAAGCACATTTTGGTAAGAAAATGTAGTAGAGGAAGGTGTCGGGGCATCAAGATGGGGCAAAGAGGCCTTGGTTGTAGGTCCTGTTCTTCAATGTCACTGCAGCAGAAAAAGCACTGGCAACCTCACTCACTTTGGGAGACACAAAGCCATAGGTTTCATTTCTGGATTTTTAGTTTAATGTGACTCTCTTCTGAGCAAGGACAGACCATTTAACTTCTTTAAGCTGAGATGGAGACTAGAACTTCCATCTGAATGACTTGTTTTAACAAGAAAATATATTATGAAAAGAGAAGCACTCTACAAATGATAGCGCGTGTGTGTGTGTGTGTGTGTGTGTGTGTGTGTGTGTGTGCGCGCACGGGCAGGTGTTTGTTTTTTGTTTGCTTTTCTTTTTGTTGCTGTTTTTTTTTCGGTACCAGGAATCGAACTCACGACCTCGCGCTTGCCAGGCAGGCGCTGCGCCGCTGAGCTAAATCCCCAGGCCCCAAGCGCAGGTATTTGTATACATCACACACGGTCCTTGGTTTATACCCACTGGGGTATAAGCAGTATAAGCACAGGGAGCAGCTGGTCCCTATCATGGGGTCCCTGATTTGTTGTCAGAAGGTCACAAACTCTTGAAATCGGGTGCAGAGTTTTGTGCTCCTGTGTATCGGTATATTTTTTCTGCACAAACGCTTCATAGTTTGCATCAGGGTCTGAAGTGAGTCGAAGACCCAAAACAGGCCTGAAATGATGACGGCGTTTGACGTAAGCGAAGTCGGGGGACCACGGAAAGGCCTCTGTCACTCGAGGGGAATGGAGACCAGCAGCGCGCGTCTCGGCCTGCTCCCTCCCCTCCCGGGGCTCACACGGCTACCGGCCCAGCCCCGCCGCTCTTCAGTGTGCCCCGAGGACAGGGTCTGTGGACGCTCCTCAATTTACCTCGGGAAGCCCGAGTCACGGCGGAAGTCCGCAGTTCCTCCGCAGCCGGCAAGACTCGGGCTTCAAATCCCGCGCCCGGACGGTGCCCGCGCTCTGGCGGGGAAGAGACGGGGCGGGGCCAGTTTGCAAGGGGCGGGAAGGGGCGGGGCCGAAGTGCAGCAGGGCCGGGACCGAGCGGTGAGGGGGCGGAACCGGGCGGGTCCAGGGCGGGGTGGGGCGTGGCCGGGGCCGGAGCGGCTGGAAGGCGGGCTCATGCGGGGCCCTCAGCCGCGAGGGAAGACGGAACCCGCCGAACCCGTCCTGTCTGCCGGGAGCGCGCCGCGGGACGGAGCTGCATCCTCGCGGAAGGCCGCCCTTTTCTTTTCCTCTCCTCTTCCCCTGATGGAGGGGACCCACGGAGCCCGAGTTATCAGACAGGACCTGGGCTCGGCCACACGGCCCATGGCAGGGTGCCTCCCCATTCACGTGGGTACAGCCATGGAAACAAGGACCATGGAACACGGACCACAGGAACAAGGACCACAGAACAAGTACCACAGGAACAA